CGTGTAGGTACTCAGCATACCACTTAACCATTTTACCAATATACCAAGTTTAACCAATTTAGACTTTTTACATTATTTCATCCTTATTAATTTGTTAGACTCACACCCGACAGTAATATTAAGTTCCACCACCTAAACCAGTAGATTCTTAAATGCTCCTGGTGATCTGTCTCCCAGCCTACCCTCAGCCGGCTCGTCAGAAGTCGGCGGGCGCGGTCGTGACGTCGCGACGGAGATAAACGGCGCTCTAACGTGACAAATGGCCTTTTAATGAGAACGCTTACTGTGTATCGAGAAAAGCATCTACACCATTATTAGAAACTACTTTCGTGTCGGCTAATGTTTTTTTTTTCTAAACAAAACTGCTGTAATGAAACGTACTGTATCAGTACCACTACTTTTTAATACGGGACTTCGTAGAGTGGACCGTTGAGTATTAATTTTGTATTAAAATTTATTAGATTTGATAGATTTTATTTTATTTTACTTGCTATTTCGAGCTATGCCGTTTTACATCTCGGTATTTAACTTTCATAGACGACAAAGATCTCATCATTTTACAAATAGACGCAGTGCAGCCATTGAGTTATAATGTACTTACGTAGTAATATTACTTCAATGAATGCAGCATATAAGTTCATAATAATGTTTTACTACAATAAACACCTTTTACGACTATCATCTCTATTCTACACCTCTATAAGGATCACAGAGGATAGAGTCGTTCTGCGGTGAGCTTTAATCACAGCCGTCGAAAGTCCTCCGCAGCGCCCGCGGTGGCCGCCGCGCCCACGTCCTCGCCGTGAGAAACCTAAATAATACGGCTGACTACTTCAATAATACGATTTTAGAGAGTAAACAACCTTTATCTTGCAGGCGTATAGAACAATCCTGTTTGAAAATATAACCACTTTGCAGCGTCCTACTAGGAAGTTTAAACGTTTAATGATCTCGTGACTCTACGTTATGTTATGATTACCACTATGTCAACGCAAGTCATATTTTAATAGGAATCAAACGCAACAAAATAATCTATGTGCCACTTTGTGTTCCCTGCCAGGCATTAGAACCCAGAATTTACAATGTTGTTAGAAGTTACAGTCCTAATCAGGACTACTTAAATCGTAAAAAAATATTAATGTCAATCGACACTACTTGTTACGGTTATTAAACATACAATGCTATTTTAATCTATAATATATGTAAATACATTAATTAAATCAATCTTATAATCCTTTACTACACTGCTACACTACAATTCGTTCCTCCACTGGTTTAAAGCTAAAAATGCGCGGAAGAAATCACGGTATAACAATAAACAAAACGTAACCATAAGGAATATCGCTAATAGTAATTAAATGTATAATAACTTACTAATTACGCACTTAAGCCTCACAATTTACAATTACTAAAGATGTAATTAGGATAGCGGATTTATATTCTAATCTAGCTTTTATTTAACCACGGCACCTATAGTAGGTAGAGACATTTTAATATCTAGAGTAGCGTTCGTTCCAAGTCGAAAACTTTAGAAAGTTAAAGTAAATGAGATAATTAATATTTTAAATTATGTAAAATTATAAAATACCTTCTACTCACTGGCTTACTTATTAAGTTTACCAGCATTCTAGGAGAAATCAATTAATGCTTCCTGAGCTTCGCTTTACTAGAAAGAAAGACTGCGTAATTTCCACTTGGAACTGACGAGAGATTAAGTTAATCTTGTCTACAGCCCAAACAAACCAAGTAATTTTGAATAGTGTTTTGACCATGTCCAAATAAATGTGATCTTTTTTTAAGTTATTAACAGTCGTGTAAAAACTCAATATCAATCATAAGATTTATGAGACGATTAAGATGCTATAGCAACCAGTTTTCTGTAACGTCAGTATTGAAATCCCCAATACCTTGGTGCAATGCAGATTACATTGATGCAATTGCTTTGAGTAAGTAGGTACCTACAGGCTTTGGTTACCTAGATTGGTATATTTTATTCATGTAGGTATTAATATCTTTGGCCCGGTTTTGAGATTGAGAAATTGAGATTTCTACCTTGAGCGTGCTCATGTCCTTATCAAGTATGAACTTATTAAATCATCCTTGAGAAGATGAGCACGCTCAAGCCATTGCTCGTCAAACTGATCTCCTTGACTTGTGACCATTAAATGGACAGCTAGTTACCTAGTTACTTTATAAGCGGAAAATGCTGTGAGAGTGTGTCTCTGATTACCACTTCCGCTCTTGTTCTCCGTTCTCAGTAGCTAAGAAATTCCACTTTCTCTCTGACGATATTTTTCCGAACGTTTCAGTTGTTGATAAATTATAAATTCCCCAAAATAGAAATCATCAACTATATTTATAGTAAATACGCTTAATAAGTCCCCTCGTCCCAAAAATTTATCTTAACCGACCTTTTATATCACTGAAATTACGAATTAGAAGAACGCCATATTGGCAAACTCACCGGCCTTCTGCCAGCTTTCGTTAACCTTTCTTTATCAGTCCATCCTAAGAGCTGAGCTCTCCCGTTCGGAGAAATCGTGCACTATCGTTACAATAAGTGCACAGAGAGCGCATGCACGGGTTCATCTACGACTCAAAGAGGCACGCGCGGCGTAGGCGTCGGTCACAATACTTTGTGTTGGGAAGACATCTTTGCAACTCATCAGTACAGTCCTTCAATAGGATAAGAAAACCATCTATTATGTGGGCAGTAATAATATCGCTATTAGTCATCATGATTCGCTGTATTAAAAGTCTAAGTTTGAACTGTGGATCTACATTTGCGTATCCCGGGATATAGTCATAGAGGAAATTCATAAAATGGAGACATTTAATAGCGCAATAAAATTAGATGATTTACCAACCTATCACTCACAGACTTTTTTAGTCAGAATTAATTTATCGTGGTCCCAGGAAGTCAGAACGTATCGGAGCCCTTTACTTACTAGTGCACTAGCCGCTCGAAGTGCCCTCGGCCGTGACCCATCGACTTCGCGCATTCGCCTTAAATTAAATAGTACCTACCTACAGAGAGACCTACAAGAATACCGCGAAGCAAGACACCAATATCAATGTATTTATTAATGTTCTGATTTCTTCCAGTTTAGTTGAAGTCAATGACTTGTTTACAACGCATTGGAGTCATTGGGATTAAAAAATTCTAACCACGCGGCAAAAACTCTAGTAATATAATAATAAGTAAAAACTGTGAACATAATCACGCGACGTCAATCTTTATTATTACTTCGAATTAATAAAAAATGAAATGAAACTAAATATGTTACACTTGGCCCGCGGTCGATGCGCGGGAGTCCCGAAGCTCGCTGGAGCGTGACGGCCCGAACGTTTGCCTGACAGGTACAGACACCGACAAGATACAATTCTAATAAATAATATAATATTGATACCAATCAAAAAAGAAGAGTGAGACAAGGTCAAAGTACTTGGTGCTATAAATTCTAAATCGACATAAACGATCATCAAAAGTGGAGTAAAGTTATTCACCTTTTCAACATCCTGTATCTTTTACTGGTCAACTATAATAATATGCTGAAGATACTAGTGACAGGGGGCATCATATTATACAACAGTCATTTTAGATATTAGGGTCATACTTATTCTGCTCACTGTCAGTATCCGTTGTAGGCTTATGTTTATGTGGGCCACATGCGGCTGCAGCCTATCTACCGCGTTTACAGATATCAAATTACACGGTGCGAGTATCAATAAATTTGATAAAACAATGCTGGCTATGAAAAACATTGTTTAGTGCGCTTGAAACTTCTGCTGCATCGGATTGGTAAAAAATTGATGCGGTAATTAATAAAAATGCTTTATTAAGCTGTTATGAAGTCATTTACTTCAGAAGACAGGGCTGAACTAATACATTGTTCCAGTGGATTGATTTTCAGCCAAATGGAATTTAGCTGTGGATGCATGATTTTAAAAACACCAACTTGCACACAGAAAACTCTACCACAGATAATATAATACTACTCTACTAAAGTTAACTCCGAGTACGAGTTTACTCTTTACCTCAACAGCTGACTATGAGGTTAATCAATAGTCAGATACACATCATCCTTCGCGGTTATGAATGAACCGATTCGAGATAATAAAAGACAACATGTACTATAATGAGCGATCTACGAACACGGACTACCTACTTATTACAGGTGGTATCCAATGCCTACAATGTTTAGATTACATCTTGCGGTCTGGCCAATGTCACGTAACGTCGGTAATCGTGTTCAATTCATAGTGTAGCCGCGATACAAAATATGAAATCATTTCGCGGTTCATGTTACAACACAACATTATTGTAATATTACCTACCTACAACACATACAACATAGTATTTTTTATTGCAGAGATTTTTCTTTCTCTAGAGCACGCACTTAACATGACATCATCAGTAGAATCGAACCCAGGACCGGGGAGTAACTCCATTTACTTACATATTTTGCTAAATGCAACCCTGGAGTGTTCTCTCTCTAACTACATATTTTTTAAATCATTTTTTAACCACAAAGAGGAAGCTCTTTGCTTGAAGTCAAAGTCAAAGTCAAAATTTCTTTATTTGTTTAGACTAATAAATAGTTCTTACAAATCGTCATTTTGCTCTTAAGGAGCCTCTACATGTCTCATAATCTTTTTACCCTACCAGCGCTTCGAGACCAACATTTGGCAAGTGCTGAGAAGAAGCGCCGCAACAAACTCAGTCACCACTGTCTGCCGGTTAATATAAATAAATATAAATAGTAGTAGCAGGTACATTCGATTCAGGAGCAGTTCACTGAATTTACCATGCATTCTTGTATGGTGTATCTTATAAGAATGGGTATACAAGATTGCGTGGTATATTAAACAAGGTAGTGACGTGCTAATATCTAGACTTACATATTAAGATACTAGTAGAAATGACTCGCATACATAAATTTGAATAACTTGATGGTAAGTAATGGTTTTACTTACATTTTTGTTAATCTTGTTTACAGCACGGTGCGCGACTGCGGCGGGTCCGCGTCGCTGGTGGCGGCGGAGGCGCGCGAGGGCTCGTGGGGCGCCGCGCCCCGGGGCCCCGGCTTCAGCGTGGACTGGCCGGGGGACAACACCGCCATGCGCGCTGGAGACAGGTTGGTACCCACTGTTTTGGAGTTAGAGCCTAATAAAGTAGATTTTCGACAAGTTCATACTTAAGACGTAATGTGCTATGCGTTAATTTGTGGGCGTAGCACTTATGCTTCAACGCGAATGCGCCAAGGTGCTACCAAGAGGGTTACCTACGCCATATCGAATGACAAATGATCGAAAATCAAAATATCGAACACGTTTCATCGAACGATCAGAATATCGAACGATCAAAATATCGAATGCTCAAAATATCGAACGTTCAAAATATCGAATTTAAAAATGATCGAACGATCAAAATATTATTATATAAGTCATTCGATATGGCGTAGGTAACCCCTACCAAGAAGCTAGGTACAGCTCACATTTTTCGTCCTAGATGCCAAATCAAATTTTAAGAATAAAGAAGTATCGAACATAATACTGCCTCGCGTCTTGCGCTTGTCTATGGCTCCTAAACAGCTTCCAATAACTTTGCCCAAGCCCCTTGGAGGTCAAAGTCCCTGAATCGGCGGCATCCGATGGTATCGGGCCTGCTGGGAACCCTGCGCGTGCGTAACAATGCCGCCGTAGATGCGGATCAGCCAGTATTGCCTCTAATTATTCAATAGCAAATAAGTACCTGCGTAGCTTCTTTTATCGCTACGTCTTGTCGATAAAACAGCGTAAAGCTTTTATTTATTATTTTTAGACCCAATTACAATATTTTTCTCACAAAGCTAGTTCAATTTGCATTATAATCTTTGATACTTATATTATAATCTCTTAATAATCGTGTAGCTACGCGATAATTAAGGCTTATTCAGCTTATGTAACTAGCTTGTTTCAACATTGGCTTGTCATCCATCACTACTTTAATAAAGTAGTGATATTTATATTTATTATTATTAATTTATATTTATTATTATATTATAATTTTATTATATTAATATTTATTATTATATTATAATAATAAATTATCTGTATAATTATAACATATAGCAGTCGCCATAACCGCAGCGATAAGTTGTTGGTACATACAGCCCAAGGTGTATCTTGGGCTCAAGCTTGTTAAACTCTACAAAATAAAGGCATTTTGTTTATAATATTATGGTCATTAACAAACTTATCTTATGGGCAAAACTTGTTTAAACACATAGTAAAATACATCTTGCCTTAGATTAATAAAACCTAGATAGATAGTCAGTGCACGAAAGGTGAGGCAGTTTTTAGGGAGCCGGCACGGCTCACCCGTAAACGTCACATGAACTGTCAAAGTGAAAAATTGGTAAACACGTCCGACGAATTTTAATTAATTAAAACGGTTTGTGCTGTGAAAGGGTGTCTAAAATGCTAAAACTAGGCCAGTAAAAAATAAAGTCGAGTTTGGTAGGCAGTAAATGTAAATTCTAGTAAGTTACATAAACAAGTTAATTGTTGTTATTTATTTAGAGTATTCCTTGTAAGTTTATGTGACGTCTCTTGAATACATCAATTACCCCGTAGGAGCGGCTAAGGGGCGAATTGGATTATAAATGTACTTTTTACGAGCTGGTGATCAGTCCCCAGTGCTCACCCTAGGGTATTCTCACAGCAATTATCCACATTTAGTCGGAGCCGGTGCATAAAAGGAGTGAGCAATTTGTTATTGGGATTTATGAAGTCGCGAGCGTTTGACAATAATGAGGCGCGGTTCCCAACGTTTTTTAATCAACCACTGATTGCTTTGATGTGTTTCAATTCAATATAAAAACTAATTACGTAAACATGAGTGTGAAAGTGGAAGGCAGAAAATATATTGATTTATCACTGAGGCATTCGATTTAACGAATATTTTTTATATGTTGAAAATTAATTGGCGTGATTTATATCGGCAAATCATGTTTTATATTGAGTGACAATGACAAAAAACTTGATTACCTACTTATTTTATACTTTCTTTTATTTATAAACTTAGGCCTAATGATATTGCATATAGCTACCGGTTTTAATATTTGTATGTAGATCGTGAGATTCTGTAGACAAGTCGATTTTTTAATAATGTCGGTACAAAATGCAAAAAAGTTTTTAACTAAGTAAGTAGAACGAAATTTGCTCATCCGGAACAGTTTTAGTTCTCTTAGACTAAACTCGTAATCAAAACAAAAGTTGTAAGTAGTGATAACATCTTATCACGAAAACGATCTTTTTACACAATTACCATTTTGCAGCGTTAGTGAATTCAGCAGTATTATCTGCGTGGGAGCCTGTAATTATTGCACAGATCGTAACTGCGACGAAGGCAAACGGTGCGCGGACTTATGCGCGATGAGGCAGTTAACACTAATGTAACATGCGATTTCTCTTTCGTTCGTGTCTCATCATAATACACAATTAACTTTTAATAGTTATAATAGTTCTTACTAGTTTTATTTTTTCCGGCAAAAGCAATTTACAGTGTATAAAACACTGGAAGTTATGATTAACAATTATGATATCTTATCACCATTAACTGAGCGAGGTGCCGGAACACTATAAAATTGTGGTTTGCATATGAAAAAAATGTTATTGATTTAAATAAGAAACAATAAAGGACCGAGGATCGATCCCTGGGGTACGCCATGACAATATTAAACTTGAAATGTCGTTTATTAAGAAGGTAATTTGACTATGAATATTTGTCCCCAGGCTAATAGAAGTGAACGGCACGTCGGTGCTGTCGTGCCGGAGCCAGGAGGAGCTGCAGCGCGCCGTCAGCGCTGGCAACCCTGCAAAATTGGTCGTGTTGCGGGCGTTAGCGGCGCACGCGCACAATCCGCAACCTGCGTTCACACAGGTATGTACATAGGACAGTTCTGTATCACTGAAACTGTTATGTAGTTGCAGCAAAACCAAAGTTAAGACATCAAAACATGGTGCCAATTTTTTGCTCTTTGATGTTGATGTAGTCTTCTTGTTTCACGACGTAACCGTTTCATTTAAGACCTACTTACTTTCCATGTTATTATTTTGTATGTAAGATCCAAACAGGCATATATCAAGCGTAAATAACGAATAGTCTATGAAGCTCTCTTTTAGTTTTCCTGATTTTGTGGGAAAGATTATCTTTCTCGTCTCGTCGCTTCCCATCTTCACAGCCTTCCTTTCTTATTATTATAAAACGTAATCGTCAGTCATCTGAACAACATAGACTCATCTCTCAACCACTTCCAGAACGAGGCAGCGTCGCTCCGCGCCGAGCTGGGCTCGCTGCGCGCCACGGCCGACGAGGCGGAGCGCGCCAAGGAGGGCCTGCGCGCCGACAACACGCGCCTCACGCACCGCATCTCCTACCTCGAGGACCAGGTCGCCGAGATGCGAGCAAACCACGCACAGGTAAGCCTTATGCCAGGCCTGTTCATCTCCGCGAGTTTACATCGAAAACAAAACACGCACGATGGCCCACCTACAGGATACTATTCGACAAGGCCTCGCATACGAGCGAACATTGACTCACGCACGCGTATTCTTGTGTATGATGGAAGAAAATAAAGAAAATGGTGTAGTAAATACTGTGCAGTATTTAACTGCCTAAATAATAATAAAAACACAGAATGTTCTTTTTTAAGTTTCCTCAAGACACTGAGAGGTAAATAAGTAGTTAATATTATTCATGATAATTCATGCTAAATCATGTATTTCCTCCGCCATTTTTCGCAGTTTGGCACCTCACGTCACATCATTTTACCGAAGTCAGCCCCACAGAGCACATAATAGGTCAGCCCTATAGCTTCGGCGCAGTGCCTATCACTGACGTTTGTCAACAAAATGGTGCTTGACTCTTGAGACAGGCTAAATTACACCATATTGTTAATGACATTGAGCATACATTTTTTTAAATACCTTCGCCAAGTAAAACTTCTGTACGTAGTACTTATTATTATTCTGTGCTTATGCTTCAACCCACACAAACCACACCAACGCGTGCAGATCGCCATCGCAGGCGCGATCACGGCGCGATCATAGGCTAATGGACTGTCATGGGTCGCGCGACCTGTCATTCGCCTTTAATCGCACCAGCGATGACGATCTGCACGCGTTAGTGTGGTTGAAGCTTTAGATGCTCCTTCTACCATTATAGCAGATGCAAGAGCCCTACGCTCGACATTAGGCCTTTGTTTCATGTCGACTTATGAAATATCAAGTTCCTATATCTAATAACGATATTAGACACTTCACTTGTAAAGCTATCTCTTCGATTTAGATAAGCTGTTGGGAAAAAAAACTCAGACGTTGTTTGTGGCCGTGCGAACCGACGCGATCGATAAAAAGCAGCACGCATAGATGTAGCGCCATCTATTGTCCCTTGTATGAATTAGTTTGTCCCGACTTCCAGTAGTTCAGTAAGAAAGGAAGAACCACTTGGCGCTTTACAGTTGCTTATAAGTAAATAGAGGGCGCTAAATATTGGTTCACAACACAAGTTGTTTTCTCTTTCCAGCTTCAACCGGTGAGCAGCAACGACAGCTGCATAACAGTGAACAAGACCAAAAAGAACGTCACCAACATCAACATCACCTCCGAGCCGCCGGCCAAGTGCAAGCAGAGCCCCAAGTCCGAGGTGCAGGTGTTCCAGAAGGGGCCAGACATCACCGCCATCGTGGCTAAGCTGCCCGGGCTCGACGGCGCCGAGGCCAACCTGCCGCTCATGAGGCCCAGGTCCAACGCGTCCGGCGCATCTTCGCGCGTGGCGGCGTCACCCAGGGCGTCGCCTCCACCGAACCACCGCTCGCACAGCTCCCACAGCCTCGAGCATCGCGCGGGCCGCATGCGGCACTCGCTCTCCCACCACTGCATCCACGGCGCCGTCGACTACAGCGCCGAGACCGACGCCGCGATCCGGATGATCGAACGCAACCAAAGACACATAGAAAAACAGCGGATGAAGTCCGAACGGCTCAACAGGTCCAAGGGCGAGGAATACTTTAGATCAGACAGCGACCTCGACGTGCGGGACTCCCACTCGAACGTCGGCGCGTGCGACCCCCGGCACTACGAGATAAAGAAGGCCGCGGATCGAATAGAGGAGAGCATCAAGAAGACCAACTGGGCCGAACGGAAGACGCTCTCGATCATCGAGCAGCTGAAGAGGTCCCAGAGGATGCGGAAGATGAAGAAGAACGACAGCGCCGAGGACGTCCAGGTGGTCGAGACGGAGAAACACTACATGTACCACAGGATAGACGGCAAAGTTTTGGAGAACGCTCACAAGTCCAGCCGGAGGTCGTCGAAACTTCACTCGCGGAGCGCGAAGTCGTCCGAGTTCGAGTCGGAGTGCTCCGACTTCCCCAACGGCGATATTTACAGTAGCTCACCGCGCATAGACTACGGCTCCGAGAGCTGCTCCACGCGCGCGAGCCACTACAAGAAGCACGACGAGCGGGACGGGCGGTGCCGGCCCACGCCGCCGCGCAAGCCGCTGCGGCTGTCGCTGCACAAGGCTCGCAGCGCGCACTCGCTCGTCAACGGCGGCGAGTCAGACGCGGCGAGCCGGCCGCCGTCGGAGGCGCGCGAGGACAAGCGGCCCGTGAAGCGCTCGCACGCGGCCGAGCGCTGGTCGCGCGAGCGGCTGCGGGACCCGGCGCGCGCCACGCCGCGGCCCGCGCGCAAGCTGCTCCACGGGCTCAGCGCGCCCGCCGCCGACGACCTCTATCCCGACCATCACGCGCCGCGCGCGTCTCTCGTGCACGCCGGCAAGTGGTGCTAGCGCGCGCAGAAGCCTCTTCGCACGTTATAAATAGAAAGAAAGATAGACACTGTACATTAAACGGAACACCGATGTAAATATGCTACACGATGAGCACCCACCGCGTGAATACTCACCTGAATATAAAATATATTTATTGAGGTATACATTTTTAACACTAAGGATAGATAAATGACATAAACCGATTTGAAAATGACTGTTTTATTGAGTCCACCTTAATATTCGGATACAAGATGCCGTAGTCTAACTGACACGCGCTTAGCGTTACGAAACTGTATGTCCTTAATATTACTAACTCGAATTGATTATGTATCAAGTAGGCTAAACGATTGTAAAACTGCAAAGTTAAATATACTTCGTATTAATTTTACTTTAAATATAACACGCATTCTCTCGCTCGTACGTTTAGATAGTAGTAACTAAATATATATTTTGCGTCACTTTTCACTGATAAATATCAATGTGGTGCGGTACACTCCAGAAGAATCCCCAAAGGCACATATTAGATTTTGGATTTCTTATGAAGTATACGAAAGTGTGATCGATAGCTCCGAACAAAATATAAATTCATAAATTCACAGACATAAAACAGTAACTCTCACAATAAAATTATATATTAGTTGCAACAAAAACAAAAGACAGTATTTACACCAAACGTTATCATAATAATATAAACATAGATCGGCCCGGAGCCGTGCCGACTGCGGCGCCGTGAAACTTGTTCATAGTTCAAATGTCAAGTCACACAGCCGATTGAAATCTTTGAAGATGACTCGATAAATAATGCATCAAAAAGGTCCACGATGCAAAAATATCGATTAAATCCAGCCGAATATTGCTTTGCTTACTCATGGTATGCAACTTCTTGCAACTGCACTTGACCGTTTAGACTTCAAAATGAACTTAACAAATGAACATTAACCATTGACAACTAAACCCCGCACGACTCCGGGCCGATAAATCAATTCATAACCTACGAAATTATTAACTGAGCGATTGCTAAGTATCGATTTACTGCAGCAAATTCGATATACAGAAAGAAAACTAATTATATATCGCAAATATGTACAACGAGAATAAATATTTACTTAGCAATGACTAGGTTAATTATGTAACTAGAATCTTGACTCGATGCCGAGCGGTGTCACGCTGGAAACTAGTATACCGGGATTACATGCAATATTATAAAATTACTAAAATTACGGCTGTTTATATTTCTTATTACTATTCCCTAAAACTCTTCGCAAAAAGTCAGATCAGTCGGTCATTTTACTCAAGCTAACATTTTGTAAGACTTAGCACGATTAAACATCGTCGCATGTAAGTAGTAGTTAAAATTATTCATTATGGCTACATTAATTTCATAGTGATTAATATTATAATTTGATAAACACCGTAAAATGAGACGCAGTGTCACAGATCTAACTAATGTCATAACAGTGTCCAGCGTGACGTCACACGACGGCTACCTATAACGCGACTAAACTACAAGAATCGCAGTAAATCACGACCTTCCCATACACAAACTCGACTTGTCGTTCGAATAGCTTTTAAAGGAACTAATTTATAATGGTCAATCACATTGGTTACTTTATGATAGCGACTGCCGGCAACGAGTCGCGAATGCAGAACGGAACTGTCCCACCCGTCACATATAAAAGTACCCATCGCGACAAAATATTTACACATCATTCCTGCAACGCATCTGGAGGGCGTTTGCACCGAATCAGCAGAGTAATGTAACCGACATTCTTCGAAACAAACACCCTCTCAGTAGCTTTTCATTCAGTCGAATCCCGTCTGCTACATACATCAGCCTTCGGCTACAGACAGGAGTGGCACTTGTTCTCCTATTGAGGACTATCAGAACCCGCCTTATGCAGTGCGATGGTCATCCAGCCTTTTATATGTCGAAGGGCGCATGTAGTGCAAATCACCTTAATACTATTCATGACTCACAGGAACCGGGAAGCGAGTCCGGTAGGAAGACTTAATACTCAGTATTGCTGGATGATGCGGGACATTATAATATTCAACCCTCGAACGTTTTTAAGCCTTATTGTCTCGGTCAATAGGGTTCAAAATGCGGCAACTATATAGCCTCAGCCTTGGGAAGGGTTGAAGTTGCGTTCTAGATAACTTATATTATGGCAGCAACTGTTTCGGGGCACCCTTCAGACATCGGATCACCGACGACACCGCTGGGCTCGCGTTAAAATCGATCGTCTATATCGATAGACACTATCGAGGCTCCAAATCACTCATACCATCGACACCGCTACTGATACTGTCGACAGTATCGTAAAACTAGGTCGACACTATTGATAGTAAATCGTCGATACTATCCAATATCGTCAGCGCCATCGACAGCACGAGCGATTTCGAGACCCTCAACAGATAAAGTCTGGTCCGTGAGCACGTAGAATTTTGTCCAATGACCCCTAGCTACCCATCCTTATTGCTCGCGCGTAATTATGTTGCTATCGCGCTCGCACTCACTGCGGGTGCCAGTCGCACAGTCGCGACAGCAATATAATTACGCGCGAGCGATAAGGATGGGTAGCTAGGGGTCATTGGACGAAATTCTACGTGCTCACGGACCGGGGTTTAGTCGATTTCGTGCAAGCCCAGCCGCCGCCACTCGCTAACCTAGAACTCGAAGCAGCGGCCGAGGTTGACGAACTTCTTGAGCGCGTGCGGCAGCGGCAGCTCCTTGACGCCGCGCTTCATGGCCAGCGAGAGACGCACGCGGCGCGCGTCGCGTGACGGCGGCGGCTGTAGGTCGTGGGCGCGGCGCTTGCAGCGGCGGCGCGCGGCGGCTGGCGGCGAGCCCCCGCGGTCCGAGCGTTCTGTTGACGTCGACGAGCGCGCGCTTTGCCAGCGCCCGCGTTTCTGCATGCGCCGCCGGCCTAAGGAACATACATAAGTCATTATAAGTCTAGCGCTTAACTGAGTACTATCCGTTCGCTTTAAGTTTGCCGCTGGCGATATGACGTCACTCAAAGGCAAGCGTCTATGTGCTTGTTCACGTAGGCACGCGCGGGCGCAGGCGCGGGAAACGTCGCGAGCTCGTGTTCACATTGACGACCAGGCGTTCGCGCGAGTGTGACGTACTATCGTTTCTAGCGACGAGTTCAAACTGGTTGAAATTACCTGACGTCGCGAGTGAAACGCGCGCGCCGCCGCTAGTTTGACATGAACACACACAAACATCTTCACGCGTTGAAATTACCGCGAGCGCTCCGCGCGCGCCAGTCGCTAACTTGCCCGCTAGTTAGACCGCACGTGCGTTTCGTACGTGAACACTTGGAATCACTACATATGTTTGATATTTCGTCACCGCGCCCGCCAGTCAACGTGAACAAGCACTATAACTTTATCAAATTATATTTAAAATATTTTTTATTTATTATTATTGATGAAAATTGTGTATTTGCGTAAAATAAGACACATTAATTGCGTTTAATCGCGGTTGGGGGAGGGAACGCGCATTCTACGGACCGGCAAACTTAGTGCGAACGGTTAGTAAGTACTTTAGGTATGGCAGCGGCACGGGAGGAATAACATTGACATATTATATTATAATGTGACAGAGCATAAAAATCTGAAATATATTTGAAATCATTCAAATTCTCGTTCTTTATTGCTTCACGTCGCTCAATTCGAATTTGAGCTTAAAAAAATCTATTCTTGAGCAAAGATTCATACTCGAGTATTATTTTATAATAAACACCTACAAGTAGGTATATGCAATATAAAATCGGCGGCTGTCAATGAAGGCCATCGTGTTTATACTTAACAGTAGGCACCACTGACAGTACTTTCCACTACGGTGGCGCCATCCTGGAGAGTTCAAATGCGATACCGTATGCCCATACCGATTTAGCGCTCACCAGTCTTTGCTACTAGCAAGTGACAGTATCTTACTCTACAGCTGCAGTGCGCAGTTAACTCGACCGGGTTGTAACAATAACATTGAACACTCACTGGACTGCCGGTCGTCGACGTCGTCCGTCAGGCTGTCGTCGGGCCGGGAGGCGTCGGACTCGTCGCGCGGGTGGGAGGGACACGCCTGGCTGCTGGGCGTGGTCTCCTCGCCGACGCCGCTGTCCAGCACACAACATACAACACTCACTGGACTGCCGGTCGTCGACGTCGTCCGTCAGGCTGTCGTCGGGCCGGGAGGCGTCGGACTCGTCGCGCGGGTGGGAGGGGGACGCCTCGCTGCTAGGCGTGGTCTCTTCGCCGATGCCGCTGTCCAGCTTCTGCCGCTTTTGATCGTCTAGGAAAGACATACGTTTTATTAACTGAATCGTTTCATTTTTTAAATAACTTGAAAAAATCGAACTGCCTAAGGTGGCAATCGAAGCCACGATATTTCGCTTGCAGGGCGAATGCTCTTTCATTTGAGCTACTTAGACCCTGGCTAAATATAGGTATTTATAACATTTTACAAACACAAACATAGTAAAATGTGGTACATGTGGTGGTGGAAAAGACTTCACCTAAAAAGAAACGTAGTGTACAAGGGCCCATAGGGATCGCTCATTCTAGCGTTTTTCGAGCGCCATCTCCCGTAAAAGAAATGCTCACGCAACGTCGACGCGGCGCAATACTGAATGGTTGCCGAAAACCGGATCAAATGTTCAATAGACGCTAGTTTTGGGGAGGTCTTAGGAATACTTCCGACAATATTAATAGCTGCGTCGAAACCGGGCGCATGGGCTCGCGAGGCACGCTTGATATCCTGCTCACCCTGTTCTAGAGTGAGCAGGATGACAAGCTTAGCTCGCAAGCCCATGCGCCCGGTTTCGACGCAGCTATTAATGAGGGCTATCGTTTTAGCGCTCACCAGTTTGCGCCACTGTAGAGTCCTGTCACTTGCTAGTAGCGAAGACAGTGGCACCATCTGGTGAGTGCTAAAGTGGTAGGAGGACTATCGGATTTGCACTCATCAAGATGACGCCACTGTAGAGTAAGGACCTGTCAATCGCCAGGGGTGCCAACTGTTAAGTATAAAAACGATAGCCCTCATTAACAAACGCGGCCTAACCTTTGGTCGCGGGCTCGTCTTCGCTCTCGTCGGCGCTTGAAGCGGCCGGCTCCCAGTCCATGGAGGAGGGCCCGGCGCGGCTGGACTTGCCCAGGTAGATCTCCACCTCGGCCGGCACGCCCGGGCTCTCGTCCGGGTCGTCCGGCGCGTGCGACGGGCCCGACCTGGGAACAAGGCAATGGTTAAAGCCTGGTCCGTGAGCACATAGAATCCCGTCCAATGACCCCAAGCTACCCATCCCTATCGCTCGCGCGTAATTATGTTGCTGTCGCGACTATGCGACGGGCGCCTGCAGTGAGTGTGCGAGCAATTACATAATGAAACTGACAGAAATCAACTACAAACGACAAGAATAAATGAGATCCCGCTCGTTGTCCCGCTAATGTCGGATGTACACTAGAAAGAGCAGCTGTGCATTGTGATCGATAGAAACCGTTCAGACAGTCTCAATAATCAAGTATGGTTAGGGATATGTCTCCACGATTTACCCCCAGCACCCTCTTTTTAGGGTTCTGCATCGCATAAATAAGTCGGTAGCTTGACTAGTTGGGTTTTTATTAACGGTCAAGCTGTAGATCCTGGCTACACAGGAGTTGCTGCGGTGGGAACGAAAGGTGGGAATAGTTCCGTAAATAGCCATACTGGTTCGTGCACGCACAGTCGCGACAGCAATATAATTACGCGCGAGCGATAAGGATGGGTAGCTTGGGGTCATTGGACGAAATTCTATCCGCTCGGCGACCGGACTTTAGTGGTGGTAAAATAATGGCACGCGCGATGGATGTCCGGTGTCAAGTGGAGCCAGTAATGAAACAGCGAATTAGCCACGTGGCCTCACCTGCCTTTAGTCTCAGAATGTCCAATTTGCAAAAAGTCAAGTGGTATCAAAATGTCCAAGTCGCAAGACGTCCTTAAACGTCGTCTTAAGAAATTATGAAATGAAAACTTTATTACAAACTTTGAACTTTTAAGACATGGACATTTCGCAAACTTGGACGTTTTGCAACTTGGACATTTTGCGACTTGGACGTTTTGCGACTGGGACATTCTGAGACTAAACCCTCACCTGGGGTTGTCGTCGGGCGCGGGGTCGCCGGGGCTGTCGGCGGGCGGCGTGGGCGGCGCGCGGTCCACCACGGAGTCGCGGAACTCGAACGTCAGCAGGCCGCGCCGCGCGCGCGGGTTGGCTCGGGGGTTCTCGTCGCTGGTCGATGCCTCCCTGGACAATCAGAGATGGATAAGTATTTTCAACCGACTTCAAAAAAAGGAGGAGGTTCTCAATTCGACCCGTATGTTTTTTTTCTGTGTTTGTTACGCGATAACTCCGCCAATTATGAACCGATTTGAACAAATCTTTTTTCGGCGTATAGGCAATACCTCAAGGGTGGTCCCATTTAAATTTAATAATAGAAAAAACAACCCCCAAGGGTGGAAAATTGGGGATAAACTTTTTTATACGCAATATCTCCGCCGATTATAAATCAATTTGAACGATTATTTTTTTGTTGAATAGGTATTATCAAAAGGGTGGTTTCATGCGAATTTGAAGAAAATATTTCACCCCCAAGGGTGGAAAATTGGGGATGAACTTTTTTATACGCAATATTTTCAATTTTTAGTTTTTTTTGTGTTCACGCATTTGAAGTCGGTTTTATTTTTTTAAAAAGTTATTAATGTAAGGCGCTGGACGCAGACCGCTACCAACCGGGCAACATTAAATGTCTTTTATGTGTGCATGGAGCGGTTCGGAACAAACTGCATTGAATCTATATTGCATGTTGTGTCAGCCTATAATTGTTGTTGCATTGTAACTTTGTTCATAATTGTTATTTTTAAGTGTACATGTTGTTATGTAACAATGTTGGTAGACCTAATAAATAAATAAAAATAAAAACATGGAAAGCATTGGGGGAGGCCTATGTTCAGCAGTGGACGTCCTATGGCTGAGATGATAATGATGATGATAAAGTAATTTTAGGGGAATATTCTATTTGTACTACAGTCAGAAACAAATAGTTCGTGAGACCCAAAGTGGCCCAAAAGTTGATAACACAACGTTATTCCTTGTAACAAAGACGTGTTGCGAACTCATTGACTACTTTGGGTCACGAACTATTTGATGCTGACTGTAACAGCTAACAGAGAACGAACGTAAAAATAGTCTTTAATATTTTTTCCATTTTTGTATTTAATCCTGTAAATTTAGAAGGCAAAGATATCGTACGTAACGATCAACTGCTTCGGGTTTATTTATTCGAAACATTGAATGTTTCAGCCAATATAACCAAATGATAATGAGAGTGGAACACGAAACACTTATTTGAAAAATCAATGCATTCCACTATTGCAAACAAAGACAGGAGTCGCGTTCCTGAAATCATAATGATAACGCTTTTCAGTTGAAGTTTTGAATAAATACATAAATTTACAATTGGAACGATGAGCCGACGGCGCGGCGGGTCAATGCCTCCAGACAATACATTTTGTAACATTCGGTTTAATACAAATTCGACTGCCACTTTTCTGGCTCGCTGTGTATCATCTCTCAAGTCTGTAATCGTATAGAGCCCGTTTACCAAATGAAATATTTCGATAAACAAGCACTAGTCCTCCTCCTACTTTTCTCTCCTCCAAGGTACTTTCACACTCCTTCTGCTGCCGTCACCGTCAGTGCCCCCATTGCCGCCATCACCACCGACATCGTCGTCGAAAGAAGACAAGAAACAAGACAATAAACTAGCTTCATCGACATACCTAGGTCGATCGGCCGACGAAGATGTGTCATTCGAAGAAGGCGCAGACCCGCTGGGCACGCTCTCACTGTTGCCGCCGCCGCCGTCACCGCCGCCATCGCCGCCGTCACCGCCGTCACCGCCGCCATCGCCGCCGTCACCGCCGTCATCGTCGTCGTCGCCGCCCAGGTCGACGTCGTCGTCCTCGTCGTCGGAGGAGGAGTCACCGGGGGAATCCAGCGGATTGAAGCTAAATAGCTTAACAATAAACTAGCTTATCATCGACATACCTAGGTCGATCGGCCGACGAAGATGTGTCATTCGAAGAAGGCGCTGACCCGCTGGGCACGCTCTCACTATTGCCGCCGCCGCCGTCACCGCCGCCATCGCCGCCGTCACCGCCGTCATCGTCGTCGTCGCCGCCCAGGTCGACGTCGTCGTCCTCGTCGTCGGAGGAGGAGTCGCCGGGGGAATCCAGCGGATTGAAGCTAAATAGCTTAACAATAAACTAGCTTATCATCGACATACCTAGGTCGATCGGCCGACGAAGATGTGTCATTCGAAGAAGGCGCTGACCCGCTGGGCACGCTCTCACTATTGCCGCCGCCGCCGTCACCGCCGCCATCGCCGCCGTCACCGCCGTCATCGTCGTCGTCGCCGCCCAGGTCGACGTCGTCGTCCTCGTCGTCGGAGGAGGAGTCGCAGGGCGAGTACAGAGGGTCGAAGCTAAATAGCTTAACAATAAACTAGCTTATCATCGACATACCTGGGCCGATCGGCCGACGAAGATGTGTCATTCGAAGAAGGCGCAGACCCGCTGGGCACGCTCTCACTGTTGCCGCCGCCGCCGTTACCGCCGCCGTCGCCACCGTCACCGCCGTCATCGTCGTCGTCGCCGCCCAGGTCGACGTCGTCGTCCTCGTCGTCGGAGGAGGAGTCGCCGGGCGAGTCCAGCGGGTCGAAGCGCAGCGCACCGGCCACGCGGTTCTGGCCCATGCTCAGTACCAAGCTGAGGAGAGCGTTCATCTCGCGCGCACCGCCGTCGCGGTCCAGGTCGTGTAGTGCGTTTAAGCCCTCTGGAAACAATACACATTTTTTTGAATAAACATAAACTGAAAATCTTCATAACAGGCAAACAATAATGACGATAGCCAAACGGTGAAAGTGTCGCACTGGCCGACTCGTGAACCGAGGAACAAGGGTTCGATCCCCGCCGCTATACGACCGTACCGTAACCCACTCGTAAATACTCGTAATATAACCATATTTAGATTACCATGTGGGGCCGTCCATTAATCACGAGAGGCTTGAAAGGGGGGAGGGGGAAGGGGAGGGGGAAGGGGAGGGGGTTGACAATAATCACGAAATGTTACAAGGGGGGAGGGGGGGTCTAGTGAGATATCATGTGTATTTATTTTTTATTGTTTTTTCAAACGCGTACTTCCAATATGTAGGTATGTTTTTCTCATGATTACACCATTCGTTTATTATTTTTTTATGCCAATAACAAAAAAATTAGTTTTTTGTAGATACTAAAAATACACGTGATGTTGTGTGGGGGGTAGTCTTAAACCTCATTATGTATAATCAAGGGGGACGACCACATGGGGGGTTAACGGGACTTTAAAAAATCAAAATCAAGGACCAGAAGCAAGTGTTTCCTCACCGACGTCGCTGTCGTCCTCGATGGGGATGCATATGCGGCGCGGGCAGGACTTCTTGGCGGGCGGCGGGCGCTGCGGCGGCTCGCGCAACTCGGGATGCCGGCGAGTCAGCCCGGCTCGCATCGCCGAGCGGATCACGCCGCGCGCCAGGATCTGCAGCTTCGGCGGCGCCTGCTCCTCTGTGGGAGGCAGGAAAATGGCAATGCCAGATTTTGTATGGAAGGTGGCGTCTTTTTTTCTTTCGCGCGGCCAACGACCAAAACTTATTTTTCGATTACAAAATAGTGTCATAAACCAAACTTACTATGACATGTATAGGTACCTCTAAATTCAGCCTGAACTGAGTTACGAGCATTAGAAGATTCATGATTTTACATACTAGATTTGCTTTCTGCGTGTAAGCTTTGTAAGAAATTGCAACAAAATAGTGACATTTTATGTGTAAACAAACAATAACATCAATTATAGGCTCCAGCCATCAGTGTGGAGCAGAATCAGCGCAATAAAAAAGGACGTCACTATTTTGTTGCAATTTCTTACAAAACTTGCGCGCAAAAAGCAAACCGTAGTATGTAAAACATCAAACTTCTAATGTTCGTAACTCAGTTCAGACTGAGTTTAGAGGTATACATGTCATAGTAAGTTTGGTTTATTACACTATTTTGTAATCAAAAAACAAAGTTAAGTCGATGGCCGCGCGAAAAAAAAAAGACGCCATTTTCCGGCATTGTCTTTTGCACGAGACATAGGAAAGAGGCCGCGCAGTGGCGGCGTAGCATGGGTTGGCACCCGGGGCGATCACTCCCCTCCCCCCCGTCATAAGTTACACCCCCTAGGATTTACCGATTCAAAGACAATCCCCCCCCCCCCCTCCCGAATTCATGACATAGACCGCAGATTTGCCATGCAGATGCACCAGTGAGTACCTACTAATCTGCGCCACTTGTGTCACCCCCTAATGCTTGGCACCCGGGGCGGACCACCCCCACCGCCCCCCCTTACGCCGCTACTGAGGCCGCGTACCGGTACGCAGCGTGAGACGTCCACCTACAAGGTGGACCGACATCGTAAAGGTAGCAGGGAAGCGCTGGACGCAGGCCGCTACCAATCGATCAACATGGAAAGCATTGGGGGAGGCCTATGTTCAGCAGTGGACGTCCATGGCTGAAATGATGACATAGGAAAGGCTGGTGTGAAAAAGCCTTCATTCATTTCAGTAGACACTGACCGACAACTTACAGGGCTGATTAATTAATCGAATGCCAGATCAGACTACAGAGATCAGACACGCTTTTGTGCCAATGAGCCCAAGATATGATCTTGCGTTCAAGTACCATTTATGTACAGACAACGGCACGTCAAGGTAACTACTGTGGGTTCTTGTGCACAGTTGTAATAGGGGCGAGTTGGCAACAAAAATGGGTAACCTGATGTGCTGTCGTGTGTACAAAAAAATGACATTCCTTGCATCCAGTTTGATTCAAGCCTGTCCGTGTATAATTTAATGACCAATCCCTAATTAATTGCCCCCTAAGTAAAAGAAAATTTTCAAGGCAGAAAAGTTCTCGAGTAGTTAGTTACTACGGGCCAGAAGATAACCGACGATATGGTAAATAACGCCCGTATTCACAAACATTACTATGAGGTCTCACAGTGCGCGTGGACGCACAGGGTGACACACGAACTAATCACAGAGCTCTATTAAACGCTGTGCGTTCGATTTGCTGCTTGACTTAAGCAAGTATCGTTTGTGAATACGTAATTATATCGCGAAAGTAACTTGACGCGGGCAGCGCATGACCGGTCGTTATGGAAATCCTTGAGGGAGGCCTTTGTCCAGCAGTGGACGTCAATTGGCTGAAATGAAAATAAAATAAAAAAATGTGCTAACGATTTTCAACCGACTTCAAAAAAAAGAGGAGGTTCTCAATTCGACCCGTATGTTTTTTTTTTCTTTTTTCTATGTTTGTTACGCGATAACTCCGCCAATTATGAACCGATTTGAACAAATCTTTTTTCGGCGTATAGGTAAGGGTGGTCCCATTTAAATTTAATAATAGAAAAAACAACCCCCAAGGGTGGAAAATTGGGGATGAACTTTTTTATACGCAATATCTCCGCCGATTATAAATCAATTTGAACGATTATTTTTTTGTTGAATAGGTATTATCAAAAGGGTGGTTTCATGCGAATTTGAAGAAAATATTTCACCCCCAAGGGTGGAAAATTGGGGATGAACTTTTTTATACGCAATATTTTTAATTTTTAGTTTTTTTTTGTGTTCACGCATTGAAGTCGGTTTTATTTTTTTTTAAAGTTAATTATCAAATGAAAGCTTACCCAATTTGATAAGATCCGCGGCCTCCTCCTTAGTGGGCACCCGCAGCGTGGCGAAGGACACATTGAGCAGGCTGCGGGACACCCACTCCGCGTCGCCCACGCGCCGCACCTGTATCAGGTTGTCGTTCAGCGGCATCACCAGGATACCGCCGACCTGCGAGACAATACAACAGAATCACTAGTTAAACTAAACAATCCTGTTCAGGGCCGTCTTTAACCTACTAGTGGCCCTGGGCACTTAAGGATCAATGGTGGCCCCTTATCATCTGGAGAAAGGTCTTTCGAGCAGACGGGGGCCCCCACGGTCGCGGGGCCCTGGGCACGTGCCCAAAGTGCCCAGTGGGAAAGAGGGGCCTGATCCTGTTAATTAATCCATGCCTCTTCTGTCTAAACAGCTTTTAACCGAATAAATTCTGAAAGCGTAAATTGGAATGGAACAAGAACAAAATTGTTTCATTTAGTTGGGATCAACGCATACAGTATGCAGCAACATGGCTGTAATGTTTGTTGGTGGGATAAAAAAGATCTTTTTAGATTTCTGTCTAAATGCATCTAATGAATTCGAAAAGTACTAAACATATTTTATACTAGCTTTCCGTCCGCGGCTTCGCCCGCGTTGAACTTTGTCTGCCACAGAAAAACTTTATCGCGCGCGTCCCTGTTTCAAAAACCGGGATAAAAACTATCCTATGTCCTTTCCCGGGACTCAAACTATCTCTATGCCAAATTTTATCAAAATCGGTTCAGTGGTTTAGGCGTGAAAGCAAGACAGACAAACAGACAGAGTTACATTCGCATTTATAATATTAGTATAGATATAATTTCCACTGATTCATGGTTCGTTGACCAATTTGAAATCTGGGGTATATTTCATTTAAATCAGTGATGTAGATCTTGAGATGTAGCTTGACCCCTCTACTGCATGGAGTCCCGTTAAATAAATAGGTCTTGGTTGACTGGACGTCCGACAGGAAAACGATTGGCGACGAATAAAATTGCAGGAGCAGCTAACTCTTCAATTTAAAGTGGAACACACGTGCACGCGAGTGGTCACGTTACCCAGGCCAAGATCATTCTGATGAATATTTTATGTGTTTTTTTAGGAAATACTGATACAATTGAATCCTGTGATGAATGTCATAATATAATACGCATTAAATGCGCAAATCTTATTATTCAGGTAGAGAACAAATATAACTAAATCAGTAGGCAATGGCGTAATTTTGCATACCTACAAATATTATCTTTTGTTGAATTATCATTCATTATGTAAACCTCGCCTTGCGACATAATTATATCTGTATTTAATCGGGAGGCGTGATAAAAATTAACTGACCCACGCGGCCGAAGTCACAGGCAGTAATAGTAATCAATAAACAAAGCTATGCCAAGACAAGGGGCATTATCAATACAGCAGAATGATAACAGCATGTTGATAATACCAAACAATAACACACAGCAATATGTACTGTATTGTACATAGATAATATCTGATTATAGATGAAAACATATTATTTATACATGCACATTATATTTGTAAAAGCAAAGCAAAGTAAGGCCACTGCAAGGCACTAGCCTGAACCTAACTGTGGGGTGGCTTAGGCCATACTTCACCACATTGTCTCAGTGCTGATTGGACATAATTTGGTGCTAAAGCTATACCATTTCCCGTTTTATATTTATAAAACCTTTCAAAGACAATCTACATTTTACCCATGAAATGCACCCAGAATTTGAACTACCATTTGCTACAAATCCAGAGAATAATCAATATGATAGATTGTAATGTAATCATTGCATGGAGCCTACTGCAAGGTAGACATGGAGCTAAAACCAGGTCCAAACCACAAAATATGTAGGTATGTTACATACCTACAGTAATAAAAGATAATGGTGTGATATTGACAGAATTAACACTAGAGTGCTCGCGCCCCTAAATACTCCTAGAGTGCTCGCGCGGGTCACATATGTCACCCATTATGATATGGGTTTATTTTTTCTAATCTTAATTAATACAAGTAAAACAATTTATAATATTAAACATAAACAATATTTCTTACTAAATAATTTAAAAAAAGTGAGTAATTCTTTCATGAACTCATATTATACACCAAAATAAATACTTCAATATTTTCCAAATATTTTAGAGTCGACGAGACCAATGTCGTTTAAATAGTCCTTGGACCCATTATTTTGGCAAAAATATCACCTAATTAGAAAGTTAATCTATAGATTGATCTTATTCTGTGATATTTTGATCACAGCTCGAGCACGATTTGATTTGATGATCTGGACAAAAACGCCTATTCCACTTGTTACATTTGCTTACGAGTGCTTCGATTTCTTGCTCTTGTGCGATAAACACATCGTCCTTTGCCACAGTACTGGCAAGTTTTGTGCTAGTTGGTGTTCTCGCAACCCCAGAAGAATCCTGGTTTTTAATTTTATAGACCTAGGTGTATTATTACTACATTACTTACAATCTAAAACAACTACTTTCTTGCATCAGTTTATGCTTATAAAGCAATATAGTTATTGTAAAAGTTTAAAAAATGGTTAAAAAGTATAACTTTGAACTTACATGAAAGTAAACTTGATTTTAAACCGCGATGATAAGATCTCAAACAATTCCTCGAGTGCTCGCGCGGGGGACATGCGTCACCCAAACACTTTAAATGTTTTCTGCACTCACATTGATGCGTCTAGCAATATGGCGTTACTACTATCATGTGCGACAATACATGCTCGAGGAATACCTAAGAAGGCAGCACTGTAGCTCGATACCTTGAAAAAATATTTACAAATTTTACACCCTGGGTGACATATGTCACCCGCGCGAGCACTCTAGTGTTAAGTACATAGCGTCCATTTGTGACGACAGTGTGACATCTTCAATTAGATTAACATAGGAGATGTCACACTGTCGTCGCAAGAGGACGATAATACCTTTTCATTTTGGCCAATCAGTAATACCTTAATGAGCTGTTTAAAATAGTTCTGGTACTCTTCAGGACAGCCGGCGCCGCAGTACACGCGGTCGTAGGGCGCCTGCAGCGGGGCCAGGCACAGGCCATTACCTGACGAGTAAAGTTACACTCAACATTACTCCTGAAAAAACATCACTGTTTCATTATTTGTCAACTTTAATGATCAACGCAATTCAACTGAGTTTAAATTGATGATATTATTGCAACTGTACTTGTTTAAGTAATAAATATTGTTTGAAAGACTAACCATTAATAATATCTCAAAATGTCAAACCTTAAATTGCAACTTACCGCCATAGAATTTGGGCTGGCAAAAGTCAAACTCATCCACATTTGGAGAGTTTTCCAAAAACTGGCTCATCTTCTTGATAGAATATTCCAACACTATCGGATGGACTTCCACACCGTGACTTATGCCTCCCGAGCCGAGGATGAGGCCCACTAGCGTGCTGAGGTAGCCTGTCCCTGAACCAACGTTGAGGAAGGACAGGCCAGGCCGCAACTCCAGTCCTTCCATCACTTCACTGAGGACCAAAGTATACAGGACTAAAATATACATTTACAATTTCAGCAAACAAGCAACAAAACAGCAAAAAACAATTTTTATTGCACAAGTAATAATTTTTTTTAGTAATTGCTTGTTTTATATAAAAAAACAGCAAAAAAGAATTATGTATTGATGTGGGGGTAGTTACAAAAATTTCAATGCTTCTGTGATAGCAGGCAGGATACTCTTGGTGGATGTTCTTTAAAAAGATTATAGTGATGTATAGAAACTGTTTCATTCATGATTCAAGGATTGTGAGTTCATGAAAGAGCGTGAAAAACAACGAAATCAATAAATAATGCACTGGGGTAGAATTGCAATAATTCGAATGATAAAACGTTGCATGTACCTATAAATACACGGGGCTGACATGTGTAAGGGCCCGTTGCGCCAGGCCAGGTCCTTGTAGGCCTGGTCGCGGTTCTCGGGCGTCATGTAGTCGGCGCGGTCCAGCGCGCGGAACACCCGCTCCACGCTCCGCGTGCGGATGTAGTTGCCGCCCATCAAGTTGTCGATCAGCTCATTGTTGTCGCGCCCGGAGCTCACCGCACCACCCATCTTGTTTGTTTTGCTCTTCAATCCTATAAAACCCTTCCTTCGACACCTCAGCTGATAGAGTTTGTGACGTCACACTTGTTTTTCAACATATTCTAGGACACGATAATGATTACTTTATTGATGAACTTGGAAATAATATTGAATAATCACCGATTGTAATCATTTATAAAACACAAAATAGAGGAAAGTATCCCAAACGAATACAATTCGACCGAAAATCCTTCACCACAAACCTGCCAAAAATCTAATTCGTTTTCATTGACATAAGTTTTCGATTTTCCATTTTGCCAAGGCACAAACAAAGAACAGCCAATCAGATTGCACTGTTGCTCAAATAGGCATGTAACAGAGAACAAAAATTGACAACGTTTTGTTTATAAACAAAATTAGTCGATGGTTACAAAAATATTGACTGAAATTTTATTTTATGTGATAATTTAATAATTATGTCCTTAATGTAATCAATTTAACTGTTTTTTAAACTGAAATAATTTTTTTCATCACGTACCTGAAGATTACGTGGTTCATAGCCAGATTCAACTCTATAGATAGATCTTCTTTGTCTATGTAAAAAAAATGACAGATCATCAAACCACGGGATTGGGGATGTGATTATTTATTTTGTTGAATTTCTGTGATAACAGGCTGGATATTCTTGCAAATTTTTAAGTAACAGGTGAATTTTCTTAATAAAGGTCATTGTGAGATAGAGAAACCGTAAAAATACTCAAAGGTTGTGACGTTTGGCGTGTCTTAGTAAGACGTCACCTTGCTTTGATTACGATAAGAAGTCGAAGACTTGGTGGAGTAGTGAGAGAGTTTTTTGTTGGGCAGAGTGATGGCTGAGACGAGCGGGGCACAGGCGAGTGCGTCGGCGTCGGCCCCAGGGGGCGACGCCGGAGGAGAGGACGACAAACATGACGAGCGAATGCTTGAGTGTAACATCTGCTTGGATACAGCTAGAGACGCTGTGGTCAGCATGTGTGGACACTTATTTTGGTAAGATGTCCCATCTTGTATCTCTACACCATATCAGCTATACAGGATGTTAGGTAAATGGGTATATGAGCCGACACTAGCCCATGTTAACATGGTCATATAAATGGTATGGTGAAGTCAGAAATTTGATATCATCATTTTAATTTTTTTAATGTTCATACAAAATAAATTTTATAAAATCCGATTTGTATGAAAATTAAAATAATTAAAATGAAAATATCAATTTTCTGACTTCACCATACCATTTATATGACCATGTTAACATGGGCTAGTGTCGGCTCATATACCCATTTACCTAACACCCTGTATATGTGGAAATATCAGCTAGCAAAAAAAACTTTTCAACTGTACTGTAAATATTGCCCAAATTAATGTATAAAAAGGTATCACCAATTACCTACTAGTAGGTGAAATGAAAGCATTTTAATTACACAATTCATGATACACTCCTACTTATGAAAGGCAAAAAAGTCCTTACGAAAGAATCAATAGAATATACAGGGTTCGAGGATATATATCCAGGGATATATATCAAGATATATATCGGATATATATCCGATATATATCAAGCCGGTTTTAATGATATATATCAACTTTTAAAATTTGTTACTGTATTTGTACTTTTTGACATAAGATTTTTATTTTTTTAGTTGATTTTGCCGGATTTAAAAGAAATTTTATGTTTTTGCTTTATTTGTTTGATTTTAAGTTTTAAAAACATTAAAAACATGTTTATGTAACACTTTTGCAATAGTATTCATGAATAATACAATAAAATAATAGTATGGCTTTCACACAAAATTGATATATATCAAAGTTGATATATATCTGATATATATCATAAATATCCGATATTTTGATATTTATAATAAATATCGGATATTTTCGAACCCTGCTTGTACAAACAAGAGGATTATTTCCATGCTTCCATATAGCAATTTTAAAATAAAAACTATTTAGGTATAGACAATAGTACATTAAACTATATATTTTTCTTGCAAAAAGCATGTAGGTACAACTGCATGTAATTATTGTACATTGCATCACCTTCACCTTTTTCCCACCTGTTTTTCTTTAAATATCTATTGTCTGTAGTAATACTAATGAGTAAATAATTTAACATTTGTTAAAACTAGTTAGACAGTAACTTAAAATATCAAATGTATGAAAAAAGTGACTGTGCATGAATATTGTATATTGAATAAAAGACTTAGTTCCATCCAGTTTTGGAAAAAGAAACTGCTAATTTACATTTTTATGTAATAAACCACAACTATGCAAATATTAATTTAGCTCAGTATAATATTTAATAATTGTATTGCATTCCATAGGTTACTTTATTTGAACAGAAAACATGCAATACATTTTAACAAATGAGCAAAGTAGGTAAAAGTTTTTTTTTGTGCTATTAAAATACATAATGGTAGATAGATAATGGTTAAATTAGGTGTGTGCTTGTCCCAGGCGCGGATCCACCGTTGTGGGCACTGTGGGCATGCCCACAACCCTAATTTGCTTGTTTTAATTATGATCTATTGATAAGATCGATAGGCATGTATGTATGTCCGGGCATGTAGTGATTCAACTCTCACTTTGCTAATTGTTGGTGGCTGTGCCCACCACCTTTTTTGAGGGCTGGATCCGCGCCTGGGCCTTGTCCAGAATCAGATGACTAGTCACTAGTCAGAAAGAGGAATCATCTGTATAGCTTTTTCTTTTCTTATTTAACCCTTTAAGCCCCATGAATCGAAATTATAGAAATCAATCATTTTTAAGTGGTCTTAAGCAACCACTTGGGGTTTGATGTGTTAAAATGGTACGACTATTCGACATAAAAGTTTTTGGCCGAGTATAATATTTAGGTCAGTTTAATTGATTGGTGGTATCTCGCAGCTGGCCGTGCCTGCACCAGTGGCTGGAGACGCGGCCCAGCCGCCAGGTGTGCCCCGTGTGCAAGGCCGCCATCAGCCGCGACAAGGTCATCCCGCTCTACGGCCGCGGGAACACCAAGCAGGAGGACCCCAGGAATAAGGTAACTTCTTTGAAACATTTGGAGTTGTATAATGGAGAAAGCAGTGGCACAACTACAGGGTGGCAGGGCTGGCAAAATGCCACGGGCCCCCGATCCGAGGGGGCCCCGGCCCAAGTCCTTGATCGCGCGATGCGATAGCCCCGGGCCCCCTGAAAACAACCCCTAGATACGCCATGCCCAGAATTTGCCACGGGCCTCGGATGGTATACTTAGTTACGCCACTGGAACAAAGGCTAATGAGCAATAAAGAATTGTAATTTTAATAGGATTTGACAATAACGTCAGACAAATGCATTCCACGTCCGATCAGTGTTAACTGCCCATTGCCAGTCATGTCATCTCGTTCTATCGCAAAGAATCACCATTTGATTAGAGCGAGAGCAAAAACGGAAATGGATAGTTAACAGTGTGGCCGTGTGTGTGTGCCTCTGATTGGAGTTGCAAAACTGGAAAATAAGGCCTCATGTAAACAAAACCACACCAACTTGGGAACTGGCTAATTATTATTAGGCTATTGAAAGGTATGAAACGAAAATAAAATGGTAATTCTACTGTGTGTATGACAAAGAATGATTTGCATTAATTGACTGACAAGATTGCAAAGACCTCATATTTTCGTAATTCAAGTCTTGCTAAACAATGCTGAGTGTTTTGCAGTAGGTATGTTGCATCTCTATTTAAACGCGTATTGTTAATAAGTTATAAATATTTATGACCATTCAAATAATAATAATAAATCTAAGCAAAGCTTGTACCTACTATGGGTACTAGACAACGGATATAAACATACTTATATACTTGTTATTTAATTTTTAGCGTTAAGAGTCGAATCTCAAAGTCGCCCGGCAAGCGGAAGGTCGTGGGTTCAATTCCCGCCTTAGGCAGTTCGATTTTTTCAAGTTATTTATAATTTTCAAATACTTATATACTTGTTTTTTAAATACCTACATACATTTTATGCAAATGCAAACTACATAAAATAATTCGGCAGGTGCCTCCTCGGCCCGCGGGGCAGCGCACGGAGCCCGAGAACAACAGCGGTTTCCCGGGTTTCGGCTTCGGCGACGGCTTCCACATGTCCTTCGGCATCGGCGCCTTCCCCTTCGGCGTCTTCACGTCTACCTTCAACTTTGGCGACCCGCGGCCTAGTGCAGGTATAACGTCGAGGAATATAGATTTACATGAAAACAATACTTACAAAAATACAAAGTCTGAAGACTCGTTTATTACATTGGGTTAGCTGACCTTTCTCTTATTGTATACTAGTAGCTTTCCGCCCCCACGTCTTCGTCCGCGTGAAATTTTGTCTGTCACAGAAAAACTTTATCACGCGCGACCCTGTTTCAAAAACCGGGATAGAAACTATCCTATGTCCTTTCCCGGGACTCAAACTATCTCTATGCCAAATTTCATCAAAATCGGTTCAGTGGTTTAACGTGAAAGCGACGCAGACAGACAGACAGTTACTTTCGCATTTATAATAATTAGTATAGCCTGGTCCGTGAGCACGTAGAATTTTGTCCAATGATCCCAAGCTACCCATTCTTATCGCTCGCACGTAATTATGTTGCTTTCGCGCTCGCACACTCACTGCGGGCGCGCGTCGCACAGTCAGTTAGGGATGAACACTGAATATTATCTTAGATTATAACCACTGTACAGACACATCAGATTTATTGCTTATATGTTTGCAGCACCGCGCGGCACGGCGCAGTATGAGGAGGAGCAGTTCCTGTCGAAGATATTCCTGTGGGTGGCCATCGTATTCGTGCTGTGGCTGGTGTTCGCATGACCGCCCGCCGTCGACGTGGCGGCCGAGTGATACTGACCCGAGCGGCCATTCGCTCACTTTAATGCCTACAAGGACATCAGTATCTCATGACACACTATTAAACAATCTTGATCGGACAGTGCATTAGTGCCAACCTTTTCAGTCTTGAGGATTTGTAAAAGTTATGGTGTTGACCCTTTCAAATTAGAATCCCTTTAATCTTTAGTATGCCAGTAAATACGTTGTAAATAGAATGAACGTTTAAGTCCACTTGGGCGCTAATGAAGAACGCCATTAGATACTGTTTGTATGTAGTTGCCTCTGGCTCGGTCGTTTACTGTGAGAGCGAAAGCGTACTGCTTTCGCGACTTGTTAGATTAGATTATGCTTGCAATAGTGGCATACGAAAGATTAAAAAGTTGTACAATTTATAAACATACATATTATAAGTGAAACTAACAGGACTTATAACCTTGGTAGGCATTAATTTAAATGGATATTTGCTGTATAATGTACCTTTAACTGGCTACGTCTGCTTAGTCAAATTAGGAGCCGCTGCGGCCACGTGTTTTACTGATGAAGTTGTAACGATTCCCCAGAATTACTCAAACAGGTTTCCATTTGAGTAATTTGTTATAGAAACAAATAATGAACTTAGTTATTCGATTTTTAACGGTCACGCACTGTATAAAAGATTAGTCACTAAGTCATATTTGTAGATTGTTGCTTAAACCTGTAAACAATATATATTTTATACAACAGATCAAGAGGGAACGAAGTGTATAATATTAAATAAATCATTTATCAAAATTACCTAATATGAATTTGCAATGATGAGGAGTCAAGTGTAAATCTGTTAAGTCTCACCGTACGAGTGCTTCTCATGTCAGCAGCATTGAATATGTCTATCAGCGGTAGCTTTGCACGCAAACGCGAGCCTACTTTTGCGTAAAATACATTATTTCCTAAATCATAGTTGAAAATTTCTTAAATCTAAGGCAGCTCTTACAGTCAATCTATATTGTGGTGATGTATGAAGTTACATTCGGCAAATGTCCTATAAGATATCAAATAGATTTCTTGCTAAGTCACCTATGACTCATAGGTGACCTAGCTAATTAATCTCATAAGTTATGAGATTGACTGTGTAGAGCGGCAAAATATACACGTTGAATTGCTAATGTTAGAATGTATAATCTATAGTTATATAAAGCTCGTTTTGTTATAAGGTTTGAAAAGTCGTAATATGACTTTGGATGGAATATTGATGGATGAAAAGGTATGAACATGCATTTACCTTGAAACGGTTCACAAGTGACTAGTCCTTTGCTGGTTTTCGCGGTATCTTTACTATCTACTTGAAGCTTATTTGAATTCAAAAATAGTTTTAATATCCTAATTTTGGCTTATTCCACTATTCCCCGTTGACTTTAAAAATAAAACCCTAATATAACGGGGATTAATGAACTTTTTAGTTCATTATTCCCCATTATAAGCTCCAATTTGGCGTTAACGGGGAATAGTGAACAAAAAGTTCACTAATCCCCGTTGACGGGGATTGTCAACGGGGAATAGTGGAATAAGCTCTAATTTTTAATGATTAGTAAACGAAACAGGCAGGTATCGCAAAAGTCTTCTCTCTCTTTTTATTTACTAAGCAACAATTAAGAAATTCTATTTCATGCATTATATTTAGAACCCATATTCCAATCCCGGAAATCATTCGGGCCTAAAATGTCTTCAAATACGGTGCAGTCCTGTTGTCCCCCCTGCTTGGCCCCCCTGGGGGAGCCAACAGGATTTCGAAATCCTGTTGTCCCCCCTGGCTAGGGGAGACAACAGGACTGGATTTTTAATCAATGATTTGAGGACTGTTGTCCCCCCTGGAAAACATTATTTAAAAGCCATGAATTTTTATATCATAATTTGTGAAATACTGAAGTGCTTGACTGAATGCCAAATTCCCAAACTGAATACCTAAACGTTTGTTAAATAATAATTACCATTTTGATAACGAAAAAAATAAGGTGTTGGTGCCGGTACTGACACCTACAAACTTGAAGTTTGGCAGGTAGGTTCCATAGGGTGTAGACATCTGCCAAGAACGGATTTTATTTATCTATTTATGTAAGGATAGGAAATAATACGAAGCATATAATAGGATTTTACTAAATTCCACACATAAGGGGGTAAAACGGACTCCACGCGTAGGTACGAAGTTGCGGTTATGCAGTTTTAGCGCCCTACCTACTAATATTATAAATGCGAAAATTTGTGAGTATAGAATAGTATAGATGTTTGATACTCTTTCACGTAAAAACTACTAAACGGATTTTTAGTCAATTTTTACAGAAGACAATATTTTTTATACATAGAATAGCATATACTTGCTTAGCTTTTGCCCACGGCTTTGTCCGCGTAAAATTTTGTCAGTCACAGAAAAAAATATAAGGCGCATTCCTGTTTAAAAAACCGGGATAAAAACTGTCCAACGTCCCTTTCCCGGGATTGAAAACTATCCCTTTACCAAATATCAAAATCGGTTCAATGGTTTATGCGTGAATTCGTAACAGACAGACAGATAAAGTTACTTTCGCATTTACTCGTATAATATTATTTAGTAGGGATAATTCATAACGATCTGTTAAAAGCAAGTAAAGCAGATTTTGAAATAGTCAGAAATATTACCGGCACCAACAACTTATATTTTTTTCGTTAACAAAGTGTTAATTATTATTTGACATACATAATACCTAAAGTATTTAGTTTGGCAATATGGCATGTAGTCAGGTACTCCAGTACTTCTTAAATGTTACAAAAACATAAATGGCTTCTAAATACCCAATGTTTGCCAGGGGGGACAACAGTCCTCAAATCATTGATTGAAAATCTAGTCCTGTTGTCTCCCCTAGCCAGGGGGGACAACAGGATTTCGAAATCCTGTTGGCTCCCCCAGGGGGGCCAAGCAGGGGGGACAACAGGACTGCACCTCAAATACACTGGTCATCAGAAAAATCGACCCTCCCGCGACAAGCACTTTCAAACGTATGCATCCCGACTTCCCACCAATATTGGCACCATTTAAAAGCCTAGTTCTAAGCTTCATTTCATTAAAGGAAAGGTTTTTACCCCAAAAATGTGTCTGTAGAAAAATCCAGTCACTTTTTCAAAAAATAGGTAATTACGCTTGAGCCAACTTTTATGGCTATAAAACTGTTAAGTTGGGATTAATCGCTATCCATCTGTTAAAGAGGACACGTGAGATCATTATTTGGTTTTATAACCATAAAAATTGGTCTAATTGATCCCAGAGATGAGCCCAAAGTGAGGTCTTTTTTCAAGTCACATTTATTGTATATCGCGTTTATGTTAATCGTTTATTATGAAATTAAATGTGTTTTTCTTTAAGGATATTTATTGGGCTTTCAAATAACACCAATATTGTTGGGGCACCATGATTGTGTCAGTAGAAACGAGTTTTCCTGTAAAACGTAGGTGGGCCGATTTTTGTGATGACCAGTATAGTAAAGGGCTATTCCAATTTCACCTCGCAGCCGCCCCGGTTGGTGCTGACTGCTATCTATAATCCCCATCACGAAATTATACACATCGATCTTTATTTACATTTGAAGGATGTTGGATTTGCGAGTTTAACTATTTGTAACTAAATATTGATATAATGGTGATGGAAGACTTCATGGCGAGGGATAAAGGGACTTTTGATACTCGATTCTGGTATAATGGCTTGAACGTTTTGTTGAATAAGGCAACGCTCTGGAAAAGCTCTTTCTATCGGTCACTTCTACAGCCCACAAATAAAAGGAAGGACACTTTGATATTTAGAGAAACAGAATTGTTGTGCAAGTGAGCATGATACTCGATGTGTATAATTTCAATGGCGTTTCCTTCTTTCGAAGTTCGGCGGTGTTTAGAGCAGTTGACAGGTGTGCTACTATTGTATAATGTTATAGCTATTCCAAATGAATTGGCGTATGGAAACTCATAAGAACATAGGGGAGAGTTCGGTATATTGTACCGCCGGGTAAATTGTACCACCCTCATATTTCGTAAAGTATTTATTGAATGTCTGTAATTGCAACACTCAGCGATACACAACTAAAATCAATTAATATCGGCCATGTGGTTTTTGCCGTGACAACAAAAACGTGTGTTTTATTTGGAAAAGTATTTTTTCATTGTTTTCAAGTAACTTTTGACAATACATGTTAAGTTTGTAATTTTGTTAAATTTAATCACAGGCTGTTTCTAATATATTATTTAGAAGCGTAAATTAGTGTGGATTACAATTATTTGAAACATTTTTCGGTATTTATAAGCTATATTTTTTATCGATTTTTTAAAAGCACTATCACCTAGTCGGCTAAATTGTACCACATCAAGTTGTATGGAACTTTACCAAAGGATTTTGTAATTTTTTTTAGTAAATCATATTTTGAAGTTATAATAGCGTAGTTATGTTTGACTAACAATAAATGAAAGCAAAAGGCTTGAAATTTATTGAAATCCAATTTAGTAACCCTGTGGTACAAATTATCGAACCGGTTGGCTAAATTGGACCGAATCTCTGAACTCGTACTTTGTTGATTTGTGCTAAATATACAACAATCATGTTAATTAATACTTATGAAATAGTAAGTTGAATAATGTATCTTTTATTATATACCATGGACATTAGCAAAAACAAAAGAAAACTATGTGTAAAATGAGATAGAAAAAAACTGGTCCAAATTAGCGGACTCTCCCTTACTATAAATTGGTAGATAAGTTTTATGTTAATATTTCTGTAAAAATAAATGTATATATTTGAATAATTTCAAGAAGGATATGTTGTGATGGGATGGAAAGTTGTTTTAAATTATAAAAATAAATATATATTAATGCTATAGCCTGACCAGGAACATAAAAACCCTGGCATAGAGGCGCGTCAATTGCATTTGATAGTGCAACACTGAGTACAGTCGTACCTGTGTTAAATTAAGAGGCTAAATTTATGTATCAGGATTCAGGATTACGGGCTAATTTGATATTTTCATAAATTAACGAAAAAATATTATTATAGGTAACCTGGTTTAAATAAATTAAATGAAATCATCAATCGAGCTAGTAGGATTTATTTTATTATTCATCAATAATCAAATTCAGAACTTGAATATTCAACTGCAATGTCTGCTCATGAACGCTTCAAACTCGGTACTTCTTTCCCAATTCCATAAAATTCAAAACTGAGAAAGTGACAAAAAACTTTAAAATAGGTAGTTGAAACAAACTACAGCTAATTTTCATAGTGGACTGTACTATACGATAAACATGTCAGTCAATTTGACAACCTTTGTCGGAAACATTATTCAATGAAAATATTGTCCGAACCCTTGGTATTTCTCTTCGACAAATACATTAACACATTGTGAACCACTTTTCTTTCACGACTATAAAAATATTTTAGCAATTTAATTCACAAAATCAATTGCACACATTTAAAATAAAGTTTGTTTACACCTTGACAGCAATAGACTGACATGCAAGGTGACATGCTAATGAAGTTTTCAGTAACTGTTGCCATTAAAAGAAATTAGTACCATTAGTTTTCCGCAACATGGCGAGGGTTTTTATGTTCCTGGTCAGGCTATACGAAATGACGTTTTTTATTTTTAACTTTTCCGTTACGTACAGAAAAGGTTACTCCAATTTCTGCCCTTTTCTGCTAAAGATTAAAAATATTTGATTGTTTGACCAGTCATTTATTTTTAAGGAAATACTACCTACCTAATTTACAAATATTGGATAACTTTTATTTTCACAAACAGATTTATTAGTAGTCCTTTTTTAATTATATGAATTATTTGCTTATCAGATAAAAGTGGAACTTAATTCTATCGGAACCTAACCTTAAGACTGAATAATAGGTTCTCCTAAATTAAATTGGATAAAAAACTTAAATCGTTAAAATTACAAATACACAAACACATTCGAACATGAATATGTCGAACGTAAACAATAATTGCAAGTCTCGTTCAAAATATCCTCTCAGAGAAGAGCAGTCACTTTTCCGCGTTAAGACTTTCGAAACAAATCTATTTACTCACTGAAAAAAGCAGCCAATAAATTCGTTAAACGCGGAAAAGTGCGTGTTCACCTTAATACATAATAAACATTTACAAACAGTTGAACGTCCCAATCTCTAATCGGGAATTTGACTTCTAATATACTGTGAATCACATCACTTCTTGATAAGTCGCACTTATACTAAGTCTTAAACTAGTAGTCCCTTTGCAAGTTGTACCACCAGCCTAGAGTCAAGCACAATCACCATCCAGGTGGAATTTAGGGATTCCAATAAACGTGAGTGTGATTTAATAGCCGACGGCAGACCGCAACCGCAACATCAACGATAAAATTATTCATTTCCTAGATTTTCCCGTTTTTAAAGACAATAATACGCTAGTTATGGGTATTATTAATATCTGTGTCACCATTTTGAAAAATCTTGACGCTGCACGCGCTGCCAAAATAGGAAGGTAACTCAAAATTAGTATTTCTATTGAGAGAGCTAACAGTAATCCAATTTTTTAATTAGAATCAGTAAACTGACATTTAATCCATAGGCAACATAGGGAGTCATTGACAGTGACAGCTGCAATGACATTTCTCTGACTCAAATGAAAAACTGAGCTTTGGAACATGCAACAAAAAATATTGAACATGACTTGGGAGCATTTAGTATTGAGGCCGACATCCCAGGTCTGGCCGTAAACAAAAGAAGATACAAACCGGTCTGAGCATGGGTACAAAAAGACCAAACTGGCGCTCAGAAGATAAAAAATGGTCTGAACATCTGTACAAAAGGCTTCCTAACTTGCGCTCGGCTGCCGTCATCAACGCACACGCACAACTCACTCAGATGTCTCGGGCCGCGGCGCCAGCAGCCCCTACTCTATGACGTAGAGCTTGTCTGGCCGTAAACAAAAGAAGATACAAAACCGCCTCCATCGGTACAAAAAGACCAAACTGGCGCTCAGAAGATAAAAAACGGTCTGTACAAAAGGCTTCCTAACTTGCGCTCGGCTGCCGTCGTCAACCCACACGCACAACTCACTCGGATGTGTCAGCTGTCCCTACTCGATGCCGTAGAGCTTGTCTGGCCGTAAACAAAAGAAGATACAAAACGGCCTCCATCGGTACAAAAAGACCAAACTGGCGCTCAGAAGACAAAAAATGGTCTGTACAAAAGGCTTCCTATCTTGCGCTCGGCTGCCGTCGTCAACCCACACGCATAACTCGGATGTCTCAGCTGTCCCTACTCGATGCCGTAGAGCTTGAGCGTGCGGTCCATGCTGGTGGAGGCTAGGTAGTGCGCGTGCTTGCCGAAGCGCACGCCGGTGGCGGCGGCGGTGTGGTCGTTGAACACCTTGAGTTCTTGCCACTGGCGGCACAGGAACACGCGCACGTCTGATCCCGCCACGGCTAGGTACGTGCCGCTCTGGTCGAAGCACAACTCCTTGATCGCGTACCTGCGCAGAACACGCTCATTAGGTACAGTCACGGAATGAAAAGGTTCGTCAGTTTTCAAATTGATTCCTTCAACGAATCGCGAGCACATATTACCTTTTGAAACTAAGTTACAGAATAATCTCGAGTTAGAGAAAATAATCTTTAACTGTTCGTCAGTAAAGTTCAAAATTATTCAGATTAAAGTGGTTTGACGATTTATCTTGTCAAGAAGAATATTATGATTGATAAACTAAAACCTTCTTGTTGGTTCAACCTGCCATTATTATATCGATTAAATAAAAAAAACTATTGTCAATTGGTCAATGTCATCATTGCATTGCACTGATGGGATAGAAAAATAAACAAGCAAAACCTTATTCTTTAGCAAACGTCATATTTATTTAAATGTTAGCAGCACTGTTTCTTGTACTGTTATGTTGGCAGGTTTGACTCTTACAGTACCTAGTGCAAGCGAAAACCGACACTAAGGTGACGAACCTTTTCATTCTGCGACTGTACAAATACAAATATTTTATTAATGCAAACACACCGTTTACGCATACACCTTCCAATACAATTGGTAACAATTTATTCGGTGCACATTATATTGCTTTGTTTGCGGGTCCCACACTAGGAATAACCTGTGTCGTGGGCACCCAGTGGTGCTATGTAACCAGTACAGCGACAGATACTCCCCACACGGGACTAGTCATAAGCCGAGCAACGAAACGTTCCTCAGCCACCTATTATGGCTAGTCCCTAACTAGGTAAATGTTGTATTACGACGAAGTAGCAATTAAATGACAGGCATCACAGACAATAAGGTTGCTCTGTCGATTAACGACAATTAAGTTATGTTTTATTATCCTATCGGTGTGTGATAAACAACATGAAAGACACTAATGCAATGTATTCATTGTAGACTCAAGGTTGCCAATTTAAAAAAGTTAATGGTGTATCTGAGGGCTCAGTTGAATTAACATCATACGTCGTTACTAGTGAACGCGTAAAAAATATCATTAAATGTATGACGGATTGTACAGCGCCCCTAGCGGAAACTTTCAAGAACTAAAATTTGCATATATATTTTTTAAAACGCTCACTAGTGAGGACGTTTGATGTAAACTCACACAAAGCCCTCTGGTCGATATTAAAAAAAATAATGAAAAAATTGACATAAAAGTATCAGACAATATCGACATTTTCACCACTCTAACATCGATCAACCCATCTTCAAGACACAAATCAATTTTAACATAACACTACATACCCCTCTTCCAGCTGGATGGTCTTGAAGTTCTTCAATTTACGCAGATCCCACAGCTTGACGCAGGAGTCCTCGGCGGCCGTGGCCAGGTAATAACCGTTCTCGGAGAACGAGATCGACGTCACCGGGCCCACGTGCCCTGGGAAGTTGGCCACGTTGCTCTGCTCCTTCAGATCCCAGATCTTGACCTGGTAACGAAGTATGGATTGCAAAATTTGTCACAGACTACACATGTAGTTGTAAAATAGTACCTATTGCAAGTAAATAAGATATACATTTTTAATTTGATGCCGTTTTACAAACCTTGACTCAACGTAATCAGGCAATGAGGTAAGTACTGAGGAGATTTATTTGACCACCTGTATCTAATAAATTACACTAAGATTTTTGGTTTAGAGGTACCGAAGCGTAAAATATACACTGATCCTTGTTTTAATGTAGAATCGTTTCGTGTAGCTTTCGATCGAGACATATCCATAATGTAACGTGTGCTGGTACTAACCTGTGAGTTCTCTGTTCCAGTACCAAAAATAAGCCCGTCAGGATGGAACTGTGCTGTGGTGAGGCTGACACCTGACGCGTCGCTAACCTGAAAACATTTCACATTATTATAATATGCAAATGAAAGAGGTCTCAATATAGAGCCCTGGGGTACTCCCATTATTAAGAAAAGCTCCTAAAGAATCAATTGAAGAAAGCGACGACAGTCGAACGGTGAAAGTGTCGGACAGGCCGACTCGTGATCCCAGGAACGCCGGTTCGATCCCCGCTTAACTATTGTGGTAAATCCACTCGTGACACAAGCATATTTAGCTTACCAGTAGGCTTAAGATGCGCGCCGTGATAACTTTTATCGACGTCAAAATGTATGGGGAAAATCGATAAAATGGCGTGATAACCGCTTATCGCGGCGCGCATCTTAGGCCTACGTGAGGGGTTAAAAAAAACAATTACTCTATTTATTGAGACATGGCGGCGCATTTAATCGCTTCCCTCAGGTCTGCACTGCTACAGGATCGCTTACCGCCTCAGTTGATTTAACCCTAAGCGGTCGCACAAGACCGCGTAACAATTACTTAAAATTGTGTTTTGATTCGTGGGGCTTATAGGGCTAATAAACATCTCGATTCGTTACCTTGGTGAGCAGCGCGCCAGTGCGGATGTCGGAGAAGGCCCAGTGCTGGTCGGTGGAGGTGGACAGCACGTAGTCGCCCGTCGGGTGCAGCGACAGCCCCGTCACCGGCCCGTCGTGCGAGCGCAGCACCGCGCTGGCTTGCGACCTGCCGCCAGAAAACGCTTCTATGTGAATACCCATAGAGCACACAAAAACGTGTCCACCTTGGTATTATACTGGTTATAGCTTGATAAGCTGTTCAAGATAAAAAAAAAATTGTGTCCGACCGAAACTAGTTTTACGACCGAAACCGAAACCGAAAACGAATTTCGGCAACGGTGTCTATTTCGGCCGAAACCGAAACTTCCTTACAAGGCTCATATTTTGAGGGAAAAATAAAGAAAACGTTATTATAATCAGTCAGTCTTTAAATTGCATTAAAATTGAACTTATAAAGTGCCTTTTTACTCTAAAAGGTATCAAATTATGTATTAAAAAAGAAAAAGAAGGATTTATAGTCTGATTTTTTTTTAATTACTCGCAATATTCAGGACATCTACTACATAACCCGTTCCATGGTCGGGTCTTTTACCTTAATAATTTCTCAAAACAAAATTGGTAGTACGTAAGTTAGTATCTAATGTACTTGCCACTTGGATACCTTGGTGATACATACTAAAATGAACTTTGAAACTCTGAATCCATAATATTATCACCATGAAATGCACTATAGTCATTACTAACTACTTAACTAATGTTTGTTTACGTATAGCATTTGCGAACCAAAAAAAAATTGTAGTTAGATTAAACTTGATTACTATACTTTTATCAGTCATATTGAATATTTTTTTTTATGTTTACACCCGCTCTTATGTTATAACGACATAAAATGAGATAAAACTTACCATACCATTCAAAATAAATCACTCGAAAACTCGCCACCACAACAAAACAAAACTAACAGCAAACAAACAAGCGAGCGAATCACGACATTGGCTCTGATCGGATTCATCCACTCATTCAACGCGCCGAACATGACCGATAACAGCGCGGAAACTCCCGAATGCACATTCGGTTTCGGTCGTAGTTTCGGCAAGTTTGCCGCCGAAAACGAAACTAAACCGAAACTCGTGTTTTTACCGAAACTCAACCGAAAACGAAACCGAACATTCGGTCGGACATTAAAAAAAATTCTATGTCAGCGTTATGCTACCGCACCCCGATTAACTAACGGTTTTAATGTTCCGTTTTATCGTGTACGTTTTTTTTTCGTCGATGTATATATTATACTGTATACAGAATACTGTGTCATGTGTGAAGTCGCTCATACAACTACATACGCCATCGAAAAAAAAAAACGTACACGATAAAACGGAACAGTAAAACGGAGACATGTGTGAACCGGCCGTAAAATAACGTCACATAAAACTATAACAACATTATTGCAATGCTTCTCTCACTCTCGGTCGTTATTAATACTTGACAATAACTAAGTCATTGTTACACATCAGGACCAAGCTGTTTGGAAGAGCTTCATCTCAAGAGTGCAAATTCTGTCGCAGGCATCAGTTGAAGGCTTCATTAAAAATATTGTTTTTAGCGTCTCAAGAGAATGGGATTGGTTGGGTTAAAATTTCCGTAAATACTTGTTATTTCTTAAAACGAGTGTTTACAGAAATGTTAATTGTTTTTAACACTATATCAAATTCGACTAGATGTTAAACTTACATTGGCACATTCCATACTCTGATCGTGTGATCGGGCGAGGCCGTGATGACGGTGTCCTCGTCGGGGTGGTAGATGACGCGCGTGACCTTCTTGGTGTGGCCCTTGAGGATGGCCACGACCTGTTCCGTGTCCTTGTTGAACACGGTCGCGTTGCGGTCGTTGCCGCCCGTCAGCAGCTTGCTGTGGTCGGACGGGTTGATGTCGAGAGCCAAGATTCCCGGCACGCTGGCTGAGTGGAGACCCTGGTAGGGAAATGTTTGTTAGAAATGCAACAAGCAAGTAGATATTTTGTAATTTTAAAGAATCTAGTGTCCAACACACTACAAAGACCTATTGTGAAATATATAATATATTTGTGAAAATGTGTATGTTAGAAATTCTAAAAACATTAAAAAAAAGTCAAGGAGGTCATGGCGATACGAGTAGAAAGACGACTATCACATCAGAATAAATAGTAAACTATGTTTGTTTGATGGACAGTTGACTTTGAAGACCTTAAAGACTCGTCTTTCCTTAGAACCGTCACCAACAACCAAAATGGTCTTTCGAGCCGGATCTAAACCAGCGACTTATCATAGCTTGATTTTGACACAGTGTGCTCGCTAGCGACTGCCTAATAAAATGACATTAAAAGTATGACATATTGTACAGCGCCCCTAGCTACTTTCAAGAACTAAAATCTTCATAGATTTTTTAAACTCTCTAGCGTAGCGAGCACACCTAATGCAAACTCATGATAAGCACACAGTATTATAAACATGCGACTGACCGGGTGCGAGGCGAGCGTAAGGAAGGCGCGCAGCTGGTCGGGGCTGACGAGCGCCTCGGGCACGGTGCGGCCGCGCCGCTTGCGCTCCTGCGTCAGCTCCGTGGCGCGCTCCTGCAGCCGCCGCACCACGTCCACAGACATGCCCACCGCCACCGCGCCGCCGCCCGCCGCCGCCTCCGCCTGGGGACAAATGCCCGTTACACTTCGTTCGTTTCAACCGAAAGACGTCCACTGCTGGACAAAGGATTTCCACAAAGATCGGTCCTGCGCCGCCCTGACGACGTTAGTAAGACACGGGTCTTAACGCGACGTTTATTAATGAGTTACATTATGTACTCACGGCTTGACGTTTCGGCTGCTATGATTAGTTCGTTTCAACCGAAAGACGTCCACTGCTGGACAAAGCCAAGGATTTCCACAAAATCCGCCGCCCTGGCGTTAAACTTACACCGCTTTAACTCTGCCATTTTAGTGGTATCAGCAGTAACTCCAATTTATTAAGCTCTTTCAGATAAGCCAACAGTTTTTAACAGCAAAAAATTAGGAATTACTGCTGATATCTTAGCATGCTGGACTGGAAACGTAAAAAAAGTGCTTTTTTTAAGCCTATTTACAGAAATAAATGAATTTTTAATGAGTTTTTTTAATATCACACTTGGGCAACAACTAGATCCAGATGAAGTTAACAATCCAACTCCCGTATCACTACAGTACATAGAAATTCCTGAATATGCTAATTAATACAAACTTACTAAGAGGGATTAGGCAAATGCTTTCTAAACCAAGTAACTTTATGTTAAAGATAATATTATGACATAATACAGCATTAATAAATTATATGTGATAGATATGTGTGTGTAGAATTACTCCTCAGCAGCTGTTTTCGTCCACTAAAACATTCAAAGTCAGTACAATAATAAATCAACCTGCACAACCAATTTATACCTTTCATGGTGACCTACATACATTAAATATTCCTAATCTAAATCGAAATCAGTGCAGACAACAAAGAGGTGTTGAATACATTGTCATTCAGGAGACAAAGTCGTATTTATGCAGAAAATCAGAAACCCAAATAAGATGCTTTACATTTAAAAAAAACAGTAAATGTTCTCAAAACATAATTGAATGCAGGGTTTCTCAAAGTAGGGTACACGAATAGCCCTAGGCGTTCGCCATTCCACGGCAAGGGGTTAGCGACAAGATTTACGTAATGGTGGTTTTATGACTGGTGGTGAATTTCCTTTCACTATAACCTGGAAACTAAGGCCCAGAACAGACGGTGAAACGCAACTGCAACGAATTTGCAGTTGCAACTAAGTTTCTGCCATAGCGTCCGTTGAGAGACCACACATGACGCGACCAGTTTGAAACTTTCAGTTTCAGTTTCATTCATCAGAATCATCACAAAGTTGCAGTTTCGTTTCACTGTCTGTTCTGGGCCTAAGAGCGGTTTGTGGAGCCGAAAGTTTCCGAAACCTGGTATAATGCATACAGATGCAGATCTACAAATAGAATAAGGGAATAAAGATGAGTAATGTTTTGATATTTACCGGGTGAGCGGGCTGGGGAGCCGCGATGCCGGCTTGAGGCTTGAGCGTGGCGAGCGCCTCGCGCGCCGCCGTCACCTCCTTAGTCAGGCGCGCGATCACGCGGCACGCGGCGTCGTGCTGGTACAACGCGTGGCTCAGCTCCTGTATACATTGTTTTAATATTATCATACACAAAACAATATGACTGCAGTTTGCCATCGGCCCACATTATTGTCATAAAACACTAAACAGATAATATACCCTATCTATTCTTATTTCCTTTCATTGTAACCTTTCCATAAATTCAACCTAAAATTACTAAAAAGATTGTTTAAAATAATTTCAAATAAATATTTGAATTTAAATTTAAATTGTAAGTTATATCAAATCTCAGTCATAACAAATGAACAATAATTTACAGACATTATTTCCATGACATATTCATCATCATCATTTCAGCCTCCTCCACCATATGCATATTATTTACATGTAATTGATAGATTACACAAATATACACATCTTAATCATCATTCCATTAAGCTTATACTCCATAAAGTGATTTAGTAAAATCCTAAACCTAGTCATTATGAAGTTAATTTGTTGCTCAAAAGAACTGTCAATAATACATTCCTTTGATTTTATAACCATTTGGGGTTAGTACAGTTTAGAGTAAACACAAAACTTGCCTGTCTTGCCGTTTGCAGCTGCTGCCGCTGAGTGAATGTGTGCAGCATGAGCGCGTCCCACTCGTCTTGCATGCTCTTCAGCGTGGCTGGGATGGATGTGGCACTGGGCGGCTTGGGCTTCACTATAGGAGGGGCTACACAGACATGGAATTGCTGTTTAGTTATTTGATTTTAAAATACTTCAATAATATCAGTTCATAATAGTCTTTGAAAAAAAAGGCCAAAACGACATTATGTACTCACTTTTGATCTCAATAAGGTCTTCGATCCTAAGTTCTTTGCCACTGATAGGGTCAACCCCATTTTCAATTATGTACTTTTCAATAATACGCTTTTCAAATACGGCGCCTGATGATGGGGACACCACTGGCACTTCAGGAACCTCGTTAGATACTACAAAACAAAAAGTTAGGTTAGATGGTAAGAAAATATACAATTTTTGCCTATAACCCCTTTGAATATTGTATAACACGAGTTCCAGCCGTTAAATATTTAATACAAAATCAATTAATTTCCGTAAAATCAATGGTTTTAAGTAAAATCATCATAACAAAGACACAAAAAATATCCGGCTCGCGCGTTTACATTAAAGTTAAATATTCGCCATAAAATTGTAAAACTAGTGATTAAAGCACTTACTGGCACAATAAAGAGCCATTTTAAATCCAGTTTAATCGTGAATTAGCAGATAGAAAGGGCACACACTGGAAAAATGTAACAAACAAAAATCAAAGAATGCTTTTTCGACACAATCCACAGAAAACAACTTGACTTTTTATTTTTTTTACGGCTGTAGAACGATACACGGCTTGGACATCGGGGTTTTGGGTTTTTAACATTTATTGTTGGACAGTGGAGGCGAGTCAAATGGCGTGGAATAAATTAGTGATAATTTACGACTGTTTAAATATCTAACTGATAAATTGGTGTCTCCTTCATCGTCGCTACACTCTTGGCAGAGTGGTTGTGGTGGTCGTCAACCTGGATTGGAAGCGAGCTTTACAATCCGCTGCCATTTTTCCCATGCAGCCTTTCTCGTACAAATTGTGGAGTGAATTGACCATTGGTGCAGTTTTAACCTGACCGTTCCAACGAGACTTGCCGCGTGCTCTTGTGCCTTGAACCTGCACGACATATCGTTCAACAAATGTGTCGTCTCCACTTGTGGCCTCTATGGCCTATGGCCAAAGAAAGCGACAATACGATTGGATGATAGAAGAAAGACGCTGCATGCTGTATGATGCCAATTTCTTGGAGGATTGGTTGGTTCTGTGTCCAGGTCATGTAAGCATCGTTCTCCAAATCGTAGGCAAAAAAAAGCAACGATTCCCTGTGACTGTGACGCCTGTTTCGGAATTTTCGGATACCTTCATCAACCTAACTATAGGAATCGGTTGGGTTTTAGGGAATCTCAACAAAAATTATTGCGTCACTTTGAACCATCCTGTAGGCAATCGCTAATCCTACGAAAGTTTGTATGGATGTTAACATGTTTGTTACTCTTTCACGCAAAAACTATGTACTGAACGGATTTTCATGAAACTTTACAGTGTTAATGTTTATAACCCAGAATAACCAGTAACTAATACAGTTAATAATAGTAACCTAATAATAAGTTCTGGAGATAAGAAAAACATTAATGACTTTCAGTTTTTTATTAAATTACAGAACAACAGTTTAGAAGTTCGTACCAATCGAAATGGCACTTTCCTTACACTAGACGCGGTGTAAAAACTTACACTAGAGGTATTATCTCACTTTGTACATGGCCACTACAAAAATACCTTCAGTAGCCTATAAGGAACCGCTATTTACAGTTGTTCAGAAACATAATACCTATTACAACTCATCGAAATTAAAAAGCCGTAAATCTATACAGGTAAAGATTGACTCAGTACACAAATCAATTTTGGAAACAGAATGGTTGAATCAGGATCTAATTAACACTAGACTACTTTTTTAACTCAATCCAACTAAAAACTGGTCATTTCATCAAGACCTGAAAAAAATAATTACTGCTACTTAAATTACACACATTTATATTATCATACCAATTAACGATTGGAACATAACATTGATCCTAGAAAAGCTTGAATATATTAATTAAAATAATACATGTCTTCAATGTAAAAAAATAGGTATTGCTATATTTTAAACTTACAACTAGAAAGTATTCCATAAAATGAACGACTTTATTAATAGAAGCCTCTTGCTGAAGGCACACAATTAAATAAAAATAACTATGTATTATGATTTCATAAAATATTATGGTTTTCGGAAAAAAGGAATACCAAGACTATGATTAAGTAATCAATAGATTTCAAATCTTTAACTATGTTCATTAACATGCAAAAAAGTGGAAACTAAGTATGATATAGGATAGGCGCAATAAATTTAATTTCGTAACACTAAATTGCACAGGAATCTTAGGGTAAATAGTATTTACAAATAGTCAAGAGTGAGCTGCTGTTAATCACATAAATTAATTAGCATAGCATAAACAATAATAGCACATAAAAATATACTAAATAAAGTTAATACTTTCAAAACAAGTAATTAACTTGAGGACCTTTCAAGCAGACAAATATTACAGCTTTTTACACTCTTTGGTTTTAATCCCAAAACATTATCCAGCCCTGACAATGATAGAACCCTGCAATATATTTTAATTTTCTTACTTAATTTAGTTTTTATTTAAAATAGATTTTCTACAGTTCTCGAATGATTGAAAATGATTCTACAATAAAATTTTTGTTTCTTTAGATTATCTAACATTACAAACAATTGTAGACATGACAAAAAGATTGCATATTCACAACCCCATAATTTAAAGCATGATTTACAATTTTACAGATTTTTCCTAGTATCAGTGTCAAGGTATTATGCAAATTATTGAGAGATGTTGTATGACCCTAACAAAATTGTGCATACAATTAACTTTCAATTTGGAAAGTTAACTGGTAAGTAAGATTATTTTAATACTGTCATCACAGAAGATCACCATCAAAAATGATTTTGTAGAACATAACATCAATTGGAAATAGTAAAATAAACCAAATGCCTCTGGGCAATTCAAAGTCCATATACTGTACACAACATTATTATCCTAAACAAGTCAAATAGTCATCTAAATTCTAAACAGGGATGTTCAGACCAAACAACATTAATAAAATGTTCAAGTGATATATGCAACTGACTTCACCACACCAATAGTCTAAATTGAAGTTTTAGACAATAATATACTATACAATTTGTTTCAAGACTTTTGTTAACCACTAGTCACATTGTATGTTCAATCTTCCTAACATCTATGGTAAACACGTCAAGTGGATTCGGGCAATGATTTATTGCAAGAGGTCTTGCATTGTATATTTCAGAATATAGAGCGCGGCAGTGGACTGATCACCTTTGTCTATGATTAGCACAGTTTTACGACGCAACACTATAGATGTAACGTATTTTACTTTCCTGAGTAAAAGGTCTAGTAACTAATCCCTCGGCCTATGGTTAACACAGCACCGTTTGACACAACACTAGTGTTCACAGCAATTAAATAGGCATACTCAAAGATAGGTGCGGTATTCTGTAGTCCGTAACACAGGACGCGTTACAAATCGATTATCACGCCATAATCTTTTCGGCCTGTGGCAAACACAACACATTTTTCGCGACACAATAAGTGTTCACAACACTAAAGGTGACACAGAATGTTTAGCAGAATATTGTGATATTGTCCTCATCTAGAATAGATAACGTGGCAGTGGATAGTCACGTGATGTGTCACGCATGACACAGTTGTAGTCCATAGCACAAAATCAGACGATGATGTGCAGGGCGCGCTCGCGCAACTCCTGGCATCACGTGGCCGCCGCGCATGTTTCGCGCAGCAGGCACACGGCTGCGTACACCTGTAGGGAAAAAGCTTTCATAAATATTTTGAAAAAAGGAAAGATTTGAATAAAAGTGTTCAGTGGCCTGGCAAAATATTCAGTATTCTATACAAAGTTGCTGTCAGGATATCCATTGACCTCTCGATAGCTTGGCGGGAATGTGAAGCGTCATGTTAGCAGTTTTGTTTATTTTCTAAAATTCGTGTTTAGACGACTATCAATGTGTAATAAATTAATAATAGTGGATTATTAACCATTAAGTGTTCGTGAACGTTCATGAGTGTGGGCAAATGAAACAAAACAGTGCAGCATGACTCTTCGGATTCTCTCAAGTAGTCCATTATGATGTCTTAGTAAAGCACCACAACTTTACTGGGACTCGAAGGGTGGGAAGGGGTATCATCTATCATCCTTCATTTTAACCCAAGTCCCATCCCATTTGCTCCCATTTTGTAACTCGTCTCACTTAAAACTTGAAAATGGCACAAATCAAGTTGTCCTCGACGTGTATTGCCAACATCAAAAAAGAAGAAGAAGACCTCTCGATAACGGTCTGCAAAGGGGCGTACATACCTTGACCGCGGGCCCGAGGCGCAGGCGCAGACAGGACACGAGCTCGGCGCGCGACGCCATCACCAGCTCCGCGCCGCGCAGCCGCGCCGCCGCCGCCGCCGCGCCCGCGCTCGCGCCGCCCACGCGCGCCAGCAGCGCCGACAGTCCGACTACAGAACACATACCTTGACCGCGGGCCCGAGGCGCAGGCGCAGACAGGACACGAGCTCGGCGCGCGACGCCATCACCAGCTCCGCGCCGCGCAGCCGCGCCGCCGCCGCCGCCGCGCCCGCGCTCGCGCCGCCCACGCGCGCCAGCAGCGCCGACACGTCCGACTAGGGAACACATTACATTACAATCTTAACGATACGTACAACGATACAGGCTGATATAATATGATTGTAAACTCGCGCCCCTAAAATCTCAAACATGTCATTACGTTACAATCTTACTAATATTATAAATGCGAAAGTTAGTATTATTGTTTATAACCCAGAATAACATTATAGCCTATAATTTATGTCGATCTGTGACAAACTAAATTTCACGCGGGTGAAGCCGCGGGCAAAAGCTTGTATAATAATATATCTATTAGACTTAGTAATAAGTTTAGATAAAGAATGACTTACTAAAATATAAGTGAGATTTTTTTTTATATGACAGGAGGCAAACGAGCAGACGAATTTACTTACAGACGAATTTAGATACTTTCCATCATATTAACTGCAGTGGTCAGTTTGTGGTACGCATTAAAAACTATGATTATTCTCATCTGCGTTCTTTTTATTAGTCTCATTGCCCCTCCACCGAAATACCAACATTTCAATAATGCAATAGTTTACCTCATTCCAAGTGGTAGGATCACTCGACAGAGCGAGCTCCGAGATATGTTTCTCGAGATGCGCCCGCGGCAAGGCACGCTCGTTGGGCGTGTCCCGCTGCTTGCTGTCCCACGCCTTGCTGTCCCGTTCCTTGCTGTCCCGGTCCTTGCTGTCCCGCTCCTTGCTGTCCCGGTCGTCGCCCATGTCCCGCTCGTCGCGGACGGAGCCGTCGCTGTCGCGCCACCTCTTGCCGCCGACGCTGATCTCCGAATCGTCTTCAGATACCTAGACAGAAACATTGGTTCAATCAATTGCGTCAGCAACTAACAAATGAGACGTATTGTCGCATATTTTTTTAAGATTAGAATGATATTTCAGCTTAAAGTCCATCCAGTTCTCTGTTATTTTTTAATAACTTACCCCATCATTTTTAGCCTCTTCAGTATGTTTGTGTTTGGTTGCTCTGCTCTTCACTGAACTAGTGTCCCTGTGAACAAGACGTTGAATATTATTATTGTGCTCGTTGTACATGTAACTGTCTTATTGCATAACTTTTCTATACATACTTGTCTTTAGCAGAATCGCTGGTTGGAGTACTTGTTTGAATCGACTTCGATCCTTTACTGGGTACCCTGGGAATGAAATCAGATGTTATTATCCATAATTTAATAATAAGTGAATTTTGGAATACAGATAAGATATTTTTGTGTTGCTACATTTTGTTACATACAACTAAAAGGGTGTAAATCGTATTTACATTTAGTCTGCACTAGAGGAGCATACTCTCTAAAATACCAGAGGAAAAATAATGGCAGATTTGGTTTACACTTTCCACGCTGGCTAGACGGTTTGAGGAGGCCTGACGTTCGCATATTTGTCCCTCGCCACCTTTTACGACAGATATGGGAAGTAGGTTGAGGGCACAAGAGCGCGCGGCAGGTCGCCCATGCGCTGGACTGACCAGATTAAAACCGCACTCAATGGTCCACTCCACGAGTGCACAAGAAAGGCTGCAGTGCGGGAGGAATGGCGACGGATTGTGAGACTTGCCACCGGACCTGGTGTGACGACCACGACCACTCTGGCAAGAGTGTAGCGACGAAGAAGAAGAATAATGGGAAGAGTGGCGATGGTTCTAATGTACTGGAACCTACGGCTATATTAAGCTGTGTACATACCGGCGCGAGCGCGGCAGCACGCCGGCAGCGGGCCCGGGCGGCGCCAGGCGGTCGGGCAGCGGCCCGCGCACGCGGTAGGGGCACGTGGAGGGCTGCTGTGCCGCTTGTGGCGTGTGTACATACCGGCGCGAGCGCGGCAGCACGCCGGCAGCGGGCCCGGGCGGCGCCAGGCGGTCGGGCAGCGGCCCGCGCACGCGGTAGGGGCACGTGGAGGGCTGCTGTGCCGCTTGTGGCGTGTGTACATACCGGCGCGAGCGCGGCAGCACGCCGGCAGCGGGCCCGGGCGGCGCCAGGCGGTCGGGCAGCGGCCCGCGCACGCGGTAGGGGCACGTGGAGGGCTGCTGTGCCGCTTGTGGCGTGTGTACATACCGGCGCGAGCGCGGCAGCACGCCGGCAGCGGGCCCGGGCGGCGCCAGGCGGTCGGGCAGCGGCCCGCGCACGCGGTAGGGGCACGTGGAGGGCTGCTGTGCCGCTTGTGGCGTGTGTACATACCGGCGCGAGCGCGGCAGCACGCCGGCAGCGGGCCCGGGCGGCGCCAGGCGGTCGGGCAGCGGCCCGCGCACGCGGTAGGGGCACGTGGAGGGCTGCTGTGCCGCTTGTGGCGTGTGTACATACCGGCGCGAGCGCGGCAGCACGCCGGCAGCGGGCCCGGGCGGCGCCAGGCGGTCGGGCAGCGGCCCGCGCACGCGGTAGGGGCACGTGGAGGCGCTGCTGTGCTGCTTGTGCGCGCCCCCGGAGGAGGAGCCCAGCCCGCGGCAGCCGCCCACGCCGCAAGCGCCTACCACGCGTAGCTCCTCGGCCGCTGCGGAATAAAAATTAAGTTACAATCCGTTCGCTTTAAGTTTGCCGCTGGCGATATGACGTCACACGAAAGGAAGCGTCTATAACTTTAACAAACTATATTTAAAATATTTTTTATTTATTATTATTGATAAAAACTAGCGGCCGCCCGCGACTTCGTACGCGTGGATCCCGTTTTACCCCCTTTTCCCGAATTTTCTTTGCTATAAACCTCACGGAGCCCGAGACCTATCCAACGAATGCAAAACCGTGGAAATCGGTTCGTGCGTTCTGGAGTTATAGCGTCAGGGAGGAAAACCCGACTTATTTTTATATAGTAGATTGTGTATTTGCGTAAAATAAGACACATTAATTGCGTTTAATCACTAACTAATTGCGTTTAATCGCGGTTGGCGGAGGGGACGCGCATTCCACAGACGGGCAAACTTAGCGCGAACGGGTAGTATTTATTGGAAAACGCGCTTTTACACATCCCTATTAAACCCTACAACTTTTTCAGGACAATAATGTGGACTAATGCTGAATCGGATTTCATTCTGGATGCACTGCACTCCTCCTACTAGTAATTTAGTCATTAATATTTTTTTAAACATTTCACTATCTGCTAAATATTTCAAGAAAAATAACAATCCTGTAAATTATTCAAAAGACAATTTGTCTCGCTCAGTGCAGAGACGTTTTTTTGCATGAATAGCATTGATTTGATCAGTGCAATTCAGATTTAGAGGACAAGCGAGACATTTTCTACGTGTTACTGCAATTTGTGATTCAATTGTTGCATTAAGTTGTTTGTTGTGATATGACTAATCTGGTAACATAATATCTGAGAGGCTGCTATAAAATTTAATGAGGATCAGTACTGTTGTAGAAAATTCAATAAAACTAGTATCTACGTTAATCTTTAAGACATAAGAAAGATATATCTTTTTGAATTATCCAAATCGGACCATTACTTACGAAGATATTAAGTAATAAACATAGGCCGTTTTTGCCGCTAAAAGTCAACGTACGCAGGGCCGCGTGACGTCATTATATCCGAATCGAGCGCAGCCGGCGTACTATTGGGATGGAAAATATTTTTTTCCAGCTAAACCATCAGTTTTAGAAAAAAACTTTTGATAACATTTATTCATCAAAATAAAGTAACCTATCGACCAGTAATTTTCTTATGAACACTTTATTTGAATAAATCGCCAAATATACCACCGCGGAGACCCCAATCGCGTCTCTGCGTTCCATTGAATCGTATGAGCGTATGGATTTTTTGCGTTATTTTTCACAATTTCTATTTTTAAAAATTACCTATCGATAGCTTACTTTATTCTGATGAATAAATGTCATTACAAGTTTTTCTCTAAAACTGATAGTTTGGCTAGAAAAAAATATTTTCTATCCACGCAGTACGCCGGCAGCGTTCGGATCGGATATAATGACGTCATCGTCCCCGCGCCGGGCGGTCAGTGAACTTTTTTAGTAATTTGGCCATAACTTCGTCAATTTTTGTCGTAGAACAAAAATTTTTGGACTGTGTATTAAGGATTTCTTAGCCCTATAAATCTGCATTCACAGCTAAAAATCGAAATGATCCTCATTGCTTTGTTTTGGTTCCATTGGGCTATTTAAAATACTCATAATGGTCCTCAAAGTCTAAAGACGGGATTGTTATAATATAATATAGGCGACAATATTCGAAGAACGCTAGTTCGAATCTTGTAAATTGCTATTCTATTGTGGTGAACCCACTCCTAACACATGCATATACGCTTAGTTGGAGGGTTAAACGAGACTAAAAAAAATAGAAAAAAATAAAAATACACATTGATACAATTACTCCGTGATCATGGCGCTTGCAACAGTGCGGAAATATCGGAGGCTCATAAATAAGTTAAAAACTCATAAAAAAACTCACAAACTGCTTAAGTGATGCAGCAAATCGAACGCACAGCGTTGAATAGAGCTCTGTGATTGGTTCGTGTGTCACCCTGTGTGTGCTCGCGCATTGTGAGACCTCATATTAATGTTTGTGAATGTAACCTTGTTGGTGATCAAATAAATGAAATAAAAATAAAATGATAAAAAGTAGGATACTCACTCAGCGGCGGTTCCAAAGGATGTCCAGTCTTGAGGCACCAGCCGATGGGGTGTATGTCGGGCGAGTCGTCTTCCATCCAACAGTCGTGCTCGCGCGGCCAGCCGTCGAACGCGATCCTCAGCTGGTGCCCCTTCACTTCGTAAACGCTCGCCACGCGGATCAGGAATGGCACCTGGACCACGTATTAGATTATTGTTTTGTGCCTTATTTCGTCGAAATAAAGAACGAAAGTCGGCCGTTTAGTGTAGTAGTTCGAAACGGACTACTATTCCGGAGGTAGCGGGTTCGATTCCTGCACAGTACAAACAATTTGTTTGCATGAACATATTTGTTTGTATTGGACTGGATGTTTTCTATGTATAATATGTATGTATTTGAAAAAAAAAGTATTTAATTATGTTTATATCCGTTGTCTAGTACCCATAGTACAAGCTTTGCTTAGTTTGGGACTAGAAGCGCAGTGTAAAATGTCCAAGGATATTTATTTATTTTTTAAATATAGTGGCAACAATTCAGACATCACTGGGTCAGAACGCTAGCCACGCGGATCAGGAATGGCACCTGGACCACAGAATAATAATAAGTACTACGCCTGGACAAAGTATTAGATTGTAAAACTTTTACCAGTAATTTTTTAATAGTTTTGATCCTTATATCGTCGAAATAAAGAACGAAATATGGTGGCAACAATCAGACATCACTGAGTCAGAACGCTAGGCACGCGGATCAGAAATGGCATCTGGACAAAGTAGATAATTATTCAGATTATTAACCTTTTACCAGCAAGTTTTAGATAGTTTTAAACCTTCTTTAATCTAGATTAAGAACAAAATATGGTGACAACAACTCGGATATCACTGGGTATGGGCATTTAACGACCATGTGAGCATGTGATGAATCGAAAACAGTATCCCTTGCGAGAATTGAGTGCAATTTGCCAGCACACACTTTTCATGAGACCTCTTTATGCCCCCTTGTCTTTGCATTGTTATTAGGCCAACTTAAAACAATTTTCATGAGATATTGAACCATATAATTATCTCGTTAACTGCTCGTGACTACAGGTAAGTAACATCCTAGACAACATCTCGCTTAACATCAGGTGTGAAGTGTGATTGCGGTCAAATACCTGCCTCGTTCTGCATAAAAAGGTTAATTTTACCAACAATAATATCATGGTAAATCTACAAGTTGATCGATTGGTAGCGGCCTGCGTCCAGCGCTTCCCTGCTACCTTTACGATGTCGTCGATCCACCTTGTCGGTGGACCAATCGATCAACGTGGAAAGCATTGGGGGAGACCTATAGCGCAGGAGTCACACTGGAAGCCATATTACATAAATGTCTACCTCATTGTTATTAGCTTATTACTAACACTAGATTAAGATTATCATGTTACTAAAGCCTGGTCCGTGAGCACGTAGAATCCCGTCCAATGACCCCAAGCTGCCCATCCTTGTCGCTCGCACGTAATTATGTTGCTGTCGCGCTCGGACGGGATTCTACGTGCTCACGGACCAGGCTTTAACACCTATGGATCTATGTCTGAAATAAACTTTTATTATTATTATTATGTTCAGCAGTGGACGTCCTATGGCTGAAATGATGATGATGATGATGAAGTCTACAAGTATACTCACCCTAGGATCGACCACCTCCAGCTTCATCCCGGGCTTGAAGCCATGCGGCGGGCGCGGCTTGAAGGCGCGTGGGGGCGCCACCGTCGTGCCCGTCTCCGACAAGTAGTTCGCCCACGAGAATGAGTCCGGGTCTTTGTAAACTGGTGGGAAGAAAATATGAAATTACTTGATGTAGGGGAGAAAATATTATACGCTAAGTGGTAATATCTTTTTGTTTGTGCATGTGCACTTTGTCTCTTTGTGGCTACAACACATTTATAATGTGTGTCAATACGCAAGTAGAGATAAAACCGGCAATAAATACGAAAACAATACATTAACAAATTTAACAATTTCGTTTAATATTTTTTTATAGAAATAACATTCTAGAATACTTTTTTCGGAAATAACATTCTAAAATAATACTTTTTCGCAATGGCTGGAATCTAATAAAAACTGATTGTCTGTCAATAGGGCACATTATAGAAGAAATCGTTTGCTACAATTTGTGCGTAACATGTGATCGTCAAGGGTATTGTTACAATACACCAAAAATATATTTAGAATTCGTAAGATGCACACACCCATATTACTTTATGCAAATAAGAAATAAACCTTGTAAAACATCAACAGTTCAATGAATTCCATTCCATTGTTGTTGGTTTACGAAATCAATAACGAAACAATCACTATTATCTATAGCTAATCATGAAATATGCCGAGCCTCACCTAAATATAAAAACTTATAAAAGTTTACATCGCGTGCATACTTCGACTCGTAAACACGAGCACTCAGCTCAACAGTGCGCCCGCGAGTAATTGCTCGACGACCGAGATAAAATCACATTAATAAACCAAATGACTATCCTCATTTACGGAAATATTATGAATACCAAACACAAACTTCCTTACGACTCGACTTGCTTGCGTTTACGTCGATACTACCTCTTTCCACGTATTATGTATTTAATGTTTTCAGAAATGTGCCAATGATATTATCATATGTTAATTTTACGACTCCTAAATGATTATTTACACTCGCAACGCTAAGTTGATGGATGCGCACGATGCACTGAGTTTATGTTTAGTAGGTTACCGCATATCACGGCTGTGCAAACAATTGATAGAGATATCAATTTATTATGATGCACTTAAATAAAAAGAATAGCTTGACCGAATATTATCTTCAATCATTGCTATTTATAGATAATAATGGGGAAACGGTCTTTCTAATACTATCCTTAGACTTCTTGATGTTCAGATTATTCATAGGGTTTCACAATGTTTTTTTTATTTGCTTCATTCAGAAACTCAACAGCTATACTACATTTTTCAGAATATGTTTTCTTACAATGGTGGCACTTAAACCACAGAACAAAAGTATGAAAAAGAGTTCCATCACCCATGACATGCATAGTGTTACATGATAATTCTAGTTTTATTTATACTTCTTCTTTTCGTGTCGACAACAAACCTACACAGTGTCAGCCCAAAACTCCGCCAAAACAAACTTTATTTATACTTATACAGGCTGATATATTATATTATAATGTTAGGAAGATTTGTCAAGAATGTTTATTTGAACTGTAAGACCTAAATGCTAATGTGTTGAAGCAATAAACTATTGAGTATTGAGTATTATGTGAGATTTTAATTTATAAATATGAATATGATTAGTGAAAATTAATTATGTGTATACATATAAGACATTTTCTTTCGCAAGTACTCACAGTTGGGCGGCGTGAGAGACACGCCGTTCTCCTCGGCCCAGCCCACGGGGTGGATGTAGGGCGAGCTGGGCTCCACCCAGTAGTCGTACATGGCGTCCCAGCTGTCGAACGTCACGAGCAGGCGGCCGTCCAGCACGTCCGCCACGCTTGCAACGCACACCAGCTCGTTCTTGCGGTCCTCGGCTTCTAGTTTCATGCCCACGCGGAAGCAGTTCGGTTTGAAACCCTAGATGGTGCACATAAGTATTGCTGTTCAAAAAACCATTGCACAGGACCATAAAATGGGAATGCAGGCGAACGCGATTGCCTGGCCAACGAAGTTAAAGCGGACTCACTGGATCTCCGAACAGCCGTCCCGTCACAGGGTGCCGGCACTCCTGAGCCTTCCTTGGTTGGCTGAATAGGATTCGATATAGATAGGGATTGCAATTGCTGGATCCAGCATCCAGCAATCCAGCTGGATCCAGCGATGCGGATCCGCAAACGTATAAATTTCTGTTGCTTAGTTTCTAATTGCCGCCATTTCCAAAACAGCGCGGTTTCGTTGCCGTTCTGTTGTTGTGTGCGTTGAACGGCGCCTCTCTGAAGTTACTGGTACGTTTGTGTGCTTGATAAATCCAAAAAAGTATGAAAAAGCAGTAAAAAAATCTGTCTAAAAAAGAATGCGATGCGGCAGGAGATGAAAACTTTGTTAAAACGAGTAAATAAACAAAATATTGTGGAGCCATTGCAAGAAAATGAAGATATCATGGAGTTAGAAGAGACTGGTCTAACTAAATGATGACGCAGAACCTGTGAAAATGACTTTAGAGCAAGAGCTTGAGATGGAACATAAAAGAGAGAAGGAGAACTATAATAAACAGAAGCCAAAGCCAAGTGGTCAATTAGATTACGAAGGAGTGCGAGATGAACATTTATCTATGGTGTATGAATATTTAATGACCCTAAACCGACCAGTGTAGAGGCCAAAGGGCATTCTCATATGCAGTCACATATGCAGTTCTGTGCGGTTGGGAGGTTAGACTATAGATAAAATTTGTCTTTCTTCCAGAGGATTGAAAAAAAGAAATGGTCAGTCTCCTGTTGTCAGATTATAAACTGCCTAATTTTCGCAGAAGATTGTTATTTTCGGATTCGTAACTTCTATTGATACAAAAAATAGATTGCAGATTAAATTACGGTCCTTTTCGTAGTTAATTTTAAAAGAATTTATAAGACTGTTTCCTCCTGATTATAATTATTAGTTACTGAGCCGTATTTCATAGAATTATCGTAAGAAGTACAAAATCTATAATACAAAAATGAATCGTAAAATGTGTTGGTAAGCGCATAATTCAACAACGCCTGGACCATTTTTTTAAATGTTCGTTGAAGTCCAAGGATGGTTTTTACGGCGAGAAAAATTCGAATAATTTCCAAGAAAACCCTAAACACAGCCCTTTTTTCACGCAGGCGAAGCCGTGGGCGGAAAGCTAGTTACTTAATTTAAAAAAAGACTTCAAAATGTCGTCTTTTTATTTTCGTTCCACTTTTTGCTGGATCCGCGCTGGATCCAGCTGGATTCAGGTCAATCCAGCAAGAATCCAGCTGGATTGAAAACGCCGCTGGATTGCAATCCCTAGATATAGACTGCTGTCTTCAAGTAATTATATGCTAATGTGTTGTGTAGCGATCAATCGCGGTATTGAACTTGTAAAAAATAAAAGAGGCCGAACCAATCACCCACAAGGTGGACCGACGACCTCATAAAGGCACCAGGAAGGCGCTGAATCGTGGCCGCTACCAACCGGGCGATGTGGAAACCATTGGGGGAGGCCTATGTTCAGCAGTGGACGTCCTGTGGCTGAAATGCTAATGATGAACCAGCGCCGCGTCGAAGCTGCGCGGGCGCTGATAGGACGACGCTGCTCGAAAGAGACGTTATGTGAGGGGTCCATCAATTCAAAGATTGATATTAGTGGCGTGCTTTTGTGTTCAATTTAACTGAAGACTACAAACTATTTATTCGTGCGTTGGTATATCCTCAGTAATCAAAGGACAGCTTTTTATAAGTTCATGAAATAAAGGAATAGATAAAATTGTAGTTCTTTTTTACAAATATTGTCACAGACGTATTTCAATGAAGGCCTTCCAGTAACGCGCTGTTTAAATCCATGCGTAACTATAAATAGGGTAGCCTTCTTTCACCTCAAGTGTATTTTATGTTCAATCTGCTTTCACACTTTGGTGCTCGCTGACCTTTGGCATCGTGCCAGTTATACCCACCACTAAGCAATGTCACATATCTTTGTAATATGAAAATGAACTTTCACACAAAAATAACAAATATCGTATTATTTGAGTACAACTAAAGGGTTAGGGTATGTCTTATACAAGAGTTAAACTTAGGCTAGCTGGTAGGGTAAAAAAACACATACCAACTGAATTGAGAGCCTCCTCCTTTTGTTGAAGTCGGTTAAAAAGATTATGACACATGTAGAGGCTTCTTAAGAGCAAAATATTTGACGATTTGTAAGAATTAGTCTATTGTTCGTTCGTTTCAGCCAGACGTCTATTGCACGCCTCCCCCAAGGTTTTCCACGATGAACGGTCCTGTGCTGCCCGCATCCAGCTGGGCTGGAAGACGTAACGCCCACGCTCCACCTAGCAGGCCTCCTACTAGGTGGACAGAGTCGATCGCGTCGCGGGAAGAGCCTGGATAATTAGTCTATACAAATAAAGAAAGTTTAACTTTGACTTACCGAAGAGGTGGCATGCGAAAACAGGTGCTTGGGCGCGGCGATGGCACGCACCGTCTTGAGGTAAAGCGGCCAAGAGAAACCGGGCACGGTGTGTCCGGGCGGCGGGCGCAGCGTGCGCGCGTTACGCTCGCAGAAGCCCGGCGGGAACACGTCCGGGCTGTCCGCGTTGGCCCAAAAGTCGTACGCGTCCGGATACCCGTCGAAGTGGATGCGCATGCGGTAACCCTGCCGGACGCCGAGCTTTTAACGCTAATGTCTATGCCTGAGCATCGATCGCACGTCTCGAACGACAGCTCGAATAGCGATCGATTAATAAAGAGGTACATTTGTGAGTCAATACGATAATCTTTTGAATTATTGATGATTCGAAAAATCTTTTATTGATGCAACTGAAGCGTTGCATTATTCCCGAGATATATGAGCGACTTTATTATTCCTAGAATCCACTCGGGGACCCGCAAGTCTGTGACGAAAATAAACCGATGTGATAATAAAATAATCTATCTATCTATACAGTGTGTCCGGGCTTGTAGTGATCAAACTTTAAGGGCGTAATCTATGGACAATTTTATCGATGAAAATACTTCAAATTTGGGGCTTGACCCATTTCTCGCAAAATTACGAGGATTTAAGTTTTTAATTTTTAGTTTTCACCTCTTCCTTCAAAAACAAGTGAAAACGTGGGTAGCTTAACACTAATAAGCAAAAATTTTATATCATGCAATAGCCAATAAAATTATCTATTAGTAGAAGTAGAAAACAGATACAAGTTTCATACATTTTAAGGGAGTAAGAATGGATTTAATTAGAAAAAAACGTGACTTTTTTCACTTCTTTTTTTCCAACACAAGAAAAACCAGGTCGTTAAGGTATGTTTTATTTGCATTGTATTATTAGTATTTGAGCTATTCTACAAAACGAATGTAAATTTATTAGTCTACGTCTATTAGTTTCGACGTAATTGTTGAACAAAGATACCCCTTCCCAGCGGTTTCCATAGTAATCGGAATAGGTTGTGTGATTCTTTCAGGCAAGTGCATTTTCGCATGTCGCGTGCGCAATTTTAAATTTGAAGTATTTTCATCGATAAAATTGTCCCTAGATTTCGCCCTTAAAGTTTGATCACTACATGCCCGGACACACTGTATAAATAAAAATGAATTGATGTTCGTTAGTCTGATTAAAACTCGAGAACGGCTGGGCCGATTGAGCTGATTTTGGTTTTAAAATGTTTGTCGTAGTCCAGGGTAGGTCTAAACGGTGAGCAAATACGCGCGCGATATTGTTTTTCTGTGACAGACAAAATTCCACGCGGGCGAAGCCGCGGGCGGAAAGCTAGTAAATTAATTATTTTCTTACCTGCACCTCGGCCACGGACGCCACGCAGAACATGGACGGGTGCTGCGGGTCGATGGCCTCCATGCGCATGCCGACCCTGAACCCGTTGCGGTTGTACGGGAACGGGTCCTTGAACAGCTTGACGGGCGCCGCCTTCGCCTTGCAAACTTCCAAGTACCGCATCCACGAAAAACCGTTCTTCCCGCACATCCACGGGTACTTCTCGTTCTCGAGCGAGTCCTCGCCCATCTTCAGCAGCGCCATGTCGCCCAAGCCCTCCGGAGGAGACGAATCGAATTGTTTCAACGACAACTTTTCTTCTTTATTGTCCAGCAATATTTCGGAATCCGACCCTTGCTTCCGCAGTAATAATTTCCTCATTTTATTCCGCTTTTTGAGCAGTTCGATACGCTCCCTGTCTTTCTTTTTCTGAATAGCCTTCTGAACATCACTCTGGCACGTCAAACTGCAGAAATTGGGAGTTATAAACTCCGCGGCCATGCCGTGGCACCCGCAGCCGTCGCAGCGATACATATCTTCGGGAGATGTAGGTTTTTTATCTCTACTGTTTTGTTCCATGCGCTGCTTCAGAGGTGTATGATATTTAGGATTTGGCAATGGCAATGACTCCTCATTTTCGCCAACGTTGACGAGATCGATCAATCCAAACTCATTTGTTTGGAACTGCAAATTACTGCCTTGTAGGATGGCTATTCCATTGTTCCAGATCAAACCAGGAGGATCTTCCTCAGATGCACTTTCCAAGTTGTTCCTTTCTAATTTCTTAATAAAATCATTATTATAATACATATTGTCACTATTTTTCTCCAGTTCATCTGCTTTCATATCCTCATTATCCGAGTCACCCATGTTGACTTTAGCTTCTTCGAGTTTCTCATCACAAAACAAGGACGGAACACGATGGTCGTCATTATTATCTGAATCGTGTGGATCAGAGAGCATTTCCATCGCTCTTTGTTGAGCCAAAGACATCTTAAAATGTTTATTTGAGAAATTATCAGTGCACAATGAAATGCGGCGCTTGAGGTTGGCATTGACAGATTTCCTCTCACTGTTATCAGAATTAGATCGTCTCAATATGGCTGGAGCAGCAATAGGAATAGGTCCCATTTCATTTCGGTCAATTACATTTTTGTTTAGCAAACTTTTACTTTTCTCTGGTATTGCTAAAGTAAACGACTTCTCTCGGCTCTGACCACCCTCATCATCAGCAATGGAAACTGTGTAGATGTCATCATTCATGGAAGCATTTGTCTCTGGTATAGAAAGTGTGTATTCCCCTTGTTCTCCAGTAGGTTCTGCTCTGGATCCCGATATCGAAAATGCAAATGGTTTATCACTTTTTGGACTCTGTGGCACAGTATTGTTGTCTTTTCCATTCATATTAGCAACTTTTGCCAACGGTTGCAATGGTGGCATCTCCGCAGTTTCTATAGGAGGTGTGTCTCTCATAACAGTGATGTTGCCTTGAGGATCATTCTGAATTTGACCATTAGCTATTTGCAGATTTATTATAGGGCCTTTAGATGCCATAGTGGCAGGCAAGGTCACAGGTAAAATAAATTTGGTATTTTGAATTTTAGGCATATTCATAGGTGTCAAGAATAGTTTCTGATTGTTTGCAGTCACATTTTGTTGATTATTGGATATAAGTATTGATTGGTTATCAGATAAGTTTTTGGATGTGGCCTTTTTCACAGAACCAAGATAAGCTATGGCTTGTTTGCCTTGTGTGCCTGGCGCGATGCTCACGGGAACCATCATTTTTTCGTTAGGCTTGGGCTTCTGAATGACAATAGGCTGTGAGGCATTCACTGGTGCCAGTATTGAAGACTTGTTTTGGACTTTAGGAGCAATGTTGGGTTTGTTGGTGACATTTGATATGAGGTGAATATTTGAGTTATTGGTTACCTGAAAAAGATGACATAGTTATTCACTGTAATTTTTAGTTTTGTTTTGTCTAATGAAACTACAATAAATTATCTGCTATTTATAATTTACATATTATTAAATAACCAGTTAAAATTGAAAAGTTCAATCCTTTTTTTTTTATTTAATTAATCAATAATTTTCATGTAAATGAATGTGTAACCACACAGATAAAACAAAACTTTATAACATAAATATATATTAGAAGTTTAGAACAATAGTTTTGATGTTATTTAACACATCTTTAACAATATTTGATTTACTGTGTCCAACATACACAATTCATAAGTTTAGTATTTTAAAATATGAGACAAATTAATGTTACATTATAGTGGAAAGTGTTGGACATTATTTTCATTGATGTAATTTATATAAAAAATTATAAATTATATTGATCTCTATTGCAAACAGACACAATTAAATTGTACTTACAGGTCTTCTCACTATTATCTGCGGAGGGTTTCCACTGGTGCTAGCTTGGCTTATAACTTCTCCACTGGTGACTGGCTTCAGTCCAGTTGGTGTCTGGATGTACACCATGTGTGGCACTGTTCTAGTGGCACCTCGCAGCTGCACAGTACCCGACCCACCATTGTTAGGAAGCGCCAACTGTATATTATTATTTGAACTCGGTATCTGCATCACAGAGTTTGAGGTCATGTGAACTTGAGAAACTGATGTTTTGACATGTACACCAGATGAATCTGCCATTTGTAGTTGTGAAGTGCTCGACACGGTCATATCTGAACCCCCATCTAAGTTAGCAGGCCTCGGATTAGACCCCATGTGTACGTGAATTATAGAACTGTGGATGGATTGACTGGTATTTTGCAGCAAAGGCATAGAGGGCAGAGCTGGAGTAGCGATCTGAATATTTTGGTTAGCTGCTGGTATTTGGAGAGGAACATTTATAGTATCTCCGGCAGACAGTTGGACCGGCACACTGGTGGTTCCCGACACTTGGATGGGAAGGCTCACGGGAGCAATCTGCAAGGGGACACTGCTGGTGGGACCTGACAACTGCACGGGCACATTGATGTTGGAGGTGGAGCCGGGGATCTGGACTGGCACATGAACAGTTGACAGTTGCATTGGGTAAGGAGAGTTGTTTGTGTGTATTTTCACAGGGGCAATAGAGTGGGTGACTAAATTGTGTGTGATTGGCATGGAGCTCTGGGGCGCCTGCACTGAGGACACGATCATACTGCTCGATATTGGCGCCTGAAATGCAAGAACAAGGTTATTTATATCAAATATTGCACATTAAAATTTATTGCATTATAAACATTTATTCAAGTAACTCACACGTAAAGTATTCAATAGAACATTATGCTGTGACGCGTTTTGCGGAAAATTTGCGCTGCTGCTTGTTTTTAATAATCTTTTTTTCAATATTTCTGTTTTGGGCTCATCAAAGTTTTGAAGTGAATTACACTGCTGTCTCTCCATTTCTCGACTCCGAGGACATTTGCGAAATCATTACAGATACTTTATTATCTCTTGCAATACATTACTGATGACCTGTAATGCATATAAAAATAAAATAACGCGAAGAGAAATACCTATCATATGGACGCAATAATACCACTTTAGATTTCATAATTTGTGATGTCTACTAAGTTTTGAAAACATATTAGAGCAAATGAACGAAATACTAATTAAATAATAACTTTTAAATTTAGTGTGAATAAAGTATACGATACATTTTTCTTGTGCGAAGATCGCACTGGTATCATTGTGCAGCTACTTTTACAGAACCACAACCTTCTACAAAAAAGTTCATGAAACACTAAAATCCAAAAATATTACTTACTATACACAGTTTCAGCACAAAGTATATTATTTCAACTATTGTTCTAAATAATATAACATCGTCCTCGTATTACGAACCATTAAAGAAAAATAAATTACTTCCACAACGCGAAATATTTACTTGCCTAGTACAACTGGTAATAATTTTGACAACATTGCCAAAATGTGATAGGCAGTTTTTATGTTGGTATGACCGAAATTGTGAGCCAATCAGAAGATCGCACTTGCGTGACGAAGCTTTCGCGCCCGTTTTCTGTCTGAAAAGTCAGATTAGTAACTTGCGTCGTAGTTCTTTAATATTATTTTACACGTAGTATATACTTTGAAAGTATATAAATTAAAAAATTTAGATGCTACTATTATAATTTTTATCTCAATTAATAAATATGTAATAAGCATTACACAGTCAGTCATCAGTAAAATAGGACATACGTACACTTGCATAGCAAAATTAGCTCTTCTGCGTTTGGAATAGAGTTCACGAGAGCTCTTGTCTGATGATACAATAAAAAGAACTTTATATATTTATAACATGCAAAAACACCAAACCTTGAAGATTTAACAATTTTTGAATCATTTGTGTAATATTTTAAAATATTTTTATAATTATTCGGGTAAAGTCTCGATTTCGCTTAATTATTATACATACTTCCTGTCTCGTTTCCCGCCAAAAATTCAAAACCAAAGCCAAAAGCGTTTTTCATGAATAACGAAAAACCACGGAGGAAAAACCACCCTCTTTTTAAAAGGAACTGATACTTCTTGTATTATGTAGATACGCATATTCTTATTCTAAAGAAGCTTGGTAAAAATCGCTTTCTCTTCGTGGCTTGGCTTGGCTGCACCACGTGTTATTTAACTGAAAGCTTAGATTAAGACTGAAAGTAGGTATAGAATTTAATTTTTTCCCTCAGATTTCCTATTTATTATATTTTATTTCTAGTAAGTTTTCAGGGCATTTATTTGTTGTGGGACTAGAGTTAAGAGTGACTGAAAATAACGGAAAATAAAATTGCTTTATGTCTCGCTGGCTGGCAGACATAATTAAAAAGGAGGCAGCTAGTGTATTTAATAATTGAACTTGAATGTATGATTAATTTGTATGTTCTTTCAAATATTACATTAGTGCATGTGTGTACGCGTTCGCCTAAATTAATAACTCTATGGCCTAAAGCCTAAACTTTCGTTAAGCGATCATTAGCTACTCCAAAAGTTTCTACTTAAATTTTTAAACTTGTACGTATCTCTAATAATTTGTGTTATTGAATTACATAATATTTAACAGCGGAATGGATGTTTAATTTATGAGTACAATTTACAGATTTGCTAATATTTTTACACGCGACGCACTTTTAGTTAGGTTTCTGTGCTAGGAATTAGGAATGCTATAACTGATCCGTGTGGGTGTGCCACAGATAGAGATGGGTAGTGGGTAAAAACCCATTTCACCCGATTGGGTTAAAACTGGGTGATTTGGGTAAAAACCCGGTTTTTACCCATTATCACCCATTCTGGTGGGTGAAAACAAAAATAGCGTTTTTTTAAAGTGAGAAGTGGTATTTGTTGCTAAGGGGGCGTTCTAGTGTTAGTAATGCAATCTGGGGGGAGAGGAGGTCTTGAAAAACGTTACAATGCGTTACAGTGGCGGAAGGGCGGTTCGATTTCAAGTTTTAAGCAGAAGTACTTTGTAGTTGGTGTTGTTATTTGTAACTTTATACCGTAATGTCATCAAAGAGAGAGTTTGGCATCTTTGACACCCCCCCCCCCCCTCGATATCCCCCCTAAATTTCTTCTAAATCGGTTCAACGATTCTTGAAATAACACCATTTTATAAAATAATTGGTCACATCGTCATAACGTGATCAATTTTACGATTTGGCCACGATATAAATGCATATTAGTGTTAAATTTGACTTATTACTTATTAATCAATAAACTTAAATGAGAAAAATTCAATAAAAATAAAGAAAAGATACCAATTGAAATAATTATAAAATTATTTGTTTTCACCCGGTGTAAACACCCACGCCACGGGTGGAATGAAACGGGTTTTTATTGGGTTTTTACCCTCATGTGGGTTTTTACCCGGGTGGAAACCCATCTCTAGACAGATAGTGTGTGCTGACTGAGATCATAAAAATAATAAAATCAAATACCTAACCAAATACTCTGCTGCGTTATTGATAGATGTGGCATTATTATTTTACCTAAATTAGTTCAGTGTGAGTCCGTTAATCGGATTATGAAAAAAACCATATTAAAAAAAACATTTTGACAGTAATCATCAGTCAAAAGTTGATGAAATCCACAGATCTACCGACCTTAAACGGATTAAAATGGTATCTTCAGATAAATGCGAATTTTGTCAGGCAGACGCGGCAGACTTAGACCATCTTATTCTTCATTGCCCAGCCTTTAATTTGGAAAGGCTTTTGCTAGTGGATGGCTTACTGAAGATCTATCAAGAAGATGAAAATATTCCCCGCCTCTTGCCATCCATACTAGCGAAAATTTTTAGTCTGTGAACTAGTGATGCGACAAAACCTCTCGTTAATCGCGAAGTGAAATGTTGTAGTACTTACGTATCATCGCCGGGTGATCGTCAAAATACTAAAAATATGCAACAAAGTCGCAACATTGAATGTGAACTGATTATGAAATTTTCGAGAACAGGAAATAAACTGTATGCACAGATGTAATCAAAAAACACACTGGACAGTAAAACAATCAATGATATCCGTAAAGTTATTAAACTTCTCTTGCTTGCTGCGTGATTGGTGGATTTTAACATATCTGTCAATGTCATGTCAAAAATAACCAATCATTGCAGCATTTGGACCTCGCGTCTACGTATTGCCATCTGGCGGATTTTTCAATCGCGAAAACCCTCATTGAAAGAAGTTTTTTTATTTTCTTAAAAATAAACAATGGAACAATACGTAAGCATTAATGCATAAAAAAGTAAAATAATTTCGTTTAAATAAAACCGACTAAAAATTAAACTGACTCCGAAAAAGTAAACACTAAAAGTAGAAAAATAAATTTACGTTATCTCCAATATTGTCGAAGTTATCGCTGGAAAACTAAACAAAGTATCGTATATTTTTTATTTAAAATTAATCAGTAATCGGAATAAGTGAATACTTAAAATAATATCGATTAAATTTACAGATTATTGTCTATGACTCACAGGTTACGGCACTGATGTGTCAGAGACAAGTCATAGACAATATGGAGATAACACATGATTTTAAACGTCAAGTCAATTTGACAAGTCTCACAAATTCTCATCGTCCACGTATTTTGCTAAAATAATTTGTTTCAAAGATTGATTTCAAACTTGTATAAACGTGAAAATAAAGTTGGTTTCATGGGCTTGTTAAATAATGTGTATGATATTATGAACACGTAAGTGATTATGGTGTAATTGTGTATGAAAGTGTTTGTTTACATCTCTGCTGGATTCTAAAAAATCAAGGTATAGACACAGAAGAACAGAAATCCTCAACTCATATCCATTGTAAATACTCAGAAAATACTCATGGATGAAAATACTACTAGAATTGCCTCACTAAAGATTTGGCCGTAAGGATACTATCCGAAGCCGTTAAACCTGTTAGAAAAAAAAAAATCCACAGAATCCACAGATCTGTCAAAAATTGGACGAAAAAATTCGCATACAAAGACACGAATCTTGTTTATTTTCAAGATACTGATGAATAACACCCATATCAATCAATTTAATTTTAACTAAGAATAATACATTTCTATAGTTCTATTAGGGCATCAAATCGTAATTTTCATTGTTGTCTTAGTTGTTTATTGTTGATGTGGATATTCATTCAAGGTACGCAATTGTATGATTTTGTTGAGCCACCTTAATGATTTGTTTGTTTATTTACGAAAACAGGTATAACAATGCATTTATTATTAACTATCATGAATTTTTGGCAAAAGGATTAAGCCATACTTCCCCTTTTACCTATAATCCTAAGCCTATAACATTGTCTGGAACATTCGTCAATACATTTATTTGCGCAACTAGACAAATTCTGTTTCAATTGCAACAATCGTTAGGTACTGTTTAAGATTCAACTTAAGTTGTGTAAGGATATTATCCATGAGAATTCAACTTCAATAATAGACTTGCATGATCAATTTTAAAATATTTTTTTTTATGTGATGATTCATTAAGTTTTTTATGTTTTATGCTAGTTAACTAATTCATTAATTATTTTTCGCAACTTGCAAAAAACAATATTTAAAAAGTACAGTACAGGTTTAAATAAGTGATCTTAATTTGTTTACCAAGACTAACACCACATAGATAACTAACTAACAAAGGATTGCAATTGTCCTAGGGTACCACCAGATGTGACCAGGCACAATGAGTAGCCAGCACCAGTATATGAATGTGAACAACACCCCCAGTACACGTGTTGGTGACATTGAACACATAAGTATGAACCTTTTATATTACGTACCTCTATCATTTTATACTTTATACCTACCAAAATTGTTATAGAGTATGTTATTTTTGTTTCTATTCTTCTTATTGTCTATAGGTTAAATTTTTTTCACATTTTAACCTGTACAACCTTAATGCAAACTAGGTCACCTGTCAGAGCACATCGGTTCCCTGTGCCTCTCGTCAGAGTACTCAGATGTGACGCTGATCGTGGAAGGGCAGCGCATCCCTGCCCACAAGGTTATCCTCGCTGCCAGTAGTGACTACTTCAGGGCCCTGCTCTATGGGGGTATGAGGGAGGCTAACCAGGTATGGGAAAACAATAATAACTAAATGTAACTTCATAATATACGGAATGAACTTATTTTGCGTTTATATTCCAGGCTGAAGTGGAATTGCAGGCACCATTGCATGCATTCAAAGCATTGCTACGTTATGTATATTCAGGTAAGTTTTAGTTGGTATTAGTAGGCCAATATAGAATTTTGAATTTAAAAAAAATTGAGCTATAATTCCAATTCCATCCATTCACTATTATTGAATTAATTATTTAGGACAGCACAGTTAATGATATTATTCTTTATAATAATTTAAGTCTTAGTTTAGCCATTGATACATAAGCAGACTTTTATGTTGAGTTTGAATGTACCAGTTATCCACTCTTATGCTTCAACCACACCAACTTGTCCTTGACAGTTCACGCGACCTGTCATTGGCCTTTGATCGCGCCGGCGATGGTTACCTGCAAGCGTTGGTGTGGTTGAAGCTTTATCCCTTTGATTGGGCCATTGTGTGAAGCAGACTTCTTATAATTTGTTTCCGTAAACTCAGGCCACATGGGGCTGTCGCTGCTGCGCGAAGACACAGTGCTGGACATGCTAGGTCTGGCGCACCAGTTCAACTTCCAAGAGCTGGAGGCCGCCATCTCCGACTACCTGCGCCAGGTGCTCGCGCTGCGCAACGTGTGCTCCGTGCTCGACGCGGCCAGGTCAGTCGCTGCCCACAGCTGGACATAGTGCTGGACATGCTGGGCTGGCGCACCAGTTCAACTTCCAGGAGCTGGAGGCCGCCATCTCCGACTACCTGCGCCAGGTGCTCGCGCTGCGCAACGTGTGCTCCGTGCTCGACGCGGCCAGGTCAGTCTGCCCACAGCTGGACACGAAGTCTATCGCGTGAAGGTTTACGGCAGGTGTTGGTGCTGCGACAGAGACAAGAAATTATAATCCATGACGCTTTGCCACCGCGATCTAGCCGCACAGACAGCGCCATCTCTTAGCGGTGTCGGGCATTATTTGAACTTTTGAAATAGCACAAAGCTTACAGCAGCCGGGCTAGGATGCGAGCTGTAATTACTCTTATCGATGATTTTAGACGTCATAATGTAGGTATGGGCAAAACCGATATAATGGCGCGATAATCGCTTATCGCGTAACCGTAAACCTCTGTCTATTTCACTCATGAACTGATGCTGACATGTCTAAAGTCAAATAACAGTCGCGATTTCCAGTCTCGGTTGCTTATCTCTGAGGACGCGATCTGCCACGTTTAGACCTCGCCTAGACAGGCTGACTATGTACAACTATAACAAGTGTAACTTTATCGAACTTGTTCCAGATTGTATGGCCTGAACGCTCTCATGGACTACTGCTACAACTTTCTAGACAGGAACGCCACCGAAGTGCTCCAACACGATTCCTTTTTGCAGCTGTCCGTCGTAAGTGACCAACTATTTTTTAAATTTTATTCATTTTTTAGGGCTGAAATTACCTACTATTATTTCTTTTTGTTATCAGGAAGCACTGCAAGGTCTGCTAGAAAGGGACTCGTTTTTCGCGCCCGAAGCAGACATCTTCAAAGCGGTGTGCAACTGGTTCACCGCCAACCAGCTGTGGGTCAAATCTGAAGGCGGGCAGGCGCAAGTCGTAAGTAGACAATGCTTCAAGTGATTGATGTGGGTACAGTGACAAAGCTATAAAGTTACCCAAGATCTTTTGAAAAACTTTAATTGTATCTCCAAATCTACGAAATAATTTCTTCTGTAATGTGTATTGTGATACTGAAGTGCTGCTAAAATGCTAAGTTAGCAAGAAAAGAGTACGAATTCCTGTCTCTTGTTTTTTATCTTTTTTAGTATGTTCAAAGGCAGTTATACTCTTCTAGGATATTTATGTAAGAGACTGGAATGCCATGAGCTCTTCTTTTGTTTTATTTGTGTTGTTATTCCTTCACAAACTTCATTTGCCAGAGTTGACTTGACTAAACTTCTTTCTCGGTAGGAAAAGATCCTAAAGTGCGTCCGCCTCACGCTGATGAGCCTGGAGGAGCTGTTGACGGTGGTGCGGCCCTTCTCGCTGGTCACGCCCGACATGCTGCTCGACGCCATCCAGGAGAAGACGCAGACCAAGAGCACCGACCTGCCACATCGCGGCTTGCTGTGTAAGTCATGCTGCTTTGAAGGTTCAAGTAGTTCACGACGCTACTAAAAGATGGCGCTGTCTGTTTCATTAGATCGCGATGGCGTGACGAGTGTGTGTATTTTTTTATTTAAGTTATACACGTTTATTGAGGCTTCCGGCGACTAGGACCGCAATTAACTGGGACCGCGGTCCCAGTCGCCGGATCCTTAAAAATTAAATAATATTCTTCCGGCAACTGGGACCACTCGTAAATGATAACTGAAATAAAAAAATGTACAGTCACACTAAACATTTTTTAGGTGAAATAATTGAAGAAAAAACCTCATTTATTAATATAAAATGTTTATTTAAAAAGGGCTACTTGACCTTTAAATCGACGAAGCTTTATACACCATAGCTTGGTTATACTGATTTAATAAAAAAATCAGTCGTTTGATTTATAGTACTTATAGGTAGTAGATTTATAGTGGATTTATAGTAGATTCTAAGGGGAAAAATAACAAGCATTAAAATATGTTGTACTACATACATGAAATTCAGTAAATAATAATTTACTGGTAGAAAATGTTTTAAAGTATTCAGTCTAATATTAGTACATATTTGTATTAATGTATGTAATTATGGCCTAGCTTAATCTACTAATTCCTAAGCGCATAGTATAAAATCATGTCTAGAACGAGTCAAAGATGATTCAAATAAATAATTTAGAATTTTTTTCGTATGACTGTACCGATTTTGGCCTGAATAATATATTTTTCTAAGTTATCTATGAGTGGTCCCAGTTGCCGGAAGAAAATTATTTATTTTTTACGGTTCTGGCGACTGGGACAGCGGTCCCAGTTAATTGCGGTCCCAGTCGCCGGAAGCCTCGTTTATTTTACTTTTATTTTCTATAAATATTACTTATGTTGTTTGTTTTAATTTTTTAGTTCACTGTTAATTCATTGTTTTCTGTAGCAAAAAAAAAGTTATTCACGTCATGCATTTTTTATGCGATTAGCATAGAAAAAACATCTGAATATTTTTATTGTTGCTGCTTGCTGTAACGCCTTTTTGATTTTGTCTATTTACAAAGACTTCTAGTACCGCTATGCGTTTAAATAAACGTGTCATCCTTTGTTAATCAGTGCCAGAAGAAAACGTGGCGACACCGAAGCGTGGCGCGCGCGTCATATCTGGCGATATGCGGACAGCCTTGCTTGATGGTGACACTGAGAACTACGACATGGAGCGAGGGTACACGCGGCACACCATCAGCGACGCCGCCGACAACCCCGGCATCCTGGTGCGCCTCGCCACCACCACCATCATCAACCACTTGCGACTGCTGCTGTGGGACCGCGACAACAGGTGGAAATCAAATCAAATAGTTTATCTCTAAATATATAAAAGGAGAAACTGACTGACATATCAACGCACAGCCTAAACGGCTAAGCGTAGGCACTTGAAATTTGGAAGGGACGTAGCTTAGGTATCGTAGAGGTGCACTAAGACAGGAATTCCCGAAATTCCCACGGGAACGGGAGTTAGCGGGAAAAAAAATTTGTATGAAAAAATCTACACCGCGTAAGATAGATGAAGGGGGTAAAACGGGATCCACGCGTACGAAGTCGCGGGCGACCGCTAGTTTAGTACATAGTTTCTAGGGCACTTATACAAGTCCCAAATATGTATAGCTTGCCCTACCACCACTTTAGGACAACATATGGGTTGGTGCTGAGAAGAAGTGGCAGAAGAAACTCAAGTCCCTTTTTCAATCAAATATAGTAATTGATACGTAATAAGTGCGAGCTAGGCAATTAGGACGCACACCCATTCTACGAGTCTACGCTTCACTGCAATACTATTCTTTCGATAGCGACGCACCTTCGCATGTTTTAACGACGTCGTTTTAGCTAAATGACGTCCACTGCTGCACAAAGGCCTCCCCCAAGGATTTTCACATCGACAGGTCCTGTGTCGCCCGCATCCAGGCATCTCCCGCGACCTTCACCAAATCGTCGGTCCACCTAGTGGGGGTCTGCCCACACTACGTCTTCCGGCCTGTGGTTTTCTTTTCTGCCCCAGCGGCCATCAGGTCTTCGAGCTATTATGTGCCCCGCTCACTGCCACTTAATTTTAGCAATTCTGCGGTCTATGTCAGTCAGTTTGGTTCTCCTGAGGACCTCCTCATTTCTAATTCGATCACGCGGGGAAACTCCGATCATAGCACGCTCCATCGCCCTTTGGGTGACCTCGAGCCTTCTTATGAGGCCCATAGTTAACGTACAGCCTAATATCAGTCAATTGAGTACATGATCCGATGACGTTATAGTAACCCCCTTGCTATGTAAAATCTATAGAACATTCGCGTCTATAAAGGCGTCCATTCGTACATGATCTAATGACGTTATAACCCCCTTGCCATGCAAAATCTATAGAAGATTCGCGTCTATAAAGGCGTCCATTCGTTACGCAGGTCGTACGCGTACTACATCGAGGTGTCGGTGGACCAGAAGGACTGGGTGCGCGTGATCGACCACAGCAAGTACTTCTGCCGCTCGTGGCAGAACCTTTACTTCGAGCCGCGCGTCGTGCAGTACATCAAGCTCGTCGGCACCAGCAACACCGTCAATAAGGTCCGTAGTAGCTTAGCGTAATAAACAACAGGAATTCTGTTTTCATAGGAGTCACATAAAAATTAGGGATTGATGGTGAAAACGGGCATTCAATTCATGTCAACTCATTAGCAGTCAACGATTACTATGACCACTGTCAACACAAGTTTAATTAACTGTTTTAACTAAGCTGTGGTAAATGATGCTAGTGTTGAAACTAGATAATATTGGTTTATTATTACTATTTATTTACTACTGTACTTCAATACTGTTTTTTTACCCAAAGAAATAAATAAACTATTAGCATTTTTTTTTTGTTGATTGGCTATTCTAGTTCAATTAAGTCCTAGCGACCGGTATCGATCTATCTATTGTAATCGCCACTATCTTTTACAGCTTGCCCCCGAATCCTGCATCTATTAGTAGGTAATCTTTTGGGGGCTACGAGTAAGTCTTAAATGCGGATCATCTTTTATTTATTAAAACAGGGGCGATATGTTTTACATCCTGTGGGTGTAAGCCGAGCTGTAAGCTACGCTTCTTCATCATAGGGCCGCAGTCTGTGGGGATGTTTAGTGCCGTTTCTTCCGCCTCATGACACATCTTGCAATGAATCTTCGAACTTAAACTTAAGGCCTATTCAGACCTAAGCGGTATTCGCTACCGTCTGCGGCAGAGAAAACCCAGTGGGTATGCGGTACTAATACTGTTCAGACCTAAGCGGTATTCGCTACCGTCTGCGGCAGAGAAAACCCAGTGGGTATGCGGTAATAATACTGTTCAGACCTAAGCGGTATTCGCTACCGTCTGCGGCAGAGAAAACCCAGTGGGTATGCGGTAATAATACTGTTCAGACCTAAGCGGTATTCGCTACCGTCTGCGGCAGAGAAAACGCTCTAGCCGCGGTACTTGATACTAAATACCTGAGCGAAACCCGCGCGGTATGTACCTCTACCCACAGCGGCAGCGAATATCGCTCAGGTTTGAATAGGCCTTTAATAATGCCCACCAGGTGTTCCACGCGGTGGCGCTGGAAGCGCTGCACACGGCGCGCGTGCCGCCGCTGTGCGACGGGCTCATCAAGCCGCTGCACAACGTGGCCACCGTCGAGCTGTCCGCCGTCGTCATCGAGGGCATCAGGTACGTGCACAGGCATAGAACAGACTGTGATAAAAACGAATATTGTATGTGTCGTTGGTCCTAAAACAAGGAACAAAATACCTGTGAGCGTGTACTAATTCATCATCATCATTTCAGCCATAGGAAGTCCACTGCTGAACATAGGCCTCCCCTTTCCACGTTGATCGATTGGTAGCGGCCTGCGTCCAGCGCTTCCCTGCTACCTTTACGCTACCTTGTGTACTGATTGTCTTTTATAATTTATCCATTATACTCACTCATAACACGACGACATTGACACGCGAACGTGATGGCGACAGGTAAATCGAAAATACGAAAACGGCCTTGCATGGCCGTAGCTACACTTAAATTAATGGCAGGACAGTGGGCCACCGTTCCTGTAACCATAAAGGAGCCCAAATATCAGATGCGGTCGGGCACCATAGCGCCCTTAGCCAAGTCCGTGGACCAACAGGGTCCATACTGTCCAGTATTATTTTGAAGATCTTGGATCTCTGGAATAGCATTAAAAAATGTGAATTTGATATCTATCAGAGTAAATATAAATGAGTAACAACTCGGCGCAAATCCACGCTAAATTTTGTCAGTGTGTGCGTGCGCGCCGCATACGTATTGGCGCGCTCACATACAAACCGCGCTCGGTGCGTGTCTATGAAGATGACCTACTCATTTGTGTTTACTCTGCATCTATTCTTTGTCGGCCGTTTGGTGTAGTGGTTCAGAACGGACTACTATGCCGAGAGGTCCCGGGTTCGATTCCCGGCCGGGCAGAAATTGAAATGATGAATTTTAATTTCTGTGACGGGTCTGGGTGTTACTATGTATAATATGTATGTATTTAAAAAAAAAAAAGTATATAAGTAGTATATCCGTTAAGCTAGCACCCATAACACAAGCATTAAGTTGCTTACTTTGGGGCTAGCTGGCGCTGTGTGAAATTGTCCAAAGATTTATTATTATCTCTTTATTCATTTTCCTTCTTATTTTTAATATTTTTTTTTTACAATGTAAATTATAAAAAAACTAAAAATACATTATAAAAAAAAAACTTAAAAATAGTTAATCCGCTGGTAGCGGAGCAGGGCCCAAGCTACCGGTGGTCAGGGTCACAGGCTGAGGAACCTCCGGACAATGCGTGCCGTGCTGAGAATCACCGCCTTTTGAAACTGACCCTTGAGCCAACCATCTAGCGAGAGCTTCTTCTTATTATTATTATTATTATTTATTCTCTTTGGCAGCCGCTCCCGCAACGCGCTCCTGAACGGCGACACGGAGCACTACGACTGGGAGCAGGGCTACACGTGCCACCAGCTGGGCTCGGGCGCCATCGTGGTGCAGCTGGCGCAGCCCTACCTGCTGTCGTCGCTGCGGCTGCTGCTGTGGGACTGCGACTACCGCCACTACTCCTACTACGTCGAGACCTCGCTCAACTACTGGGACTGGGAGATGGCGTGCGACCGCACCCGCGACGCTTGCAGGTCACACGGTCTTCATTCATTTTCAATGGCTTATACCTAATTATTATACCAGATGAAAGAGATTCATAGGAATTCCTGACAAGGCAAGATCAAGATACCTCATCTGAATGGCTTATTGTGTTAACACATATTGCCAAGTTGCAGAACTCATAATAAAAAAAAATTCAATGGCGTCGTGCGTGACACGTAAGCTGAAATAACATACTTTTCTACTCTTACATTTGTTGAATTTATAACGTGGAATACATCGTGTCTTCCCATGATTATTTTTCACAGTTGATGATTTTACAATTCTAAAACATTGTTTCTCTATAGAATTGGTTTCCATGAAAACTTTTTCCAACTTGTTCTGTTTATCATTTCGCAGATCGTGGCAAGTGATCTACTTCTCGCCGCGGCCAGTGTCCATCATACGCATAGTCGGCACCAACAACTCTGTCAATGAGGTAAGTAACAGCGACTCCTTCTACCCAGTAAAGATCTTTCAGGTCCCTCCAGATGCCATCAATGATCATTTATCAAGTGTATCGGGTGGAGCGGTTCGTTGTGTAGTTCATAAATGTACTATCATTAGTTTTCAATTCTGTTTATTAGTTTTCAATTTTGTTTAGTTTTGATAAGTTATTATTTTTATTTTTTGTGATCACCGTCCATAACGCTCCCTGTTGCCCGCCCTCTTGGCTGATAGTCTGCGAGGCGACCCGGCCTAATCTGTAATAGAATATTTTATATTATCTAAACATCTATGCATCATCAAACCGCCTCGATCAAGAGGGCGCACAATCCGCAATCTTCATCGTGTGTTGGTTCCCGCTGAAAAACAGCTTCTCGATATGGCGCTTGTTATGTCGCGAATATTGCTGAGTGGACGTCTCTTCAGCATAGCTTCTAGGTTAATGTTATGTCTTATGCTGAATAAAGTATTCTTATTCAGTGCCAATTACTGTAATTTTGGTGCTGTTTCTGTTCGTATCTAGTGTCCTTTAAGGTTCAATTTGCTAAAGCATGTCTGTGTGTGCAGGTGTTCCACCTGGTGCACCTGGAGTGCCCGGCGCAGGTGGAGGAGGCGCGCGAGGACCCGGCCGCCAAGAAGCAGCGGCCCTCGCCGCAAGACACGCGCCTCAACCCCACCAACAACAGTAAGTATTCAGCAGCAGCCCTTATGTGTATAGTCTGGTCCGTGAGCACGTAGAATTTTGACCAATGACCCCTAGTTACCTATCCTTATCGCTCGCGCGTAATTATGTTGCTATCGCGCTCGCACACTCACTGCGGGTGCCAGTCGCACAGTCGCGATAGCAATATAATTACGCGCGAGCAACAAGGATGGGTAGCTTAGGGTCATTGGACAAAATTCTACGTGCTCAGAGACCGGGCTTTAGCCATCATCAGCATCGGGTATCTTTAATTTTCATAATATAAAATCCATTACAACCCGATCAAGCTACAGTTAGCTTGCACCTCGCTGGAATACGACTCTCCCTCGCACACCTCCTCGCGTTCGCCCTTTCCGTACCAGAGCGTCGATGTGATGTCACGGCTGCCCGGTGCGCAGTAACTTGACCGGGTTGTATACACAGCCACGGCGTATTTAACTTTAATACTGTTCAAATTGGGTTCTGAAACCTATTAGGAATAGGTATATCTCAGACCAGTCAGATAAACTACAACTTTTGGTTCACAGGTCTCGGATAGAGATATCTGGCACAGGAACTGGTAAAACTGACTTCAAAAGTTTTAGTTTATTTGACAGGGTGAGGTTCCCACCGTGTAGGGCGGGACGTTCGCGGGAGGCGTCTCGGTCGGCTCTAGTACCCAAGACCCCGACCAATAAACGGCAGAGGAAACATTTTAATGGGTTCAGGTTTCACATCCGTCCTCCAGCTGTAGATACAGGCCATTTTCATGGGTCAAAAAAGGCCCTCATTAGTGTGTAATGTTCAAAATCAAAATCAAAATTATCTTTATTTGTTTAGACTAATTAAATTAGTTCTTGCAAATCGTCAAATGCTCTTAAGGAGCCTATACATGTCTCATTCTTTTTTTGCCCTACCAGCGCTTCGAGACAAACATTTGGCAAGTGCTGAGAAGAAGCGCCGCAACAAACTCAGTCACCACTGTCTGCCGGTTTAAAAATATAAAAAATATAAAATGTTTCTGCAGGCAGCGCGTCAAGCGACAACCCGCCTCGAGCTGCGTCGCCGTGCGAGTCAAGCGCCAGCGAGCCGGCCGCGCTGCCGCCCGCCGAGACGGCCACGGAGGCCGAGGAGCGCTACGACGAGTGAGCCCCGCCCCCGCGCGCCCGCCGCCCCCGCGTCCGCAGCCTAAGCTGGCTGTGCTGCCATCTGCTTCGGCGCGACACGCTCATCAAGAAATAGGACAAAGTTCACTGTTCAGTAAGCCGAATGACACTCGCTAAGCACCACTCGAGTTCGGTCTTCACTCCCGCGGCTCAGTTGTTCAACCGTCGAAAGTCAACTGAGAGATGATTAAATCGGTGTCGCATTTTCTATACTCGTAAACAATCTACGTCTCTTTACGAACGATCTTCAGATTCGACCTAGCGAACCGAGCTGCGGTACTCGTTGAAATGTAAAATAGACCCTAAACGAAAGTGTTACCCGACTTCCTTGTACGTAAAACAAAATGTTATCTAACTCATAGCTCCAGAAAGCTCAAATACAAAAATATTTCGAGTATACTCGATAAAAATAATGCTTGGCATATTTTCGTCACAAAACTACAATATTACTGTGGCCTCTCATGGTCCGTCCTATTCTAGCAAGTTTCCTAAATTGGCCTAGCTAAAAGTTAGAGCATTGACAGACATCACACAATTTTTTTAGACCTAGTAAATAGCTACCAGTAAATGTTTTAGTATTTTAAACACAAAATCCTGTATATTTCTAATTGTATTAAATTAAATAGTGAACAAAATGAAGTTGTTGCATAAGTGTGGACATATTTTTGGTAACTTTGCAAGATTTCATAGAACGTATAAACATAGTTTTAATATTTTGACCTTGTTTAGTTATTTAGTCTGTAAGCTAATATTTTCTAGTCTTTCTCTGTCAGAGTTGTATTTTTCTTTGCCATGTTACACTAATAGTACTAATATTGCGATAAACGGTGTATTTGTGTCAAAATATAGGCGGTACTTGCCATTATAAACAAGGTAAGGTCTGTTTCGGCAAATAGTTGTACAAATATATCGTCATGTATCTGATAATCGCAATTCCATCAAAATGAAATTCAAAGTTACTATTAAATCATATTGTGCCTCGTATGTAGCTGCAGGGTGACGGAATTAATACACCACCACTGCTTTGTAATAAGTAAAACGCAATCTGAATGTAATATGTTTTCTATATAAGTGTAATAAAAAAGCTATGCATAATTAATTGTTTAAGCTGTACCTTGTTATTTTAGGGTGGAGAAGTTATGAATTTGTTTCTTTAGACTTCTTCACTGTTTAGAGGTTGTGATAATGAAGATGCAAGATAAGTTTCTTCTATCAAAGTTTATTGGGAACAAGATGAAGTCAAGTCGGACTGAGTATATTGAAATGTGGATTAAAAATTATTTTGGAACATTTATGTTAATGTTTGTATTTTGTAATCTCATATCTTGTTAATTTTAAACTGAGTCAACATCAGCAATCACATCACGATGGAGTCTTTACCAGTGACCATGGAGTCCTTTGTAAAATCATGTCAATATTTACAACTCTTTTACTCATACAAACATACTGGCATGATTGGCCCAAATTTATTTAATGATATATTTGGAGTGTTGGAGGCAGCTCAAATCATTTTGAAAGTCGAGGCGTGATTTGCAAATGTTGACACTTCCATAGATTAAGGATGCTGATAAATCTAAAATGTTCACTACCTTTAGAACAAAGTAATATTCTTATCACTTTATTAAATTGTTTATCATATAATTTACATAATATAGGCACTTTACTTATTCTGTTTCAGTTCTTGATCTGTTTTTGCTTTAGAAGTTGTAGTTTCTTTTCTTATTTATTATTATGAAAGAAAACATACTATAAAGATAGTGAACATATTGGAATTAGGCTCAGTGTTTATGGTTGGTAAATTTAGGATACTGTGATAAAGGTTTGACTAGTTTTGCAATGTAGGAGTAATTGGAGATGTAGCAAGTTAAGTATCATTGTGGAGCTTTTATTTATGTTTCAATAAATCATAAACATTGGTGTATTCCTTGTGTTTTATTTATAACTAACAGTAAAAATACAAATAAACCAAAACTTATACTTTGTTCAGGTAACTTGAGGTCCTTTTTCTGTTATCATGGCTCTATTCTTTTTCAACAATTTATTAGCTTCTACAATGTTGGGGTCATTTTCATCAGCAAATTCATCCAATCTCTTTCTCAAAGACAACTTTAGTTTTTCTATACTTTCCCCCCTTTTCAGAGCAGATATACCAAGAATATCTTCAAAAGACATAACCTTTTCAGGACGTATTTCTTCAGGCACTGTTTCTATTACTTTGGTTATATCACGAAATGATTCCTTTATACTCTCAAAGATCTGATCTGCACCTTCCACATCCATTTTGTTAATAGCTAAAATTGCAGGCTTCTCTAACAATTCTGGGTCATAAAGTTCTAACTCCTTATTAAGAAGCAGGACAGTTTCTAAACATGATCTTATTGGGTGTTTAGGACTCAACTGGAAGCCTTGCACATCAGCTATGAATAGCAGCAGCTTAGTCCTCTCAACATGTTTCAGGAATTTATGACCAAGGCCAATATTCATGTGGGCACCCTCTATGAGTCCGGGTAAGTCGGCTATTGATATCTGCCTATGATCATCATATTGGATAATACCTTTGTTAGGTTTTATTGTAGTAAAAGGGTAATTAGCTATTCTAGGCTTGGCTCTCGAAATAGCTTTCAGCAGAGAGCTCTTGCCAGCATTTGGAAACCCGACAAGACCTACATCGGCAATTAGTTTCAAATCTAACCTTACATGGTGAACTTGTCCATAGTGTCCAAGAAAATTGTTTTCCTTATTACCACCTGGACCTCCTCTGGCTAGTATTATTGTTTCTCCTTCATTGTCAACAGAGCCTAAAACTTGTCCGTCTTCTCTGTACACTGTGACGCCAAGCGGAACCTCTAGTTTGACATCGGTTCCAGGAGTGCCGACTATCTTAGTTTTGCGGCTATCCTCGCCATGTCCTGCGCTGATAGTTTTCCCGCGGTACTTGCTCATAATATTTTTGAGGTTGGATGTCTCATTGCCGATACAGTAAACACATCCTCCTTGGCCTCCTAGCCCTCCGTATTTAGGAAGACCAGTACCTCCCGTTCCTCCCTTTACGTGAAGTCTGACAGAATCAATAAACTTAGTTCGAAGAAAACTACGAGGCCGTTTTATTTCCTTTGCTGCACATAATGTTCTGTAAAGAAGTACCATTTTCTCATTACAAGTACAAGTTCTCTGTCGACTTCAATAATTTGTAGGTTATGTTTACAAAATTGTCACTTGTTAGGTGTCAGCTGTTATGATTTTTTAAAGAAAAAAAGTTCGGGCTCTGACTATTGTAATTGATCACAAATGGACATGGACATGTCGCAGGCAAATTGTATGATTCCGCATTTTACAAACGGCGTCGTCAGTTCACAAACGCTCGCTGTTCTATGAAATGCCGAAGGCAAAATGTAAATTGCCTTGGCACTTTATAATATGCCACAAAATTTGATAGCCAATTCAATCGCCGTTTACAAAATGCCGCGGCAAATTGAAGAATTTAGTTCTTTTTCTTACCACGCGAGGCGCTGCCAATCAAAACAAGAAAAATGGCGTCGAGTAGTGGTGTTGTGATACTGAAAAATATTGAAAACAGTGCAAATTCTACGTATTCAAAGGACTTTTCACAAAAAACTATTGTTTTAAAGACATTTATTTTACGATTCAAAAATAGGAGCAGTGAAAAAGCCGTAGACAAATGAAAAAGTTTTTGAGGTTATCAGGCATTTAAGAAACGCTAAGGTGACAATGGGATCTGGTGCTCGGAGGACTGCTGCGGAATATTATAAATATGGTATAAAAAATATGATGTATGAGTATTGGCGATGTGGACTATCTTATTCTGAAAAAAGACAGCCCTGAGAGCCCAACGGAAAACATACCTATGGAAGACTATTATGATATGTGAACGCTAAAGTGTAACCTTGCTGGTGACCAAATAAATAAATATTGTTAGATATTAATAGGGACAGTAGTCGAGACAAAATTCAGTACCAAATTAAAGATCGATATTGTCTATTTAAATAGAATTTGAATTACTGATATAAGGTCCGATTTTCCTACATGTGTTTTATGATGGTCACCCTATTGCAACAATCATGTCGAAATTTTATCAATTGAACGAGTCGCCAATTTGCCTTCGGCATTTCACAGAACAGCGAGCGTTTGTAAACTGACGACGCCGTTTTTAAAATGCGGAATCATACAATTTGCCTGCGACAGACACAACAACTTAAGCCAGAGGTGAATGTCAAAGTCACAGTCACGTGTCAAATTATTATCAAAGAAATGTCAAAAAAAGGGATTGATTGATTTTTGTTTAGCCGGTGGTGAAATAAATGTTTAATGCTTTTATTATAATTTTAAACCATAAAATAGGCGAACAGTGAACTCTTAATGAAGAATTAGACTTCTGCTTTAACAAAATGAAGTCTTATATCATTGCATTTGTGTTTTTCATTCAGCAATTCCAATTCATATCGGCTAGCGAAGGCGACCGATCGCCTTTTTATCAAAAGTGCGTGGTAAACTGTAAGACAGACTTCTGCGATAAAGGTAATTAAAATTGGAGCACCGAGTAACGACCGGCCTCATATAAGGACGAATATACTGCATAATTATGTTCTAAAAAGATACACTTATTCCTGAAGAAAGCCCAGTTTTAGATTCATAAAAAAATGTTTGATCATTCTAACAAGGCAATTAAATTGCACAATTTTTATGGTAATTATCTGGACTTAATTAGAAGTGAAACAAATTTACAAAGCTAATAAAATTTACAATACCAAAAACTAATGATTAGGAATACATGTATACCTACTACTTATTCTAACTTGTATGGATGATAATACCTACCAATAAGTTATAAAAACAATGTTACAGATGGTTCATCATTTAAGACAAGTGTAGTAGATGAGCTCAGCATCTGGAGCCGGATGATGTGGAACTGTGGGGACGAGTGCCGCTACAAGTGCATGTGGCGGACTGTCCAGGGCTTCCAGGAGAGAGGATACGCTATACCAAAGTTTCATGGCAAGGTAAAAACTATTATGGCCAATATAAATTATTTAGATTAAAGAACCATGTTTCCATTTATCTTTTTATCTTCTTATTAACACTGGCTATTCGCTAAGTAATGTTTCTTCCTATGTTTAAAAACCAGTGCTCTGGTGGACATTTATTTCTATTGCAGTGGCCTTTCGTGCGAGTGCTCGGCATCCAGGAGCCAGGGTCTGCGCTGGCGTCGCTGCTGAACCTCTTGGCGCACGTCTACATGCACTTGGAGATCAAACGGCGATTCACTATCAGGAGCGCTCCACTTGTACTCTTCTGGCATGTCTTTACTGCTGTGAGTGTTACTGAGGAAGAAAACCTGTCAATCATTATTTTTTCATTGATTTAATTTGCTCTTCTCACACGTCGAGTATACTAAGTTAGGATATTGACAGCATCAGCAATTGAAGCTATTCAAGCTAACTTGCTAATTGCCATTTTCAATTCAGTATAGGTTTTGAGGGATTTGTCCCATTTTCAACTACACTTGACAATACCAAAAATAAAATTGGAGCTAAAAACGCGCCTTGCAGGATACTAACAATGCTCCTTTTTGCTTGCTTATAGTTTCACATTCAATCTTCGCAATCAGCTCATGCATCTAGTTTATTTCCAGGTGTGTGTGAATGGATGGGTGTGGTCCACAATATTCCACACCCGGGACAACCCCTTCACGGAGTTTATGGACTACGCGTCCGCCTTGTCTATGGTCATGGCGCTATTCATCGCTGCTATCGTTCGGTTGTTATCACAAATATTACTTAAACTTTTGGTTGGCATTCTTTAGTTAGAACACTTATGAACCTGCTGTGATGAGTAATGAGTTCCACCAGCTTTTTGTACGACATACTTATTTTAAAAAGGCTTTATAATTTTGTGGATCAAATCGTGGCAATTAATGGAGCTCGGCGTGAATCTAAATCGATGATAAATTACGTCTTTTGTTTACAGGGTATTCCATAGAAGGAGAAAGATGACCATATTCATGTTGGTTCCGCCATTCATGTATTATATTGACCACGTGCGGTACCTGTACTCGGGGAACATAGACTACGAGTACAACATGATGATCAACGTTGTTTTTGGTAAGAATAAGTACCAAAAAAGATTTTTCGTAACGTGTTTTCCAGAAAATGTCTCAAGTCCACAAATCAAAATGTCAAAATATTAAAACGAAAACCAAAAGCATAAAAAATTAGAAACATTTCTTCTTTCTTCTTAAAAATTAACACTGCACTTACAGTGAGCCAGTTCCACCTACCTATTGTTTTGTACGTACTTTCGCTCTCACCAAATGTTAATTATTTGCGAAGAACGAGGCACGACTGCAAAATGGGTAGCTTGAACTGTACTATAGCAATTATCCAACTCTAGCAATAGCATAATTTTAAGCTAAAATTTTATTTAATATATCAGTTTGAAAGATAAACGCCTAAGATGCGCGCCACGATAAGCGGTTATCACGCCATTTTATCGATTTTGCCCATACATTTTGACGTCGATAAAAGTTATCACGGCGCGCATCTTAGGCCTACAGAACATCAATTGAATAAGGTACCTGCTCGCCTTCCAGGCTCAGTTGGCTCTCTAATGTGGCTGGGATGGGCAGTTCTCCAATACCTGGCGGGCCGTAGGCACGCGTGGCGCGTCGGCGTCTTCACGCTGCTGTCGGGCGCGGCGCTGTCGCTGGAGCTGTTGGATTTCCCGCCCAAGTACAACACGTGGGACGCGCACGCGCTGTGGCACCTCGCGACTGTGCCGCTGCCGCTGCTGTTCTACCGGTGAGCCATGCTAGTGACGAATTTATGCTTATTTATTCAGTTTACGTCGTCGTTACGCGAAAATGGTGAGGCACTTTTTGTAAAAACATAATAGTACGTAAAGTGAGAAAATTAAGTCGGGTTTCTTGTGGCTTTGTCACAAATTCACATACACAATAATGTCAATAATAACAGGATTTCTTGAATTTACCTTTTTTGAACGGTAATACGATATTTCGGCACACTTGCATGTGCTTGCATTTTGACTGCATGCATTGTGAAGTTTAGTATGAACTTGAAGTAAATGCGGGTGGATATTTATTGGTAAATAAATCGGTCTACCCTCTTTTTAAATTTTATTGCTCCTGTAATTTTCTTTTGTTGAAAAAGGCGAAGGCATACTGCCATGCAGTCTAGTCTTTAGTTTTGCTTTTTTTGTTAGATTCAATTTTTAATTTTTTATAGGTAAAGTGAAAAGTCTAATGCACAATATACCATACAGCCAAACCTTATGAATTCGCAATTAAAAAATAAATCATTTATTGTGTCAGGAGTCGTAGAACAACTTTTCATTTGTATGGTAGACGTACTAGATCTGATTTCAGTCATCTGAGTCTGAGTTAGTTTTCTAGGTCCGTGTATTTTGATGGATTATTTTCGAATCGCACTACCTAGGGTTTGCTATAAATAGGAAATTAACATAGCTATATTTCTTGTTCACAGGTTTGTCATAGACGACCTGTACTTCTTGCAAGGGTCGAGGGTATCCGAGAAAAGTGATTTTAACAAACTGACTTAAATACATTAGTAATTCTTCTAGTCATGCAATGTATTTTAATATTAAACAGTAATGTATTTTGTGCAATATTTATAAATTAAATTAAAATTAAGACCAATAAATAATGTGATTATAATTACTAACAATTTTATTTCTCATCTTCACAAGCAAAAAATTTACATCAACGAAACTGGTCACGGAAATCACTAACGAAACTACATCAACTTTCCAAAATGAATTTCTTCCACTGGTCGCCACAACGAATGCCTAGTTTGTGTCTCTTAAGCCACGCTAGCCCTTTCGTCGCCGCATTGGCTTTAGGGATATTAATACTCGCATCGTTCACTGATCTAAGTATATCCTCTCTAGTGATTGGTGTTCGAACATTAGGCTCAGGAGCCCTAGGAGTAATCATTTGGGTGTTGTTCACTAAAGCACTTCTAGCTTCATAGTTTTGCCAGTAAGCTGGGTTCCTCGTATGTCTCGGAGTGTCCTTAGAGTACGGGCTATCAGATGAGTACCTGTGCCGATTCTCGTGGAACATCAGCTTCTCGTTCCAATGTCTTCTGTACTCCTGTTCCATGTATGGTGGTCTTTTGCGCTCCTGATTGCGGTCTCTCATATGCCTGGAGTACGATATCTTCGAGTGAGCCTTCAACCTGTAGGGACTTCGGACCACGTGAGGCACGTAGCGCGGTCTCCTTTCCACTCGCTGGCTGTATATTGTCTGGTAGTCGTCGGAATTCCCATCAGATTCATCATCCACGTCATCTGTTGGACTCACTTGGACCTGTTCTTCTACCTTTTGCTTATTCTTAGATTTACCATTGAATAGCTTTACCGACTTGAACATTTTGCTGAACAATCCCTTCTTGTCTGGTTTCTGCAAAACAATAGTGCTATTAGTAGCAATATCTTACATGAAATAATATTTTCCAGTATAAGTAGAATTTGTGGAAATAACCTCAGCCGATTCTATAAACGTACAGCTTGCGTACCTTCACAGGTTCTGCCGCCTGCACGTAAGTGTCATGGACACTGGCTTCGGAGTACGAAGCCTCGTCGTCGCTGGCGGTGGTCTCCGGGCTCTGCTCCTCATACTCCCTTTCTTCCTCTATCTTGTTCTGCCTGTTTTCGTGAGCATCGATATTCTCCAAGTAGTTTTCAATGCGGCTGTTCCTCAAGCGACGCTCCGTGTCCGTCGTGCTCACGATCTGAGACCGCATGCTTAGCGTGTTGGACATCAGCCTGCTATTCATCGTGGTAATAGGCGTCGCAGACTTTTGCAGATTCCTGGAGCCATTGGTTTTCATGAACTTCCTCATGCCCTCGTCCAGAACGCTAGGTCGATACAGCGATTTGTTGACGGAGACGCGAGGTGTCGACTTCAGGTCGTTGTATTCGCTGGCTGACGTGTCTTTGGCGGGGAAGTCCATGTTGACCGCCATGGACTTGTAAATCTCTTTTATAAGTTTCTCGGTCTCTTTGCTTCGCTCCTTCGAGTCGGTGTTGGTGGCGGCTGTGGCAGCGGGTTTCGGTTTCGGCATTTTAGGGACGTGCGAGCTGTTTCGGTAGCAACCCGCGCACATGTGGCGTCCAGGCGTCTGTATAAATACGGGAAAGTTTTGCATGCATTTGGCCGACGGACAGGGGAAGTTCGGATAGCAGCAAGGTCCCGAAGTCATTTGACGCGAGCACGATGCGACGTAGGGGTTCATGTTGTAGGGGCTGTAAGTAAAGCTGTGAAGGAGACTGGAACATCCCGGGACGTTCCCTTGAGACGATCCTTTTTGGACGACGGCATCTTTAGTTGACTTGTCTTTGATTTCCGACGTCTTTTTAAGTTGCGTATTAGTTTTTACTTCAGTAAGTACAGATTGTAAGATGCTCTTAATTTGGTTTAACGTCTGTTCAGTTTTCTTCTCCTCCAGGAGGGCCTGATCTATTTGCACGCTCTGGGTGGTTGTGGTCTGACATTCGGTGTCGTTCAGAATATTCGTTAGACATTCAGCATTTTTACAACTCGCTGGTTTGTTAGGCTTGATCGGTTCTTGTATTTTATTGCTAGCGTTTAGGCGTTTCATGTAAACGTCGCCGCAGTCTATGCAACAGCTATTAGACGTTTCGGTCTGTCTCAGCCTGTCGACTTTCAGTTCGTTTCTTTTGGGAGGCACCCGGCGTGCTTTCTTTTCCATCTTACTGTAAATAGCCATCGGCGTCCTTTTCGGACAGCCGGCAACGGGTGCAACTCGGGCGTAGTGATTGATAACCAAAGGTTGGAATCGAGTCTTCTGAGTTATCTTCTCCGGGCGATATCTCGCGTTTATTTTCGCTACCTTCTTTTTGGGGATTTCGTAATCGTAACGGGGACTCGCACTCCTCGCGGGTTTCTCTCGAACGGGGACCATGTCGTAGAGGCTCGAGTCGTAGAAGCCGGCGTTGTTCACGGAACACGCGGGGTAGGTGTTGAGGACGTCGGTGTAGCGGTGGGTGGCCACGTGGCGGTCGATGTTGTGGCAGGCGCCGCGGCAGCACGAGCACAGGTCGGAGTCGGGCGCGGCCGGGCGGCTGTCGGCGTCGCGGCACACCGGCGACGAGAACTGGCTCGAGCGGTCCCCGAGCGACAGCTCGCGCGGCACCGGCGCCGGCGCGTACTGCTTGCGGATCATCTCCGTGAGGTACGTGCGGCTGATCGCCTCGCGCTCCCGCGTCGGCGACTCGTCCGCGACGGTCCCCAGGTAGTCGTTGAACGGGCCCGTCGTGGTCTGGGCGTAGTACACGAACTGCGTTTTGAGCGCTTTGTCCTTCTTCTTCGCCTTTTTCTTTTTGGATTTCCCGAAGAGCCCCTTGGACTTGTTTTCGTCGGCGGACGCGTCGGTGGAGTGGCAGGCGCACTGGTGGTCGGCGGTGGGCTTGGGGCTGGCGGTGAGGACGGGCTGCGGCGGGTGGCAGGCGGGCGAGCGGCTGTGGCGCGGGGAGCATAGTTCGCAGGGCGCGCGCGGCTCGGCGCAGGCTCGCGGCAGGTGCGCGCGGCACACGGCCACGTGCGGCGCGGGCGAGGCGTCGGAGCTGGCGCGCGTGTTCGCCTTGGCCTCGTCCAGCTGCTTCTCCAGATTTATGATTTTCTGCTGCAAGTCGGTCACGTCTATTGGAATGCAAGATATTATTTTCACTTCGGTTTGAGATGGACTGTTTCCTGAAATTGAAATTTGGATTAGAAACGGAAGGTTACACACGTTTATGCGATGTGTGCTTCTCCCGGTCCCGAGCCGGCGGAATGGAATGCCAAAGATGTTGAGGCTCGGGACCGGAGATGCATAATGAACAGAAAATTCACATATACCTAAGTTAAATGCAACTCTACGTAGAAAATTTTCGACACCTTTGAATCGTTGTTGTTTAGACTTGGATGGCAGGTTGTTTTTGCTCATTGTTCTGAATCGAAACCAACCACTAGGAATCTGGCGCCTGCGGTCCTACATACGTGACCGTCAGTGCGAATTCGTAATATTTACCGAAATTTTCATTTTGGTATTCCAAAATTGCAAGTTATTTGGCCAACTAAATAGACATTTCAAAATAAACTTTTGAGCGAATAAGATTTTTGTGTCATTTTTTGTTGACTGAATTGTCATTATTTGATAGCAGTTTCTGTCAACATGATAGATGAATTTAGTTTTCTTCTGTTGTTTGACACACTATCTATGTCCTTGAAAACAAGTTTTATTTAAGATGGACTACAAAGAAAGAAAAAAAAAAAAATTATTTATAAACTAGCTTTCCGCCAGCGGCTTCGCCCGCGTGGAATTTTGTCTATCACAGAAAAACTTTATCGCGCGCATCCCTGTTTCAAAAACCGGGATAAAAACTGTCCTATGTCCTTTCCCGGGACTCAAACTATCTCTATGCCAAATTTCATCAAAATCGTTTCAGTGGTTTAGGCGTGAAAGAGAGACAGACAGAGTTACTTTCGCATTTATAATATTAGTATAGATACAAGGACTCAAACTACAAGTTAAATAGATGGTGACTTCGCAACAGCAACCTTTTATACCAAAGCCAAGCTGGACAGGTTTGAAATAAGCTGCAAGCTTATCTGAAACAGACATATAGTTAAATTAACTGGTATAAGGGTTAAAAATAAGTCGTCATTATTGTTTGAGACACCTTTATTGTCATTCACAAGTGCATTCGCTAACTCTCTACATTTTACAAGCTTTACACAACTGTACAATAGGAATCAAGGGATACAGAGTATCGAGAGTACATCCAACGCAAGTTTAACGTGAAGGTTTAAGTTACATTCAGATTCAATACACTGCACACTTACATGGGTGAGAATGTTAAGTAGCATCAAGGAAATATGGCCCGAATGGACTGGGCATAAGGAATATAGCACATTGACCAGTGTCAAAAGACAGCTAGTAAGAAATATTGCGGCTCGCAGGGTCGACAAACATTCGGTCTTTATTTGCTTAATGCTACATAACTAGAGACAACATTTAGAAGCATTAGAATTCCAATTCGCAAAAGAAATCGTATACGATTCTGCAGCTTCGTTCAGCATATGCGTACCCTGAAGTCTAGTACGATATTTTATTGATTTGCCAAGCATTATTCAGGGAAACTGAAAAATAAGACTATGCTTGAATGATTACAGTTAACTTTTTGCTAATATTTAGTAAAATTCACACTAGACCCTTATAATATTTATTTTATAAAATAGAATAAAATGCGTGTGCAATGTTTTCAAAATAAGTATAAAAACAATGTATGAGTCAGTGTTAAAATTGTGTTATATTATGTTAGATTTTAACAAAGTTGGGACAAAAAGGGTTGTCATTATTTCTTGGACTGTTTTCCTATGCCTTGTTCATTTTGGTTGTTAATGATTTTTAGAACGTATCATAATATAACATAATTCTTAAATACATCAACTCATCGGTATAGAAAATCAACAATAAAAATTAAATAAGGGGTTCAACAAACGCTATGTACAAGTAACTACAAGTAATAAGCTCTGCTCATACTGGAATGTCTTCTATCTTGTCTTCGGATATCTACATTCGTTGGCGAATATTGCACTTAGGTGTGGCATAAAGTGTTGATTTCTTTAACATTATTAAAGAAATCACTGGTGTTTTTTAATTAAAATAGCGCGTGTGGTTTGGTCCTTACATGAAGGATTATTTTTAAGTTTAGTAAGTCGACATAGAGCTCAGGTTTCTACGTACGAAATTAGTAACTTATATTTAATTATTAATGGTGTTATTCAATTATATTGATTGGAAAGTAAGTTGTAGTAATATTCATGTCAGTATTTTAAAAAGAAGTATACGATTTTTCATTAATTAAATTATACATTTATAATTCATTCAAAGAACTACTGTACTTACGCTAAGGTTATGTATTATAATAGAAATCAAATTGTAATTCATCCTAAACTATGATCAGTCAATGGTCAGGCAAGGATGTTAGTTGATAGAATAAATATAAAATTGTATTTAATTTGTGCTTTTGGTTTTGTATAATTTGTTATAATTTCAATTTACACAAATTCGAGTAGTACCTATGTTCATTTAATTTATTGTGATAGTACTGTGCCAGCAGTTTTTGTTTTCAATTTAGATTCTAGTAGCTGTAGACCTAGCTTTAATAAGTATATTTTAAACATTTCGAATAATTTTCTGTATTTCAATTGACAATCGATAAGTTTTGTGCTTTAAATCATAGCCGATCGACAACAGTTTTAATTTTTACTTTAGTATAGATAACTATTGAAGAAAAGTTGTTTCATACGAGTGGTCTATGAAACTTCGTACAATGATCAACTATCTCCAAAACACGGTTTACCGTTTATTATAGTGTGAGGCGAGATGCGGCATATGTTGTATGTTGATATGTATAGTCCGACAAAGGAAATCCCATACTAGATATAATTTTCATACTTATGATACTCTAATACAAGATAGATACTTTGTGGCAAGAGATTTTTAGCAATATATTATTATTTACACATCTACTCTTAAATTATAACATATACTTGTGCTTTACGTCTGAGTTACGTTATATGAGTTTAAGTAGAGCAAGTACCTACTATTGAAAAAAGATGGAGCGATGAGTGGAAATAATTATAGCAATACACTATTTGTGCGTTGACTTTGTCATAATTCTTAGATATAAAATCAGAAGTTCCAAAGTACCTTAAAGTACATTTTTAACAATTTCTTTATACTGTTTGGTTCGAAGAGTTTTATCAGATACAAAAAATAATAATTAAGTAAATGTTTGATTAAAATACTTATACATATAATCGTGAATTTTTCAAGGTAGCTTAGCAGTTTTATAAAGTATCTACATGGTGTACATAATTTATACAATAAGATATACATATACATAGCGTATAATTATACAGTTCAGTATATTCGCAATATCTACCGACAGTTCAGCTAGACATTATTCTATCTACACTTAATTATTTGTCATTTATATAAGACAGGTTGGGATTTGTTTCGAAATTCTTATTTATAAAACGCTAGTCAGGTTAAATAGTCTCCTGAGAGGCAAAAAAGATAATTCACTGACTGCACAAATATCAGGGCAAGTCTTAAAACTATAAACATTGGCCTGAAAAATGCCAACAGAATATTAATGTTGAAAGATTGTTTGTAGGCCAGTTAAGCATCTCGTTGATTAAATTTATGTAAGTAGTCGATTAAATTGTTTAACAATATTTTCAGTTCTAGAAACGTGATTATTCAAGCACGAATGCTTGTATTCCTTATGTATAAAACGATTAATCCTACATCTATTCGGTTGGGGCCTCGCTTCTTACAACTAAATGAAGTGGTGAGCCCCGAGACTTGCCATTATATGGTCTTACAGTGTGAGGCGACTTTAGCGGGAGCATGCAGTATTGTCATCTACCCTTCAAGACATAAATACTTCTACACATATAAACGTTCCTCTCAAACTGACTGTAAAAGTATTACAGTCCACACTCACTCCAATATGCTAACAACATTACTGTTGTAAATAAATAAAATACCTACGACGAACCCTAACTATTTACAATGATATGGTACTTGATAATTATTAAGTTTTTAGTACTTATACTAAAGAATGGCTCACAATATGTTTAAGTACAAAGTTATAATGCGCGGTAGAAAGTTAAAGAATATTGTAGATTAAAATTGTAGGAAATTTTTTCTACAATCGATTTGTACAAAGTCAATAGTTTTAAATTTTGTTTGTGGCAACATACATACACATTACAAATCGTTTCATCAGTCTTCGTGAGTATGTTTTTGGTTGATACCTGAGAAAGGTACTGTAAGTCTAACTATTATAGAAGTTTCATGCACATTTCCACGAGTTTAAAAGCGGATAGTACGAGACTAAACAGATGTTCCTAATTTAAGTCATCATCATCACGTCAGCCATAGGACGTCCACAGCTGAACATAGGCATCCTCTAATGCTTTCCACGTTGATCGATTGGTAGCGGCCTGCATCCAGCGCTTCCCTGATACCTTTACGATGTCGTCGGTCCACCTTGTAATTTAAGTAGATTGTTTATTTTGTAATATTCTTGTGATTATTCATATAGACTTAACATTTTAAACAACTGTAATGAAATATGATAAAAAGTCTATATTTGTGATTAGAGTTTTCGCCAATTCGTATAACAGTCTTTTGGCAGCATTACCCATTTCCCATTAAATGAGAGTATTAATACCAGTATGTCGACAATTCGACATTGGCTTTCCAATATGTTTTATATTTTATCATAGAATGTCATATTATTTATACAACAGTTTCAGTTGAAAGATCGTTTCTTTATAAATAAACGTAAACTTTCAAATTACTAGGTTAGTATAGCACTAACCGCCTTCTCCACGCGAAAGTCTCGATACTAAAACTAAATATTGAATACGTAACAGATAACTCAATAAAGTCGTCTGACTGCAGCGAGAGCAGAAATGATTCCAGACTTGAATCGAACGTCTTTTGTAATATTCGAGATTCGACTTACCGCGCAGCGATATTGTTTTGTTTCGTCGTTGCCGTGGGATTACGCGACTCGTATACTTGGTATACCGTGGCGACCACGTTCGAAGAGGTTTCTCCCGGGGTTCTTCGCGGGTGGGTTCAGTTGTGCGCCGCCCTCTTGCCTTGCATGTACCCTTCCCAGCGGCGCGCCGTGTTGATGAGGATGGGGTCGTCGTCCAGGCCCGCTAGCAGGTATAACTGGTTGACGTGCGTGGCGTGGTAGTCCCACCGCGCGATGTTGGGGCTCACCTGAAGAGTGAATAAACACTGATTTAATGACACGTCGCGATCGAAGCAGAAATGAGGAGGTCTGCAGGAGAACCATAAGTAACATAGTCCGCAGAATTGCTGATATTAAGTGCCAGTGGAAGACGTAGTGTGGGTAGGCCCCCCACCAGGTGAACCGACTATCTGGTGAGGATCGCGGGAGGTGTCTGGTTGCAGGCGGCGCAGGACCGGTCTTTGTGGAAATTCCTTGGGGAAAGTCTTTGTCCAGCAGTTGACGTCATTTAGCTGAAACGAACGAATGACTACACTAGATCGGTGTTACGCGTGGCTAATGTGCGTCAGCTGCGGTTGTGAGTTCTAACTCTACTGTAGTCAAATGTCAGTAAGATGAACACGATGAGTTATACCCGGAGTCATAAACATTATAGAACAGCATATCAGATGGACTGTCAGGTAGTGGTCCTGAGGGATGCCCGGTTTTAGCGGGATCACGCCACTGTGGCGATTGAGGCATTACAAAAAGTCCTGACCCTGGGTCGTTACCGCTAGTATCTCAGTGGATTCTGCCCTTTATTTACATACCCCGAGCGTGAAGTGGCGCAGGTCGTAGAAGCTGCCGCCGCCGGTGTCGTAGAGCGGCAGCAGCGCCTTGAGGCTTGCCATGCCGTCGTCGAACAGCTTGCGCGCGAGCGAGACCGTGTTGTCGCCCTCGGCCGCGTGCACGTCGTACAGCCCCAACAGCGTGTAGATGAACCCGTTCAGCACGAATAGCGGCGGCTTCGTCGGGTACTCTTCGTACCTGGAAATATGCAGTTAAAAAAACATGAAACAAAAATTAGCCAAGTGCGTGTCGTGCCACGCGCAGTGTAGGATTCCGTAGTAGCCCGTTGTTACCACAGTGTTTCAAAAAATTTTTCCAAGCAAATTTTTACAGATTTTTCAAGGTAACAGTTTAGTTTTTGGAGGGCCCGACGGGGGGACGGCAAGTCTAATTTATTCCGAAACAAAAATGACCATGTATGGGCCGTCAAACACTATCATACCACAATTCAACCCACACACAGAGCCATCTATCGGTAAAATCGGTAACTCAAAACACTACAAATATGAAGCTTAATATTGAACATTGACTTTTGACACTGGTGGCTGAGGATGACAAACTGAAACTTACGCCCGTATTCACAAATGATGATGCTCGCTTAAGTGAAGCAGAAAATCGAACGCACAGCGTTGAATAGAGCTCTGTTCTTGTTATTGGTTCGTGTGTCACCCTGTGCGTGCACGCGCACTGTGAGACCTCATATTGTTTGTGAATACGGTCGTTAGGGTGTATTTGGTGTATACGGTTTTCCCCAGTCGATGGAGCACATGATGTCGTGCCCTAAGTGCCCGAGCAACTGCACGCAGGATTGAATGAATTCTGCTGACAACGCGACTCTTGTGGCGGAGTTTTGGGCTGACACTGTGTAGGTTTGTTTTCCACACGAAAAGAAGAAGGTGTTATGTGATTTGTGCCGGTATGCACAATACTAAATTTCTTCATATCTTATCTTGATCACGTTCACAGTGTCAGCACATTTATCACGTATAGTGCTGATGCTGTGACGTCATTTACCTTTATATCGTATAAATAGTCACGCAGTTCGTGTTAATAAACAGACATATAGCAGAGACTAACTACAACCCGTGTCTCATTTATACGGTCCCCCTAACATGGTACATGACTCACCAGACGTGCTTGTCCATCCAGAGCGCCTTGACGCCGCCGGCGGCGCTGGGCACGTCGAGCAGGCGCAGCGCGCGCTGGGCGGCGCGCAGGTAGCCGGCGTCGCCGCTGCGGTGGTACGCGCGCGCCAGCACCGACATCGCGTGCCCCTGGCTCATGGCCGAGTGCCTGCCACGACACATTACGTTACTTTTACTTACTATACAGCGCTCAATAGTATAGACATATGAATGAGGGATGTAGGCTTATCATATTAGGTGTATTATGTGGTTAATTTGCGTTACACTGGCTTGTCTTCTTAACATAGTTTAACGCCCGTAAACAAAAAATGCTTGCTTAAAGTGAAGCAGCAAATCGAACGCACAGCGTTGAATAGAACGCTGTGATTGGTTCGTGTGTCACCCTCGCGAGATCTTGGTTTATGGCCCAGTGTCTGTAACAACGCCTCTACGTTATTTTACAACGCTTGAGACGACATTGAACAATGAATAAGAGATCCGGCATTGAATTAAAGATGTGGGCTTATCATATTGAGGATGTGATTCATGTATAGTTAACTCGCGTATACATAAGGGAGAAGCCACACGTTGCGATGCGGTCACGGCGCCGCACCGCAGGCACACCGCACTTCGATTGAGCGAAACGTTGCCGTATTGCGGCGCCGCATACCACAGTGTTTGTGTACAGTAATGCGGAAAAATGTTTACGGTGCGCCGCACCGCACCGTGTGGCTTCTCACTAACGGGGGTTTAGCTATCTCAAAATTCTCAAATACACATGTGCGAACCAAGACAGCGTGTAAACATCTCTCAGTCTGATTGATAGGTGCTAAACGTCGTGTAAAACTGTCTATGCGCAAATTAACGTAAATAACGGCTGCCTGATAACCCTTCGTCTCAATAACCTACAACCTTCGACCGTCGCTTCATACTTCACCAGGAGTGGCAGTTACTGTCGGAGCTGACGGTTCGCACGATAGTTCTATCGCTGATTAATTTACGCACTTTATTTGTAGGTCAGGCTAAAATTATACTAGTTGTTTTATAGCTTAGGCATTCAGGACTTGTCACTGCGGCTAATTGCGTATTATAGCAGCCCTAAAATTGGGTCCACCGTTGTACGGCATACGGCTAATGCGCGCGGATGTCAACTTCATTTCTTCGCTAACGTAGACTTAAAAATCTATTTTTATTTCCTTGACACAAGATAAAAAGCTGTTAAAAAGGGAATAGGTTAAGAAGTCCAGGAGAGTGTGGGTTAGACTGCTGCTGCCGCGCGAGCCAGCCGCCGCCGCCGCTGCTGCTGGGGACACTCACCAGCCCGGCCGCAGCTCGGCGACGCCGGCGGCGATGCGGCGCCGCACGGGGATGGGCCAGCCGCCCGAGCGCGCGCGCTGCTGCCGCGCGAGCCAGCCGTAGCCGCCGCCGCCGCTGGGGACACTCACCAGCCCGGCCGCAGCTCGGCGACGCCGGCGGCGATGCGGCGCCGCACGGGGATGGGCCAGCCGCCCGAGCGCGCGCGCTGCTGCCGCGCGAGCCAGCCGTAGCCGCCGCCGCCGCTGGGGACACTCACCAGCCCGGCCGCAGCTCGGCGACGCCGGCGGCGATGCGGCGCCGCACGGGGATGGGCCAGCCGCCCGAGCGCGCGCGCTGCTGCCGCGCGAGCCAGCCGCCGCCGCCGCTGCTGCTGGGGACACTCACCAGCCCGGCCGCAGCTCGGCGACGCCGGCGGCGATGCGGCGCCGCACGGGGATGGGCCAGCCGCCCGAGCGCGCGCGCTGCTGCCGCGCGAGCCAGCGCGCCGCCGCGAAGAAGTGCGCCATGTGCTCGCTGCCGGCGATGGTGATGTTGTCCACGCTGCCCGCGCCGCTCAGGATGATGGACGATATCTGCTCGGACAAATGACATTTCTTATGACTCAATCATAACTTCCCCTACCAAACTTAGTGCCACTGCTAACGTCGCGCTCTTGTCGCTACATTGCTGCCGCCGACAGCGTTTTATAGGTTTTGCATGTAAGCTGCAAGTAAGCGTATACCAAACGTATGAAGCGACGCTACGTGGATAGTAGCACTTAGGTAAATTATTCGTGGTAAGAATGTTACCTGCAATTTGACATTATATGGAAAATATCTCATTGAAAACCAACAGGATTGAATAATTTACCTTGAACTTGGACCGTGGCGACTTTCTCTTGGGCTTGTCCAGCAACGCCCAGCCCTTCTGCATGTCGATGATCAGATCGCGGGTGACTCGCCTCCACAGAGGCTCTGTGCCGATACCGTAGTAGATGTGGTCCTCCTGATTTATAAGTGAACAACTTTAGTAGAAATACAGTCCTCTCAACTTAAGCTGAGAATTGCATTTGTGTGAGTGCACACCGATAGTTTAGAGTGGCAATCGGCTTGAAGCGCGGCGCGTCCCGCGCATGGTTTATTATAGCAAGCGGCCTGAAGCGCGGCGCGTCCGCCACGCACCGCTTCCTTGTCGCTCACATACTTCACTTCACCCCCGGTACTGGTAGCAGATACGTGTAATTTTATGTAATTGTGTTCCAAATATTAGTGAAATGGCTCCTACTGTAAGTGAATTTCCTGTACGAAATCCATTAAGCAGCCAAGTGAAAGAAATTTTATGCAAATTGAATACGTATTTTAAAGGTGTGAACGAAAAGTTTTTAGTCTGTTTTTATTTTGTAATTTTATAAAGTTTGTCTTTTTGTTGTATTTTGTAAGGCTGGCTGGACGCCCGCTCTATAAACGGTGATCGCAGAATATCAGCGTCGAGGTACTTCTTGCCTTGGCATATGCTGAGCGAGGACCTGTTTTTATTTATTTATTTATTTAAAAGGATGTGTCAAGTGTCGTTACATCGGCCCAATTGGTAGCAAGTGTTTTATAGACTTCCTTTTAATAAAACATTAATTTTATTTGTATGTGTTTTACTAACGGTACTTTTGGCGATCACTCACACAAATGCAATTCTCAGCTTAAGTTGATAGGACTGTACTATTGAAGTAAGTATGCAATACTTACAAAATCATCAAGAAAAAGTTCAATAAAATCAATCAAAAGAAACAGTAACTCACTTGCGCATATATTAACTGTTGACTAGTAACGTAATGTAAGTACACTGTTTCCTTTTTATCCTTATTCTGGAGCACGACTGTCAGCGAGGAGTTGGCAGATAATGTCAGATCTAGACTCAGCACAAAATCTTGGGTGATGTTGACCTTCAGCCAGACTTGGCTCGACGCGTGGTCTGATGTCGAGAACCTTAGGACATTTGTGTGGAGAGCCGTGTCGTATTCCCGGGCCATATAAGCGTCTTTGCTGACGATCCAATTCTCTAGATGCTTCTCCCCATCGTCTATTATTCTTCTCCGAGGCTCTGGTTCTGTCAAGTTCTTGCTGTAATGTGCCAGTCCAAATTGAGCTATCTGCGTTGGATAGAAGAACCCTTTTGGCTCCCATTGCATGGAGACCGGGACGCCTTCGATGCCGCTGATGCATTTTACGCGGTCCCGAACCTCCACGTTGTAATTCTCGAATGTGGTGAAGGTGCCGCGCGGATCGTACTTCTTCTTGGGATGGTAGATTTTGCTGTAGCTGTGTGACCATTCGAATTTTTCTCCACCATCCCCCGAAGTTATTTTCCCATAGATCTATGGAAACAAAATATGTATCAGGGCATTAATTATTATATTATTGCGTAACTCAATTAATATAATGTGCGTCGATTGATTTCGAGGAAAACTAGCTTGTTTTTGGAACTAGTCAATTAGCCTTGATAATGATGTAGTAAAATGCCCTCGATTGAATTAACTAGTTCATTATGGCGATAGATTACATTCGGAACTAGTTAATATTCGAAAATTATTTTTACAAAAGTAAAATTAACTAAATGATATCGTGATGAAACTAAATAGCGGTTGACACATACATACAGTTATGTGTCGTCATGACCTTACTTATTGTTTCGGTCGTGGTATTGCATGCTACAAAGTATTCCCTTTATTGAACTTCGATATGATAGGCATAGCAAGCTTTTACTACAGTTTATGACAACATATTTGACCCGGCGAACTTCGTACCATTCATATTTAGTTCTAATTGTGTTTTTATTTTTATTTTAGGTAGTTTCGGAGCCAATCAAACATCTCCTCTTTGTAATATTAGTCTAGATTAATGCAGTATTTACCTCAAAGAAGCAAAGCGAAGTACAAATCAACAAATGGCTTTCAAAAGAGGCCTGTACGGCGATTATCACACTGCGCCGCGCTCCGCGTGATTTCATATAAAAATTCCCGCGCGCAGACGCGTTGTCAGTGTGTTGTGCCGCGCGTGTTTTCTATACAAACTGAGGTACTTGCATACAATGATTAAATCTGTCGTCCCGCGTACCGCGGCGCAGTGTGATAATCGCCTACTAAATCCCGGTCCGTGAGCATGTAGAATTTTGTCCAATGACCCCTAGCTACCCATCTTTATCACTCGCGCGTAATTATATTGCTGTCGCGCTGTGCGACTGGCACGCGCAGTGAGTGTGCGAGCGCGATAGCAACATAATTACGCGCGAGCGATAAGGATGGATAGCTTGGGGTCATTGGACAAAATTCTACGTGCTCACGGACCAGACTATAGTGATCTCACCTCAAAGTACTTGTGGATGAATGAGAAAGGCACGAAGACTTCGTCTCTATCGCGGCGGCACGCCACCGAGTACTCGCCGTTGATGACGCACTCGATCTCGTCGCTGGCTGCTGTGCGCTCGGAGAGGGCGTTGGATATCACCGAGCCTACTGAACGAAGAAACACATTGGCTTTTAATCTGGTCAAGTCAGACATGGCTCAGACATGGAGTGCAGGTGCGGTTTTGTTCCCTAGTTGATGAAGCACATGATGTCGTGCCCTGGGTGCCCGAGCAACTGCATGCAGGAGGATTTAATGAATGCTGCTTACGACGCCACTCTTGTAGCGGAGTTTTGGGCTGACACTGTGTAGGTTTGTTGTCGACACGATAAGAAGAAGAAGATTGGCTTTTAATATAGGAGTAGTAGGATATTATACAGGGTGTCCCTGTAAGTATGGATCAAACAAAAACGATTGATTCTACTATGCAAATGCAACTTTCTTACAGGAACAATATCTCCATACTAATTGGCTGATTACTGAAGACAAACAGTGACAGCCTGTATAAAACTTCTGTGAAGTTGAGTTTATATTCCATACAGATTTGCTAAAAGACAAGATTTGATGTTTAAGTTATAAATTCAAATATTTTCATACAATCATTTTCATTTAATTCACATGAACACATCATCCTCAACTCAAATAATTTATCATTCCTCTCTGTAAACTACCAACAGTACCAACCTAAAAAACATAACCTTCCTTCTGGCGCGGTCGGGTAAAAACTACTTAGTTGTATTCAAGATTTGCAATAAATTCGTTGTCATGGGTTTGGGTGGGGCCATTTTATTTGCTTAAAATATAAACTACTTTTTAGAAGGAATGCATTACATATCATTTTAGGTACATGACTTAGCATTCATAATAACAATGTCAATGTACTCACAATAACACAAACAGGAAAACTTCTGTATATTGAATAATTCTTGACATATTTTACTGAGAAGTGGCAATACCTACTTACTAAGATATTCTTAATACAAAAATGTGTATTAAGCTTGAAATTAAATTTCAAGTTTGATAAATTGGGAGTAAGATCAGAGGTATTGGTACATAATCATCAGTATGAGTATGTCTGACTTGGATTGCTTGATGAATGGGTGTTAGCTCAAAGGTATTGGTACTTCATAATAGATAGATATTTATTTGCATCACCATAATGTAACATAGGGTAGAATATTTTTACTAATATGGGTAGTGTAAACAATTTTTATGTGCAACATTTGAAAGATGAGGTGTGTCGCAGTACTGTCCAAGTCTTATAAGTACACTGACATAAATAACTATAAAGTTTTGGAGCAATCGTTTTGAGATAAATTTATCATGACTGATTTAAGGTAAGTGAAAGAAAAAGTGAATTCCGTAACAAGTGGGTTAATTAATAATAATCACTACGAGACTCACTTGGCTTGCGCGGGACCTCCCCGCAGTGGCTCCAGATGAGCGTGAGCAGCAGCACGGAGAAGCACAGCATGCCCAGCAGCAGCCGCATGCTCACGCGCCCCACCTTCATCATTGTCACCTGCCGGAGATTGAGCAATTCTAAATGTTTTTTTTAATAATTATTATAGCTTGAAAATCCACACACAGTTTTATTCAATTAATGTGTTTCACTTGATTGTGGCCCCACTTGGGTAAAAGCCTCCTCCATCATTCAAAATGTTAATGCAATTTATTAGCTTTATTAGCATTAGCATTTAAGGTGTGTTTACTAACCACATTATGAACTATGAGTTGTTTGAAATAAAAACTTTTTATTTTATTTTATTTAATTATTAGTTGCCATTCGCTCCGGAGGTGGAGTCTGGTGACCAGTAGCACAGGTTTCTCTTTTGAAATCTATTTCAGACCCCAGTCCCTCACACTTTGGGTTACAAATCTTTGGCCTAGTTAATTTTATTTTTAAGGACCTAAATTGTTGGTCTAATAAATATTTTTTTGATTTGATTTGAGGTATTGAGTATTGTTTGATCTTTGAAAATATGGAGATAGTTTCCGATTAATGTAATTGTTTCATTTAATATATTCTACCCATTAAAAAAAGGTAGAAAAGTCGAACTTAATTAATGCCTTAGGATTCTCTCCTTTCAACCTATGGGCCAAACAGAAACCAGAGTTACAAGTAGCACATAGGAAGTTAATGATCTGCTTTAAATAAGTTTGAAACTAATTAGAATAAGTAAGTAATTATATTATTAAAGAATTAGTTTTGATATGTTGTATGTAGCTACTTACTGAAAGATAATGAATCAAATTTATAAAGAGCTTGCAATTACATATTGTTGTGGTAGAACTTTTCCATGCTTATGAATATTTTTAACTGTGCTCTTCAATCAGTTTAGAATATTAGCAGCTAAATATAGAACGTGGGATGGATACAAACAAAACTCGTCGAAAGGGCCTGCGTGGGCGAACCAAACATTACCTGTGGACGTGTCACACGGGCTATGCTAACATTACTGCCACAGCGGGCTCGAATTCCCATCTAATAACAGGTAAAAGTGTGTACATTAATACAAAATATACTCACTTTGTATACAGTAGTAGTATTCCATCCGTTCCGACGTTGTTTGAAGAGCAATATATGGACACTAGTCATAAGAACTTGTTTTTGTCACATCTTAATCACTAAATATTACTATTTACACAGCGCATGAATAGTAACTTTCACAAATATTTCAGGTGAAACAAGTAAATTCCATAGAAAACCGACTTTGCAGCAGAAATACGTCCACGATCCGTGCGCAGCTGTTTGACTGTTTTTGACATTGACAGCCAGCACTGAAATGCGTCCGTTCGGAAATCAAATAGGCGTTGATATCATTTTTAAACAGCTTTTGCTCTAAAATATCTAGTGATTTTATATTCAATCACTTGATATTTCTTTTATCATTTTCTTAATGGTCTCGAGGGGAATCATATTAAATACTTTGAATTATGTTTTGAATAATTAACTTCAAACAAAATAGTTTTTCCAATTACGTTCAAAAGATTTCCTGTATCTACTAATAATCTTAAGTTAATTAACTACCCAATGTTAGCTTCTGTTACAAATAGGTTTAAATGAATGGGATTAAGTACCTACCTACTTACCTTTATTACATACCTAGTTACTTACTAAGCATTTATTTTCTATAATCGGATTATGTGCTTCAAAAGGTAGATAAAAGTCTTGCCAAGAACCATTTGCTGCTAAAGAAAAACTGTTTGTCAGTGATTAAAAAAATATTTCTTCAAAACATAATTAAAGCTTTAATAAAAACGGGTTTAGTATCAAATCATGATCACAAAATTCAATTAGGAGCCCCTTTGCGACCCGCGAAACCAGTTTATGTCGTAAAGAATCTAGGTCCTACCATGGTCCTACCTTAATAAATCAATAGGTCTTTAAAGTATTTGTTATTTAGGTACTTAACTTACAAAAGCTGTTAATAATGTTTACAAATAAAAAAAATACAAAGATCTGAGTGAACATTGTTAGCGAATCGCGCAATTTGCATCGCAGCAACTCAAACGTTGAGTTTACTTATTTCACAGTTCGTTATGCATCGACTGCCGATTGCCGGGCTGTACCCTATCTAGATACCATCTAAATAGTGCAACGCATGCACGGAGGAGAAAGAGGTCACTGTGCCCGCGCGAACTGGGTCACAGCTTCATAGCGTAACGGGTGCATCCGGTTCGGGGGCCGTCGGGCGCGCTCGGGCGGCTCCGGGCGCGCAGGCGTGCGGCCCCCATCGATCGCCGCCCACGCGGCGCAGCGCTGAGAGCTCCGCGAGTCGCAACGCGAGCCCCGGGCTTGGCCCTCGACGATGGCGGCGTGAGCGCGCGCCGCCCGCGGCCTCCGGCGGACATGCCGCGATGGCCAGAGAGGTAACCGCGCGCGAACGGCGACCCGACGCCATGACGCCCCCGCTTATGTAACCCGCGCTGCCCGACACGCCCGCAGACATGGTTATTATCACCCGCACCCTACGTGGACGCGCCACCGCTTCACCCTCACCCGCTGCCGGGCGCGCCCGGCCGACCGACCCGCTAGGCCGCCGCATGCACCCCTCGGAAACCATCACCCAGCTCGTAGATCACCATTCAGTGCAGTGGACGAGGAGTGGATATGTGCTATAGATATAGAGGCGCAGGGCCAGCCCATGTCCTAGCATGGACGCGGCAGTGCCGCAGCCGGCGTCCCGCTCGCACGTATACGCGCGTCCTTTTCACTCGTAGGCTGGCTGCACATGCAGCTTGCATTATTCAAAATCTGTGCCAACCTAGTGTCTTTATGTAGTGGAAGCCTTTTATAGTTTTGATATCGATTAGTATTTATTTTTATCAGATTTAGGATAGTGTTGTCCAGAGGGTACAATGACAAACAGACGAGGCAGTGAGGCTGCGCGATATCATGTAATGATCTGAGGTGTTCCTATGCAGTTAATGTGATAGTGTTACATAATATCATGAGAAATGTAGAGAGTAGATGTTGTCAGCACGTGCGTAGAGTCGTAGCATTCTGTAGCCGTAGTCGTACTGCCGTAGCCGTAGCCCGTAGCCATCATGCTACACCGTAGCGCAATGTGAAAATTTTGTACTTCAACCAATGTAGAAGATTTAGGTCTCAAATAAGAATGGGACTAGTGAAGTTGCAATCCAAATTACACTTTACAAATGATTACCAATTTAACTTTTAATATTAATAGTTTGCGTTCAAATAAATGAAAAACAATTTTACACTAAACCAAAATGTTACAGATCGAAAAAAACTATATTGAGATATAGGTAAATACAATAGTACCTTTTATTAACCTATGTTATTGAGTTCTTAATAATTTAACATAGTTTTAGCGTGTTAAAGGCGCGGGCATCCGTGTCCAAACCGAAACCCAACTTACAAAGAAACAGACGTGAAAGTTAAAAACAATGCTAATTTATTTCATAATACATAACTTTTGTATGTTAATGATGCGCATCTTAGTAACACCTTTATGTTGCGCTAGCGTTATAATGACACGTTTAGCATGATTGCAACGAAAATGCTTTGAGATTAGCGTATCCCACGGATGGATACTCGGAACCCAAACGCTAGTAGAGTTTAAAACTTTAAAGTACCTAAATTATTTTCATAGAGGCAAAATTTTAACGTTCTCCCAAGACGTGGGATGTAAGAGCAAAGTTCAAATAATGAGCGAAGTAATTTCGTAATAGCTATAGGTACGATGTTAAATGCCATCTTTTGTTGTGCTCACATCAAACAGGGATCTTCCCACAAGCTACTTAATGGATCAATGGGTAACTAGACAAAATAGTAATTATAATTTGGGGACCACATTGTTGACCTTTGCGTAAACTAAAATGTTATCGTATGACCCAAAAAAGTTCTACTATTCATATGTATTGTGTACTCAAAAGTAGTAACACCTACATGAGTTACACTGTTTTTATTTCATTATAATGCGCCACAATTACAACTGATTCTCTATAAGATTTATCTCTGTTACATTAAAATCATAAGTTTATGGTTACCATGCATTCAAAATATAGCCAGTTAAACGTTATCAAAATCAACTCGACAGGGAATCGAATACGGGACTTGTATGTAGGTATACGAAGCGTTTCTTCATGTCTTGCCACCGATACCGTTGGATACAATGTTTGGTTAATCTCGTTATTCTCGAAATGCAATTAAATTGTTTATACGGATCACTCTATTAAAGGCCAAGGTGTGATCATATCTCACATTTTTTTATTTACAATTAACTGGATCTCTCAGGCATATAACAGTTTCTTCTATCGAGTGGGCCGTAGTTACTTTGTTGTTATAAGACTATACTAGCCACTACGATAAAGTAAAAAATATTCTTATTTCTTGATCGAAACCTGCGCGCGCTGTGATCTTCTGCACTGCTCTCTGAGGTTAGTAAGTAGAGTACCACCACCCTCATATCTAAAAATAAAATAAAAAAATATACTCCCAAGCCGCTTTCGGCTACGGTAACTGCGACAAAATTCCTTTAGTCCGCAATAAGATACACACCCTCATATCTAAGCTTGTATCTACGAGTGTTCCTATTTCATTAAATACCATCATTTTTTAAATTAACTAGTTACTTGCCATCAATGGGAATATTTCTCCATGAAATACTTTTAGACATTATCATCGTGACGACTTTCAGACCTGGTGGTTCAGGCATGGGGCTACAACACCAGTGGCTGCTGGGGTTGGTTCGTGTTTGTATGTGTAAAATCACATACATACCTTTACATTGAAGTATTTTTTCGTTTTTTTTTGTCTACTACGGTCATTAGATTCTCGCTGATTCATTGACATTAATTTTTCCTTTCCTTGCTTTTAATCAAGTTCACCGTGTATGTACATCTACCTCCTATTAGACATCATCACTAGTTAAGAGTTAACAATATAACCCACACGATGGAAGAGGAAGTAGAATCATTATCGCGCAGAGGGTTCGATTCCCAATGGGGGCAGATTTTGTTTGGTTGGTGGTGGGGCTTGTTCTAAGTCCGCCAGGCTAGCTACCACCATCTTACCTAAGTCTGTCGCCATAACAACAATGTTAACAGCATTGTAGTGTTCCGGCAGTTAGAGGTAAGATAGCCAGTTCCTCCGTGGCTGAGGATTGCGGGTGAAGCTCGCTGGCCTGATCGTCACTTACTATCAGGTGAGATACAGGCCAAGAGCTTCCTCATTGTGGAGAAAAATAATAATAATAATATTTACTTGTGGTTTATTAAACGAGACCAAAAACTATTCACGAAAGATATTATTATTTATTTCTATACATATGTACTCGTAATAAGTTACTGCGTTAAACTATGTATTCGTAAGAGGAAACTTAATGTGCATGTAATTCACGAAACTAATTAAAATTTCACTTAAAAATAATCCAGTTTAGTCGATGAAAACCAATCGCTAATGGTTTCTTTTAGGCGTTTCTTAATCCACGTTTCCACCGTTCACCGCTCGCCGGCGAATTTAATCTGCCTTATCAGCGTTTCTTTTAATAGACTATTTATCGCTTATTTATCGTCTCAAATTCCTTCCAATTATGGGGCGGCTTGGGGACGCTCCGTTTTCGTTTTCGCTTGTCCGTTTATATTATATTTCTATTTGTGGTTCTTTTGAATGCGATCCCTATTGGAGAGAGACGTCAGAGACTGAAATTCTTAAATAGAAATAAAAAAGTATTTCACATTTTTAGCAACACGATCGAAATCAAGATGAATCTTAATATTTTTAACTGTAAGGTCCCTATGACATAGACACATATTAAAAGCAAGCTTTTTACATAACATAATTTCTTCCTTTTTCAAGATAGATAAATAGATATACTTACCACTAAGAATTAAAAATACTTTTAAACGAGCCAGGTTTTAACTCTCCTGATTTTTTAATTCAGCATAATATAAACGACTCAAACATATACCTGCGTACTTATTATCGAAAACATTTCACAAACGTTGGAAAACAAAGTTCACTCACCAAAAGACTAAACGACAAAATCAACCTCACCAAAATAGTGCGACGCGAAAGCTTTCAAAAACAAAAGCTAACACTCGCATCAGCAGTCAAGGCCCTATTGTGAAAAACATTTCTATAACCTTTCATCTCTCTCACTCACTCATTCGCTGTACGGAAGAGACGAAAAGAGATGGTATATCGAATTCGTTTTGCGGAGTAGGCCTCCGTCGTAACCCTTCGTCTCTAATCCGCGTATACTCGGACGCATCGGTCCGCTAAGGCCTCCGCAATAA